ATACGAACCGCATAGCCAGAAAGTTTCCAACTAACATCCGCAAGCCAAAATGCCCCAATACATAGCGCGCGGATATCATCCAATGTATGATGGTGGTCCAGCATAGACTCCGATGCCAGTTTTGCAAACTCGGTGTAGCATGTATCAAACGTACGTTCCTTGGTCGGCATGTGAAGTGCAGTGACGGCCAAAATGGCTGCAGACAGCATTGAGGAAGACCTTCGCACAGACGTCAAGTCTTTATGTGCTAGCAAGGCTCCATCCCATAGGTAGCGGTTGAGTACCTGGTCGAACTGATAGAAAAGCTCCTCCGCTTCCTGGATATCAACCACTCCGCGCGAGATGAGATCAGTGACCAGTGCTTGGTCCGGGGCAAAATTCTGTCCAGGTGAGCTTTCACGATTCTCACTAAGCTGTGTCACCTCGTATAGACTGCCCATCGGTGCTGTGACCAGAGAGGCCGCGCCAGTCTCCTCGCGGTCCAAAGAATACCGTGGCTGCTGTTGAGGGAAGCTATAGTTTGACCTTGCAGATGTGCCATTTCGTGCTGTACTGCCGACTGGATCGGCCCTTTTGTGTTGCGCAAGTCCATTATCATCAGTCGAGACGGTGGAGTCTTTCCTGCCTCTCTTACTCGAAGGCGTTTCAATTGTACCACCGCCTGCTTGATAATATGATAGCTCCGGTAGCTGTGATTTCCTGAGCAGGTCCGTCATTGCTGATTCGATCATTGATTTCCACCTATCGTAGCCGGCGCAATCAGTATATGTTACCGAAGTAAACACCGAAGATACACCCACTCAGCTTCATCCTCCAGTAATGTTTGGAGGCTTTTATTCACAACACACTCTAGTCCCATGCGACGACAACGCGAACACAGCGAGTCGGTTGCCTTCATGTCACAGCGCACCTTGTGCCGCTTACACTCAGTGCATGCCCGTATCCGTCGAGAGATCTTCGGAACATGCTGAGGGCGGTCCTCTGGCGTGAAGACAGCCTGTGGGGGAGAAGCGGACGAGGCCTCGCCATTGGCCTCGAACTGAATGCGATTCCGCTTCATGTTGGTGTGGAAGCTGAACTCATCCTCCGCCTGGCGCATTCCGGGGAAGACAGAAAGGCGGGGTCGGAGCAGCTTCGCACCGGCCGGTTCTGGCCCGAATTACTCATTGCCGGTTGGTCGCCTGAGGCAGACATGCATATTCAGGCATCAATAAATCTGGGTTTATCCGGTCACCTGACCTTGTAACCCACTAAACTCAATTAGGTTTAAATGGTGACGCGCTTCCAGCCCAGCGCGTTCGCGTACTGCGAAAGGTCAAGCTCTACTCTCTACACAGACACAACATTTCAACCTGAGGCAATCTGAGCTCACATTCAAAATGGGTATCAAACGTAAGTATTTCACCACCAATCATCCATGGCTCTTTGCTAAATAAACCCCAGACCTGTACCAGGTTATCTCCGAGAATGCCCCCGATGCGATCAAGACGGGCGAGATCAAGAATCACTTCGGCCGCAAGGTCGCAATTGTACGAGTTGAATAACCTGCGATATATGTGTGCATGCTGACATATGATGTTTTTTAAAATTAGGACGCGTACGTCATTGGATCACCATCCCGGTAGCTCAAGAATCACTAGTCGCTAACTTAGAACAGGTCGATGAGCATTTACAGTTTCCTGATCGCCGTGCGCTCAGAAGGTCAACAGCTCATGAGTGAATCTGGTGAGACTACATCCCATCTGATGGGTATGTTCTACCGTACTCTGCGGATGGTGGACAACGGCATCAAACCTCTATACGTTTTCGACGGAGCCCCACCAAAGCTCAAGTCCGGTGAATTGGCGAAGCGTGTTGCACGTAAGGCCGAGGCGACCGAGGCCCATGAAGAGGCCAAGGAGACCGGAACTGCGGAGGATATCGAAAAGTTCTCGCGACGGACTGTCCGCGTGACTCGCGAACATAATGCGGAGTGCAAGAAGCTTCTTGGACTGATGGGAATTCCTTTCATTAACGCGCCGACAGAAGCCGAAGCTCAGTGTGCCGTGCTGGCTCGTGCCGGTAAAGTGTACGCAGCTGCGTCAGAGGATATGGATACATTGTGCTTTGAATCGCCGATTCTCCTGCGCCACTTAACATTCAGCGAGCAGCGCAAGGAACCTATCCAGGAGATCCACTTGGATCGAGCACTGGAGGGTCTAGATATGGACCGCAAACAGGTACGGCGTCCTCGGTGTGATACGCGTAATTTCAATCGCTAACTTGGTCTACCATGTAGTTCATAGACCTCTGCATTCTTCTAGGCTGTGACTACCTAGAGCCTATTCCCAAGGTGGGAGCTACCACTGCACTCAGTTTAATCAAGGAGCACAAATCTCTGGAGAAGGTCCTGGAGTTCATGAAGAACGACCCGAAGAAGAAATTCGTGGTTCCTGAGGACTGGCCATACGAAGATGCACGAGAACTGTTTGTCAACCCGGATGTCCGGCCTGCTGATCATGCCGAATGCGACTTCAAGTGGGAAGCTCCCAACGTTGATGGCCTGATTGAGTTCCTAGTTGGGGACAAGGGCTTCAACGAGGACCGTGTGCGCAACGGTGCCGCCCGTCTATCAAAGCATCTCAAGACCGCTCAACAATCCCGGCTCGAGGGATTCTTCAAGCCCGTCGCCCGCACTGAGGACGAGAAAGCATCTCTCAAGCGCAAGCACGATGAGAAGCTGCAGCAGCAGAAGAAGAAGAAGAAGGAAGAAGCCAAGGCTAAGAAGGATGCCAAGGCGAAGCCGCGTGGAGCGGCCTAGTTGATGAGAGATGCTTTTGTTTTTCTGTCAAAAACAACTTATGATTCAAAATTATTTCCTCGTCCAACATGAGCTGGGCTGGTGCGGGCGTTCTGTGGTTTACTTGTTGCATTCTTATGGATTATTTTCATTTGCGGAGAATGTCCGTTTCGCCTCGGGATCGGGACAGGGCATGAAGTTCCGTGTATCATAGCAATTAGTGGTCTGATTTGAAATACAACCTAAAAAATCTGTATTCTGATGCTTCTCTATTGTTCCAGTGATCTTTTTAAGCCCCGTGGATGCCAGGATCAAACAAGATCAAGGGCAACGAATACGGACCTTCCGTTTGATCCCTGGGGTTACACTTGGTGAAAAGGTCCAAAAACTGTACATTTATTATGTTCCATCTGTTCTCCATACAAGAGCATATTGTTTATCCTTTTTAGGTGTTCTGGTGTAGTTATTGCAGGGTATGGATATCCAGCGTTCGTGTATAGGGTTGTATAGATGGGGCCCGATTAGCGAGATTAATCGAGGCCTCACAAGACCAACTATGACTGATCTTCACGAGGGAAAGCAGTAAGCACTTCAAATACAGAACATTTACACCGGCACCAGTTCCCATGAGCAATCTTCACCTTCAAAATATGCAAGAAGGGTCCATGTAGTGCAGGATCAGCGTTTTCACCAGCTGAGCCCTTGATTCGACGTGCCGGTTGCGGATGCAGATACGATGATCTCCGTCGCACGACCACGCCGATAGACCAATGATCGATAGACCAATGATCGAGGTCATACGGTCTGGGGCTATAGGTTCAGTTCCAGGTGGTATTTTTATTATAATTCGTCTTGGATTGGCGTTGTGAGTAAACCTCAGATGGGTCCGGCTATACATCTGTCCCGTCGATCTCAACCCACCTTTCTTGTTCTCGGTAACTTTATGAGCGTTTATCGGGGAGTGGTGGAATCGGGGCTATTCTGGGTCTTCTATTGGCTGTGCTGATCCCGATGTGACAAGGGTCGTGGCGTTGCCAGAGCTTTCCCCTCTCTTGGGGCGATATATACCACTTTGACCCTGAGCGAGGTTGGGCGTCAGTAATCTTGTGGTATGGTTTCCAGGATATCTAGATACTATGATCAAATGTAAAAGAAATGTATACATATGTCTATACACATCTATCTATCTGCTTTTTCAGTCTCGGCGATATATATATCCTCTGTGTCGGTCCATGGAGGGCACATTGCTACTGTCATTTCTAATAACATCTATCTAACTCGACCCCGAGGAAAAGATCCAGCCCCTGAATTATTATGAGCTCATCCCGAGTTCGCATTTTGAGATGGAGCACAGTTGTTCAATGTATAATGTGCCCCCAAATGTCGACATCACCTTGGGGGTTGTATGGAAATCGAGTCGGTTTATCTACAACGTGACTCTTTCGCACGAGGTGATGCAGGTACAAGCAAAAAGGATTGCATCGAGTAGGTGTCAAAGGCCATACTATAGAACCGAATTGTGTCATTCACGCCTGGATTCCAGGTTTGAAGTAGGGTTGATAGATCCTCAAAAGAGGGATAGATTACCCCAGATGGCATTGGAATGTTAACATAAGAAAAGGATCTCTCCCTAGGGACCCTCGCTGAGAGATATGTACTCGCCCCCAAAGCCTCCAAAAGCCTTCAAAATAGAGTATGCGCGATTTCCATCGAGGGGAAAGGGACGCGTAGAAGCACCATTTCACTATTTTATACTATTGTCGCGTTATCATACTACTAAATCTTCTGCTATTCTAATAGACCTCCAAGAATCACCAAATACCCTGGCTAGTATCCCAAGTAACTCACATAGGAGAGAATAATAGTATGTACAACATAGAGACATCAGCCATTCTTAGTTGGAACGAAGAAACCCTCGCAAAGAACCCAGCAAGACACACAACATTAATTCAAAAGAAAGATCAGGAAGAAGAGAACTTCTAGAAAGAAGGAACCGAAAGAAAGGATGTGCTTTTTTTTTTTTTTACCCTAATGATCTTGTCAACACCGGTCGCCTATAAATCACGGATGCCCCGCGGCCTTCCCTTTCCCTTCTGCTCTTTTTCTTCTTCTCCTTTGCTCTCAGTCCTCCCACGTTTTTTTCCTCTCTCTTCTTATCATCGAATCACTTGACTACTTTGATCCTCTTCATCTTCTTTCCCAACTTAAGTCATCAATAATCATGCCTCCTAAGAAGGTTACTAGCGCGTCCAAGAAGGCGCCTCCTGCTCACACTTCCTACCGCGGTATGTTTTCATTGATCCTGAATGCCCACCAAATCGCGTAAAAGCGATATGGGTATGAATCCAGTCGCGAATATCTGCTGATTTGATCGATACAGATATGATCAAGGATGCCATTATTAGCGTGAGTTGATCACTGCCGGCGCGAGCCTTGGTTGTTGTGACTCGGGTCGCGCGCCCGACCGTGACACGTCTTTGCCTCTTGGGCATGGACAACCACAACTCCAATTCTGATTTTTTTGATTTCTCATTGCTGACTTGCGTCCTTGCGTATAGTTGAAAGAACGCAATGGTAGCAGGTATGTTGCTGCTTCCCCTTGATCTCTTTGGGGATCGCCCCCGGATTCTTGCATCTATTCCAGGCCCACTGACTAAATTTCCCCATTCTAGCCGTCAGGCTATCAAGAAGTACGTTCAGGCCAATAACAAGATCAACGTCACTTCCCAGAGCGTCTTCGACTCTCAGTTCAACAAGGCTATCAAGGCCGGTGTCGAGAAGAATGAGTTCACTCAGCCCAAGGGTAAGTTCTTATCATGCCTGCGCGCATTAGTTTTAGCCTACTCTGCACGATTTGATTCCACTGCATTTCGTCGCATATGTTTTGGATAGTCACGTCTGGTGTTTGACCATCTAACCGACGCGTCCTCTAGGCCCATCTGGTCCCTTGAAGCTTGCGAAGAAGGATGCCCCTGTCAAGGCCGCTCCTAAGCCTGCCGCTGCTAAGCCTGCCACTAAACCCTCTGCTAAGCCCGCTGCTAAGCCTGCTGCTGCCAAGGTAAGCTCTCATCGAGGTTGTATACCTGTATCTCCTGCTAATCGTGATATAAGCCCGCTGCCAAGAAGGCTGCTCCCAAGAAGGCTGCCCCAAAGACTGCCGCAAAGACTGCCGCCCCCAAGAAGACTGCGGCCAAGAAGGCCACCGCCACCAAGCCTAAGGCTAACTCTGGCAAGGCCCGCAAGACTGCTGTCACCGTAAGTTGATTCTAGTGTTCATTCCATCTTCCCCTTAAATTGACCCGAAGTTGACCCGGTTACTGACGAACGTTCCAGGCTCCTGCTGTCGTTGAGCAGCCCAAGGTTCTGGGAAAGACCAAGTCTGGCCGTATCACCAAGACTACTGCCCCGCAGCCAACAACAACCCGGGCAGCTCCCAAGAAGCGGACTGCCAAGAAATAGAGGATTTGATATCTTCTTTTTTTTCACTAGGTCGAGCTCTCCCTATATTTTCACGTGCGCATTTCCAGGGAGAGTACCTGGTACCGGTTCCTTTTTCTCTTGTAATTTCTTTGGACTCATTGGTCTTTCTGGTTCTGACGGTTTCCTCGGCTTTTTTTCCCTCTCCTTTGTTTTTTTGGGGTCTCTTTGTTATGATGGCTTTGCTTCTTTCCAATGTTCAACGGATGGCGTCCTGCGGTGGGGTTTGCAATGGGGAGCAGCAGTCTTATTACTTTGATATTGTGATTAATTTCATTGTCACCGTGGAATTCAAACTGGTTTTGGTTGAATTGTAGAGCATAGCGGTACAGTATATAGTATAGTAGATTTTCAAGCGCGTACGGGGTACATTGTAAACAAATGTAGATCTCTCCACTTTTTGTCTCATGGGAGTGTTTTATTTTTATCTTTGCGTCATTTGGTCGATGGGACCGAAACAAGTATTCATATTGTCATGGGAGTTCGGCGGTTTATCCTTGAGATAGTCCAATCTAGGTTGAGAGAATGCAACAAGTCGGATGTAAATGGAGTATAGCGTGTACACGTTGGAGTACTATAATAATGAGCACATGTGCCCAAAATCCACATTCAGCCGAAGAGGGCAGCCACTTTTATGTATCTTTGTATCTTTATAGTGGAGAATTTCCCCTGTGGCGTAGATGTGCAAATGCGGAAGATTTCATGGAGAGCCCTATTTTTGGAATTGCTTTGGGAATATACAATACAGAGCCTTATATACGGCGCAGAAGAGTCTACAATAGTATTCTTCATACCTCTTATGACAGGAATCGTGATAAGGCCTTAATATGTTGTAATTGGCCACTTCATCGCTACGATTTTCATACACTAGTGTATTATGGAATACAGAACATATGGGCCTTCAGGGGAGTACGTATAAATATGTGACTTTGACTCTATGTAAGTGTATACCCTTGAGTATAGACTCCATGTATATAATTTTGCACAACTAACAAATTCAATTATAGTGGCATGTATATATATATTGAAGAAAAAGAAATAGGGAACATATGTGATACACCTCATGGAACATCCGAGTTTTTATGCAGCAGCCTGATACCCGTATTTATGATACCTATAATCTTTTATGTAGGGGAAAAAAAGAGAGAATTTGGTTAAAATTGTTCAAGTCTAACAAAAAACACAAGATAAGTATCTAAAACATACTGTTGTATAAAGAAATTTCATATGAATGGAGATTGGACTTGGTAATTCTGTTCTTTTTTTCTCCCAGCCAACCATTTCCACCTCACGTCTTCTCTCCCCCCCCATATTTTCCCCATTTTACAACCTCATTTACCCTTCCCTTTTCCCTTGCATTGAATTATGTTGAGCTGAATATTCACCCCTTGGGCAACTAGCTCGATACTTTCTTTATTCCATCTGGGACTTCGTCTGGCTCATAATTTTATTGGATCCCCGCCAATAAGGGCGACTGCCGTCACTCGGGTTGCCGGTCCACGCATAACTCACGTCACCCCGTTCCCTGAAATTCAACATGCCATCCTTCTCCAACGACGTCTCCTATCAGACTGCTACTGCCACGGTCACCCAACCTCGTTCGTTCGAATCATCTCGGAAGTCGCACGACAAGACCCCCGTCGGAAATACGTTCCTGTGGACCAACTGGCCTAACGGCAACGACGTGAACGAATCTCACCAGAATGACCGACACCTTTTAACCGACCTAAAGAACGCTAGTGCATACTCCCTGAATGGCCCTCGCTCCAGTGTCAGCTCATACACGCGCGAACCGCCCCTGTCAAAGGACGGCAGCATGCATTCTGTAGGCAATGGGTCCATGAGGGATCCCCGCGAGAACGGCCGGCCGTCCGCCATGTTGGACCGTAAACTTTCGGAAAATGGACCGGGTGCCATTTCTACAGCATCACCCCCTTCCAATCAGCAACCCAATGGCACTGCAAATGGCCGGCCTGTTCAGGGGAAACTCATGGTCAATGGAGACGTTCATCGGCCTTACGCTGATGAGTTATCGGTCTCGCCATCAGCATCGCTCTTACAAATTCCCCAACAGGATGAAACCGGTCGTTATTCTCCAGAACCCGATCGCTTGAACCCGAATATGAAGCCTAGCCAACCGCGCCACTCCTCCCCTCCCACCTCATCCATTCTCGATGTTGGCTCCGTGCCGGAATCGCAGAACTCCAGTATGCGAAATCGACATTCATTGCAGGTTCCAAGAACGCCTAGTGTTCGGCGAGATAGTCGAGAATACAATGAGGATGCTGCGTACACTAGTGGCCGAATGTCACCGACAACCGGCTTCCGACGCGCGTCAATCGGTCTTATTAGACGTGCAACCAAAAACAGCACCCAGCAAGATATCACTTTGGACGAGGCACCGCCGGATGAAGATGCGGCCCGATGGGCCGAAGCGATCAAACAAAAAAGAGCCTCGCGGCGTCGCCGCGAAGAGGAGGACGACGAGCGGGTGATTGTGGGCACCAAGGTGGACCAGAACCACGTCAACTATGTGACGGCATACAACATGTTGACTGGTATCCGCTTTACGGTCTCGAGAATTAACGCCAAAATGGACCGGGAACTCACCCCGGCGGACTTTGATGCCAAACACAAGTTCTCCTTTGACATGTGTGCACCCCTTTCAATATCGACATATTTTTGGACTTGACTGACAGTAGCAGAACCGGAAATGAACTGATTCCCTCCGCAAAATACGACTTCAAGTTCAAAGACTACGCACCTTGGGTTTTCCGACACCTTCGCGCCAAATTCCGCCTCGATCCCGCTGACTATCTGATGTCCCTCACAAGCAAGTACATCTTATCAGAATTGGGCTCACCCGGTAAGAGTGGAAGCTTCTTTTACTTCTCGCGCGATTACAAGTACATCATCAAGACCATTCACCATTCCGAGCACAAGCTTCTCCGGAAGATTCTTCCTGAGTACTATCGGCACGTGGAGAAAAACCCAAACACTCTTATCTCACAATTCTACGGATTGCACCGAGTCAAGATGGCCTATGGCCGAAAAATTCACTTCGTCGTGATGAACAATCTGTTCCCGCCCCACCGGGATATCCACCAGACATTCGACCTGAAGGGCTCGACCGTTGGCCGTGATCTGCAGGAGTCAGATCTCGAGAGAAACCCCAGAGCGACCATGAAGGACCTCAACTGGGTTCGTCGCAATCGTCACTTGGAATGCGGGCCGACGAAACGAGAATTCTTCATTGAACAATTGAAACGTGACGTTGTGTTGCTTCAGAAACTCAAGATCATGGACTATTCTCTTCTGGTAGGAATCCATGATGCGGGCAGGGGCAACGAAGAGAACCTTCGTGACAAGACCCTTCAGGTCTTTCAGCCAGGTGGTCATCGTGAAGAAGATACGACTCCCAACAACTTGATGCGCACTCCTTCGAAATTGGAGAATGAACGCAAAGCCCGGGAGCTGCGCATGCTTATCAAACGTGAACGGCCTGTTCCATTGGACAAAGCAGCTGCGAAGATGCCAGATGAAATCCTCGATGAACGGAAATATCATGTTTTCTATGCGGATGATGGAGGTTTCCGGGCCACTCATGAGAATGGTCAACCCGGTGACGAGATCTATTATCTCGGTATCATTGATTGTTTGACTCATTATGGAACCACCAAGAAACTTGAGAACTTTTTCAAAGGACTCTCGCATGACCGCTCACAGATTTCTCCCATCCCGCCAGAAAGCTATGGAGAGCGCTTCATTAATTTCATTAAGGGAATTACCATGTCGAGGGAAGAAGCCGAACGACAACAAGAGTCTCGCGCCTCCGCGTCCGGCGCACCTCAACAATCAACCGAAAAGCGACGCTCGCGAGAATCTTCTGTTGAGCGAACAATGCAGGCAGCGGAGAAGGAAGCATCCAAAGATGTGTCCGTCACGCATCCTCGAACACTAGCCACTGTTTGGGACCCAGCAGACGCCGGGGGCCCTGGTCCGACCTCGACTCTCCCCATTGTGGACGAAGCCGGCGAGGCCAGCAGTGTTGGAGGGCGCAGTACAAATAGCAGACATGGCCCTTCACCATCAGACAAGGAATTACCCCCTGTTCCCCGCGACGCTCCACCGCCAACTCCCAGCAAGGGAAAGGAAGTCGATCGGAGCAATTTCCTGACTGCCAGTCCAGTCCGACGTTAGCTTTTTGCAGCGACTGACACTCCTGGTACCTTTATTCGTCTCTTTATCTTTTTTTTTTGTTGTATTCAGCGAGATATCCTCCTTGTTGCTCTTGATAGAACCACCTATTTTGTTTCCTCAGCATGGGTCTGCGCGAGGCATATCATCTTTCTATCCTCATACCTTCCCCAACCACTTTCCGCAAGAAACTGATGCTCACGAGTGACATGTGTATAATTTCTGTTGAGCATTTCCGTCTCTTCGTGTGCTCCTTGTTTATCTTTTCCTGGATTACTTGGAACATTCGGACAAAGCCCCTAACCCGAACTTTGAAGGCTCAACCTCATCGACTCTTTCTCTCTTTTCTTCGCCGTCTCAAACGCCTAATTCTCTCTAACCTTGCTTGCCAATACTCTTTACTGTCCATGGGTCGCCCGTGGACTGTACAGATCCCACCCTCATTGATCGAACATACCGTTGCCACACTCTTTATATCATAACCAAACCCCATCTCCAGCCCAATAAGTGTTATTGTCATATCCTGTGCCAACGCCGCATCGATGATCCAATCTTTCCACTAATCATCTCATTTCCTTTTTCTTTCCTTTTTCTCTTTTTCTTCTCTTTTTGTTCTACAAGAACAAGCTCACAGCCAAAGAATATCGCCAAGCCCATAATCTGGCCCTTACTCCGTTCATTGAACGAATTTTTCCTTATTGTATCTCTCTTGTGTATCCCGCTTCCCACTTTTCTTTTTTCTCCGATTTGCTTGTTCCTTGATCGAGTCTCTCTCCATACCCTGTACCAACCACTATACCACATGTTTTCTCGATATTCGTGCTTCTTATCTGCTGAGTGTAATCAACTTAGCAGAATTCAGCGTGGGAACTTACTATACTTCTTCTGTGTTGGATCTCTTGTAGATGATAGAGTCAACGGGTTGTAAAGTAGATGCTTTCTAGCAAACCCAGTGGACACAATAAACAAGAAGTAAGTGCCTAGGTACGTTGTGCAGGTGGGATACAATGGTGACTCCCCTGACGTATACTAGGGCTCGACCTGCTTAATATGTCTACATCTTCTCTAAACTGGAGTTGATAAGCGTCAAGTCCCAAGCCGGTATTACCCCATAAGACCGAGAGCAAACACAAGATTATCAGCATACGGAGTGGAACAATCTTAGACAAGCCATGATAGGCGATTCATTATTCAAGCACAGCATAGACTGGGCCGCAAGAAAGCAAAGATGGACCCAAGTAAGAGACCACCAAAAAGACTCCCTTCCACCCATGATGGAACGCGAGTTAAACAAGGTACGCAAAGAAAGATGTGTTAGACCTGCCCATTCATCACGTAGACGCCATATTCTCAAAAGAATCAATCGAAAGGGTAACATAAAAACAGAAAAAGAGAAAAAAAAAAACACCCCCATTTGACCTCCGAGAAAAGAACAGGAGACGTAAAGCAAAGCGAAGCGTGCAACATGAGAAAAACAAGGCAACTTTAAGTCGACTGAACGCAAAATTGCGACAGCAGCCGTAATGCAATTTGAATTTACATCTTACTCGTTCTTGCCCTGAGTGACCTTCGCAGCTTGGATGGCAGACATCTTCTGAGTCCAGCCCTGGGTAGGCTGGGGCTTCTTGACGGTGCGGAGATCATCGGTAGAAAAGCCAGAGATGCGCATGTTGTAGTTGCGCTCGAGGACAAGCTGGATATCGCGCAGCTCGAGGGTCGAGGAAGGACGCAGCTTGGCGAGGCGGCAAGCTTGGGTGATGACTTCATCGACGAAATCGTCGGCCATCTGAAGGATGAACTGGAAGATGTTAGCATCTCTGAAAACCGATTTGTTTATTTGTCTCTCACTTCGAAGAGAAATACACTTACCTCTTCCGCATCTGGAGTCAACATTTCTCCTTCGCCGCCACCAGTGACCTGGCGCACGAGGATATCAAGCATCTTCTTGCTTAGCACACGCTGGCCTTCACCTTCAAGGACGTAGCCAGGATGTTTCTGGATCGCGGGTTGGCCCATCATGCCCATGGCACTGTGGCTGGGACCGCCAGACAGAGAGGGACGGGAACCTGGCATCGAGACGGGCTCGGGGGTGGAGACGTGCAGGTTCTTGGGGATTGCCATGTTGGTGTTGCGGGTGGATGCTTCACCTGGGCGGTTGGCAAGATATCCCTGGGGGTGAGCCTGCTGGTTGGCCTGGGCTTGCTGGTTCATTGTTTGTTGTTGAGGGGTGGGGTTGGTGTAGGTTTGGGCGGCTTGTGAGATAGCAGCTTGGTGTGAGAGAGGACGAGGTGGGCCTTGGTTTACCTGTTGAGGACCTGGGGGTGTGGGGGGTGGAACCGTCAGGATGGGGGGTTTGGCTGAAAGTGAGTTGCCCTCCTGGAGTTCCTTGCTGGGATGGTGGCTGTTGACGTTGCGCCTGAGGCAGGGGTGCACTGATGGGGACTGGGGTGTTTCCAGCGGATTGGGCGGAAGGTGGTTGTCCAGGTTGAGAGGCAGAAGGGGACATGGCAGTTTGGCGTGCTGCATTGACCGCTGAGTTGATAGTATGGGGAGCTGGGGGTTGAGGTTGCCCTGGTTGCATGGGGTTTGCTGCCGCTCCTACCTGAGAATTCGGTCCACTTTGAGCAGAGACGGGAGGAGCGACTGGGGCTTGGTTCAAATTGATAGGCGTGTTTGCCTGTGCCGCCTGATTCATCGCCTGATTCTGTGGATTTTGCTGTGATTGAATCTTAAAGCTTTCCTGCTGTTCCTTGAACTTATTCAAAAACTCGCTACCCTCTCGGAAAAGCTTTTCAGCCGCCAACTGCCGATTCTTGAACTCCTGCATTTCCTCTTGGCTCATGTTACCCTGCGCCTGTCGCTGAGCATATGATGAACGAAGATCAGCCATCCGAGCTCGTCCAACCTCCTGCTTTTGAAGCGCAATACCATATCGCAACCGAGCCTCGGGTATCCATGTCTGCACCTGCTCGGGGGTCACGTTCGGAGGCAGGAAAAAATTGAGCGCGCTGACCCGGGCTTGGATTTGTGGAATGAGCTGATTGATCGTCTGTGGGTTGTTGGATTGCGTTCGCTGGACCGGTTGTCCCTGTGGTCCCTGCGTTCCCTGAGGAGCTTGTTGTACCGGTGGCTGCTGCCCTTGCTGTTGTCCTGGCTGTCCCTGTTGCACCGCTCCCTGCTGGTGTTGGTGCTGCTGCATTGCCTGCTGTCGGTTCTGCTGGAAAGCCCGCATTCCCTTCATCAAGTTCTGAGATAGCTGGGAAAGCTTCGTATGCGCCTGTTGATATTCATGGGTCTGTGGATCGCGGGTGTTCAGGAGATCCCAGAGGCTGCGCACTAGCTGGGTATGCTGGGCCTTCTGCTGGTCACTGAGGTGTGGTAGCTTCTGCACTTGGTCCGTCCGAATGAGATTCGAGTGCTGTGGCTGCGGGGCACCCATTGGCTGTCCAACTTGGCCCTGAGACCCTTCCATCTTTGCGATGATGTACTGGTACTGAGGATTCCAGGTTCAAAAGTAGGAGCTGGATGGTGTGGAAGACAGGACAATCGACGCGAGAAAATCTGTGTTTATTGATATACACGATCGCGCTTGCCTCGATATCGATAAGACACCGAACTATATCACACAAGATGGCGGAATAGGCAAGTCCGAATGTCCTGAAGCTTTTGGCAGATTACTCAACTTTTGACGGCGGTGATGGAGGTTGGGCCCGGTCTTGGCATACCGCCCTGTTAACTGTGTTATCAAACTCCAATCGTGTACAGATCTTGCAATGTTTCTGATTTGGTTTGGTAATTTGGATATTTTATTGCCTGTGATAGCTTGTGATAATTAAGATCAACTCATCTATGGGCCATTGCATATACATCACTCCTGGCATATATCGTCCAGGGTTGGGTAGCCCTGAAGAAAGGCCCGGAGAGAGCCTAGAAGGCCCAGGACTTGGGGGCTCCAGGCTTGGAGCAACCCGGTGCAAGCTCAACAGTAAATCTGATCACGGGCGATCACGTGTACACCTATCTACAACATTGTACAGGCAACGTTTTAAAAAGCAGCTGGTTCATGCTCTGATATTTTTCCTTGCAATGTGAAAATCCAACATTTCAGTGGAATCTTAAGCCCTAGGACTCATGCTATTGTAAGCTGAGTCCACAGCCCCGTTGACTGACACTTTCTCCATTTTGCTGCAAGACTGCCATGCCGTCATTTGGAGATAGGGCACCCGGTATTATGGCGTCTCTCTTCGATCCATTGAATCATCTAGTCTCTATCTAGTAGGGTGAGAAGCTCTACATTATATCGAATGTGCTATTGTGCATATAGCCTGATTTGTCTCTTTGATTCCTACTTTAACTTAACTTCTCTAGCAAAGCCCAGCAGTGGTGGAATTTGATACTATTCGCTCCTAGTAGATTATCATACTACACTTAAATTAGCTCGCTATCGCTAATAGTCACCCAACGTGTTGGGCTAACATCTAGAATTGGAACATTAAAAGCTTTCTAGTTGAATCGTGAGGTACTCAAAGTGCAGTCGATTAATAACTTTCCGTGGACCAAGACACAATCCGAGGCTGGAGTTCTACCAAAGAGGACATCCTTGGAAGAACCGCAGTTAATTGTATTGTCAGCTGATAGAGAAGTAGAGAAATAACAAAGAGAAAAAAAAGAGATAGGCATGACCAGCCTGAAGAATAAGCCAACGACCAGTCGATGATTTGGACCAGTGCAGGTTACTATTCTTTCTTATACCTGCTCTAATGCATTCTTCTCTTCCCCTTTGCAGAGTCCTTTACTTACGGAGATGACAACAAACTGATAGCTTTTATCATGACAGAAGTAAGTCACTTTGCTTTTACTATCCTTTCACTCGAAACGTATTTAAACTTTTCTTTTTGACCTGATCTTTGCTTTTATTTGAAAGCATCTTTGAGATTGTTATACTTCTTTTGGGGTTTACGCTTTTGGACGCATATTAGCCCTCCAAACAGCTTCATGTTGAAGTAGCATCTTCGTGGTCATTGATTCACTTCTGATGGTATTTCAGGCTTTAGCGTGTCCCCATGTTTCAAGGTACCCTGATATTCCACAAAAGCTCGAATCATCCACGGATGTAGCCAGCAGCTTACTATGCGGCTGCAGGTACACAATATCATGATCTTCTCTGCTATTTGGCTCCCAGTAAAAAGAGAAGCACCATTGTAGAGTTATTAACAGTTATTAACTGCATTTTGCGCAGAGACAAGTCCTTTGAAACCATGTGCCCTAGTGCGTAGTCTTGCGCCTCCCCAAGTGGGCTCTGGAAACTTGTTTATCTTCCATAATTTATACTCCAATAAACTAATTATAGACCATCGACGACCAAGAAATGCTCAGTTCTACTCCGCAAACAAAACACGGCAACAGGTGCGCACTAAATTGGAATGAATGAGCTAAAAATGGGAGAAATCACTGAGGAGGTTCACCACTATATAATCCTCCTGATATGAAGTAATGAGATCGTGAATAATGGATTGGTGCTGATCTTCATAGCTATCGTAAAGCGCGAAACGTTGTATCATACATCTCTCATGGGTAACTTAGCATGAATAAGACGGGCACTGGCTGGAGGTTGCTGGGGGTGATGACTTTGACGCAGGACGCGAAGAGCATTGGTGATGACTTCGATGCGCCGTAAGTGTAAGCTTCACCCAGAGCGAAGGCTCAATATAAACAGCAGCTTGTAGCACCAATAAGCTTATTCTGACTGAACATAACAACACGTCAGACCTTGTTGTCGCCAAAAACCATCACAGACATGACTAGGCCAGGGTAAATCCAGGGGTGAGTCGTGAACCTGAAAAGCTCTTTATCGAGGAAAATTTGTGGCATCCAGCCTGGGGAAATCTCCACAGAGCACAATGTCTTTTTCTGGTGATAGGGAGACGGACAACAGGTCAATAGAAAATCTTCCATAATGGTGGAACGTGACCATGGCGAAAGGAACAGGCTCAGCCTATCAAACCACCTAGATCTCGATCCATGCCTGTAACTCGTTGTTCTAGCCTTCGCTTCCTCTGCTCCAAGGCTCGGATTTCAGCCAATTCTTGCTCAATATCCTCATCGGTGACATCTGGGATCTCTGGCTGTGCCACCTGTGTAGGGGGAAAATCATCTTCGTTATCTCCGTAAGAGAGCCTCATCTGATCCAGTTCTGCAGTGTTCGTCGCAACTCGATCTTCCAAATGCGCTATGGACTCGCTGATTATCTCATGTCGATAGCGAAGGTTGGCAATCTTTTCCTGTGCACCGGCAACGGGACTTGGGGCTTGTTAGATTGCAACAAGAGTTATTACCGAATAACTGGCACTCACTAGACATTGCACAGGATTTCGGCGCCTTGAAGGAGCACTTCAATGTTGACCTCCCCGCGCGGTCCTCTGGCTGAGGTGCCCGCTGATCGCTTGATCTCTTCCATCATATCATGTCCCAGTACTCTTGCCACTGCAGATTGGTTACGGTTGTCCCGCGCCGAATAAATCCGGCTTGCCATCGACTCCCTTTCAGTCTCAGCGGGGAACATAGTTCCGCGTCGTGTGGCGCGTCTTTGTGATCCATGAGCTTTGGTAGAGGGATCAACCTGGAAGAGTGCTCGTTCATGGGCTTCAGTATCACGGATCAAGGCTGTGATGTCGTGAGAGCCCAGCAGTGCACTTGTGAAAATACGTGGGGAAGGAAACCTAGACACCTGCGTTAGTCAAAGCAACATGGGTGGAGGGGGTATTGCACTCACGGCAAATCGGCGATGGCATTGGAAGAGAGCGTTATCTGCTCTAAGTGGGAATTGAGCAGTGGCATATTTGTGGGTGTTTTTGAAGCTCTGGATCGTGAAGAAAGAGTGGTTGATTGCTCTACACTGCACCACGCTTGTTTACTTCAGGAAAGCTGCATCGACGCCTGAGGCATTCAATTCAAAATGTCGCTTCTGTGTCAGGAACCACGTCTAGCCACGCTGAAAATAATTGAACACGATGCTGCTACTTTCATTCAGGCTTATAGGTTGTAGTCCTTGTTTTTCGCGATGTTTTCTTTCTTATCTTATTTTTTCAATATATTTTTGTCGTCTTTCTAACAGCTTCGACAGTGAAGGTGCCGAGTTGAGACCGCCCGCCCGGCGGTAAGCTCCACTGACTAAGCGCTCATCTGGTCTCTTGCGCCCGTTCATCCCATCTCTTGACATCACATCACCCATCCACCCCATCCATCTGTCCGCACAAGTTTTTCTTCATCATACTCGTGATATTGGAAGCTTGGCTCTCTTGACCTTAATTTTCTGCTTTGTGTCTCCATATTGTGCTCACTCGCCCTTCCCCCTACTCATTCCGATAGCTTAGTGGCTACCCAGCTGAGCTCCACAGCTTAAGAAAGATGCCGGCCGAAAGGCGTTCTTTGCGATCAAACAATAAATCTGACACCTCTTCATCCGCTAACGGTGAAAAGGCAAACTCGGACTCCCAGAGCTCGGGTGCGAAGGACAAGGCGCCCACCACTCGCGCCGCCGCCAACAAGGCCAAGTCAGCTTCCACCAAGAAAGACGCAAAGGGCGCATCGAACGACAACATGGGAGAGGATGATCAGTCGCATACGAATGGCTCGAAGTCAACCAAGAATGGTGTGAATGGATCCGAAGATGTTGAGATGGGAGAGGATACGGCAGGTGCGCCTACATCCTCATCCAACGCCAGCAAGGACCGCAAAAGTAACGAGAAGATGACTGTTGTAGTTCCCCCGACCAAGGGTTCCAGATCGTCTGGCAAGGATAAGGAGGAGGATGTGGCAATGGAAGGTGCGGAGGATGGTGATGTTGAGAACACTGAGCCAGAGGTCGACCCGACAACCAAGGCGATTCAAGGTTCGTCTAGTATCTTTCCTTGCTCAAAAAAAGTCCAGATCTCTAACTATGACTGCCCCTCTTCTTGGTATTGGTTTTTAGACATCAAATCCAACTTCACCTTGCTCGAGCGAGCCGTTGCCCACTTCGACCCTAGATTTACCCTCCGTGTTCTGCGATCGATATCGTCGATGCGGAAATACCTCACCCCGGAGGTCCTCGCCGAAGTCATTGTGGAAACCTATCCCGCCTCTAGCTCGATGGCCTCGTTCCTATTGGAGGCTCTTGGCCAAGCCAGTGCTTTTGAGAATGCTCCAGCTAGCTCGCAGATGGAGGTTGACTCGGATAAGAAGCCTATTTCTAAAGAGATTCTTGCTGAGGTTGATGCCTATCTCTCCATTCTTGTCCAGATATACCTGTTCGACCAACGGGAGATTCAGAAGGGAGTCCAATTCTCGACAAGCTTGATTGAGCGCCTGCGAACACTGAACCGCCGTACGCTGGATTCTCTCGCCGCCCGCGTGTACTTTTACTACTCTCTCTTCTTCGAGCAAACCGCTCCGTTTCCTCCTTCTCCCGCAGCAGCTGTTACCACTATCCGCCAGCCATTGTTGGCGGCGTTGCGCACGGCTGTGCTCCGGAAAGATGTTGACACACAGGCTACTGTGATGACCTTGCTGCTTCGCAACTATCTGTCCACTTCTCATATCTCACAGGCAGATCTACTGATCTCGCATAACCCATTCCCCGTGGCTGCGTCTAACAATCAGATTGCTCGGTATATGTTCTATCTCGGCCGCATCCGTGCTATCCAGCTGCAATACACTGAGGCCCATAGCCATCTGATTGGGGCTACCCGCAAGTCGCCTGCTAGCCAGGTTGCTCGTGGGTTCTACCAGGCTTCCCACAAATTGCTAGTCGTCGTTGAGCTGTTGATGGGTGATATTCCTGACCGCGCAATCTTCCGCCAGCCAGCTTTGGAACGGGCCATGCACCCTTATCTGCTGCTTTCTCAGGCAGTTAGTGTTGCCGATTTGGATGCGTTCCTCAACATTGTCAACACTCACAGTGAGACTTTCCGGAAGGATGGCACATACACCTTGATTTTGCGTTTGCGACAGAATGTCATCAAGACTGGTATCCGCATGATGTCCCTGTCTTACTCCCGCATCTCTCTGCGGGATATCTGTCTTCGCCTCGGACTCGACAGCGAAGAATCTGCCGAGTACATTGTGGCCAAGGCTATTCGGGATGGTGTCATTGAGGCCACGCTTGATCATGAGCACGGGTTCATGAAGAGCAAGGAAGTGGGTGACATCTATGCTACCAGAGAACCTGGCGAGGCGTTCCACGAGCGTATTCGCGCTTGCCTGGCCCTCCACGATGAGAGTGTTAAGGTATGTTATCTTGTCTCGCTAAATGTTCTTGCTTCTTTTTTTCTGCTTTTGCTAACATGGAATCATCCAATCATAGGCTATGCGCTTCCCCATGAACCAGCACCGCCTGGAGCTTAAGAGTGCCCAAGAAGCTCGGGAACGGGAGCGCGAGCTTGCCAAAGAGATCCAGGAGGGAGACATGGACGATGAAGATGCCGGTGGTGATTTCGATGCCATTTAAAGAGAAGTGTGGTTGTTCCATAATCGATACAGCATTCTTCCCCCTCTACCGCACTGGTCTCATGCATAGGTCTCTGCCTCGTAGCGGCCTGTTTTCTAAACCGTGTGTTAATTGTCCAATTTGTTTTCCTTATTCTGGCCCTTTATTCGGATGTGTACGAAGGGGAATGTCCAGGGCCAAGATGGCGGCGCAGTCTTCCCTGTTATACTGGAATTATTTCTTGTCCCGTGCCTTTATTAGAACCGTATGTCAACTTAGTGATCAATGACTTGTAAATTTCAACTACTCCCGTGTCGTTCTCCCCTTACTCCAGTTTTGTACAAAAATTGTATTGGGCCGAGTCATACTTGGCTGGCGTAGCACCGGGTCCGTGCCGACCCGAGAGAGCTCGAAATCTTCCCGTCCGCAAGATTGTTCGTCCCTGTACTCCGCAAAAACCTGACATCGTTATCGTTTTCTGGGATTGGGTTCCTATGGTTTAATTTGGGGTTTTTCTTCATTTATAATTGAAAAGCCCTCGCATTGAGTATGGGAGCTCGAACTGCATCAGCCACCGGGCTGATCCTCTCATCACGAACGACTGTCTGTTCCCAATGCCTCCGCGATGACCTCCGTTTCACGCATATTGCTCTACAATCCCGCAAATATCACCCAACGCGCCGGCGGGACGCCTCGCCGTTTGGAGCTGCCGTGTCAGCGGCCCAGGCCATCTTCAAGGGTATGCCGAAGGCGCCTCCCGGTATTTCGGTCGACCCATTGAGAATGGTTGGAAAAGAGCTCAAGTTCCTCACCAAAAACATCCGACAATTGCTTGGATCGGGCCATCCGGCGCTGGACAAGGTTGCCAAGTACTACACTCATAGTGAGGGCAAGCACATGCGGCCCATGCTTGTCCTCCTCATGTCCCAAGCCACAGCTTTAGACCCTCGCAAGCACCACACCTACACGGATAAACCGAGCCCCGTCGATTCCTCCTTCAGTGCGCCATCCATCCTCGAAGATGCCAACCCAGAAATGAACCCGCTTGTGGCTCCGAACGCCGAGAGCAAATATGATATCGCGGGAGATGACAACATCCTGCCTTCACAACGGCGGCTGGCGGAGATCACGGAACTGATCCACACAGCATCTCTTCTGCACGACGATGTTATTGACAATGCTGTGACACGTCGCGCCAACAGCTCGGCGAACCTGGCATTCGGAAACAAGATGGCTGTGCTGGCGGGTGATTTCTTGCTCGGGCGTGCTTCGGTAGCGCTGGCTCGTCTGCGTGACCCCGAGGTCACTGAACTCATGGCCACCGTAATTGCTAATTTGGTGGAGGGGGAGTTCATGCAACTGAAGAACACCGCGCAAGACGAATCAAAACCCGTCTATACCGACGAGACACTTGCCTACTATCTCCAGAAAACCTACCTGAAGACCGCCAGCCTGATCAGCAAGTCCTGCCGCTCTGCCGCGGTTCTGGGACGGAGTGCTCCCGAGGTGATCGAGGCCTCGTACGCCTATGGCCGTAACTTGGGTCTTGCTTTCCAGCTTGTTGATGATATGTTGGATTACACGGTCACTGAGGCGGAGATGGGCAAGCCCGTTGGTGCAGACCTGGAGCTTGGATTGGCGACCGCGCCTCTCTTGTTTGCATGGAAGAGTAACCCGGAGCTCGGTCCTTTGGTCGGACGGAAGTTCCGCGAGGAGGGTGACGTGCAGAAAGTGAGTGTTCAGAATAGTGTTCAGATTTGCGCGTGGTCTTGGTACGATAACGCTAATTATTTGATACCCACTAGGCCCGTGAGCTCGTTTACCGCAGCAATGGTGTAGAGCAGACTCGTGCTCTGGCCCAGGAATACGCTGACAAGGCCATTGCCGCCATCAGCGACTTCCCAGACAGTGATGCCAAGACCGGTCTAATTGAGATGTGCGAGAAGACCATGAATCGCAGGAAGTAGAGGAGACTGCGCTCCCATGTACACATACTTGTCTTTCAGCTTGCTCACTCCTTGTTTCTTCAGGTGACTGTCTTTTTTTTTCTCTATATGCCTGTGTACACTTAGATGTCTTAGATGGTTGGATATATACTTGATCTTCACCAATAGAAGCATTTCTTCTCTTCCGTTTTACAGCAAGTTTCATACGTCATTTCTTACTTTATGGGCATGTATTTGAAAATCTGAATAAGACAAGCGTCGAAACTGTGTATGTCGAGATATGTTTCTTGTAAGTTAAGAAGCAGTAAATCGTCTACGATGCTAAGCCCTATCAGTGTGATCTCTACTCTGTACATAATCTGAGAAGGTATTCTGCATCTGAGGTATGAGACTTCTCACGCACTTTATAAGACCTTTCAAGTCACCGTTGCACTGCATGAAAAGAATTATCGACTGCCCCATTCACATTTTTACATATATAATGTACCGACAAATTTCTGGTGTGCTCAGTAGCTCGGGTTAAATTATACACAAATTGAAATGACTAGAACAGTAACCGATGAGGTTGATATTCCGAGGTTCCTTTCAGGTTCCTGACAGCTGGTCGGATCAAGTGGGGTATGAATGGATCTACTTGTAATGGTAATGTAAGTATTTTGAAATACAAGAATGGATACAAACATTCACATATACATCCCAACGGAATACAAATACATGACTCGTAACGTGAGGTACACAGCACCGTCATCCCGTGTGCAAGCTGCAACTCCCTGCAACTCTCTTGCAATAACCCTTTCTCATCTCGCTCGTTTTATTCCAGAGCCGGTCTCTTTTACTTCGCCGTGTCATTTCTAAACTGTTGGAGGTCGCTCTCCCAAACTATGGAGCTTTCTATCCGCCCACATTGATCGACTGGTTCCCGATGGGTTCGCTCGCTAGCTTCCTCTTCGTTTACGCCCTCGGCGGAATCACTTTCATTCCACTGGTCTTGTCCATAATATTCCTCTATGTTTACCTGACCCTTCTACCTGCGCCGCAATCGTCACAATCATGCGAGAAAGCGCCCGATCCCATCCGCCAACCTACCGATGACGACTTGAGTCTAAAGTCTGGCACCGACCAACTAGCAGAGAGATTCCATCGCACCCACGAGTCTGATGTTGCTGCTGGATACTTTGCCGTCTGTCGTGAATATGTTCCCGGTGGTGTAAATGGGAAACCCCCCCGAGAGAACGACTCCTGCGGGAGAAGTCGTCGCGGCCGAGAGTCCTAGCGTGTACCAGACGATGTACCGGAGCCTGTTCGATCGAAAGCAGACTCCCAGCATCGATCCGGCTAAAGCGAATGGAAAGACCACTAGGCGTGGGCGAAATGTTTTTTACATTGTTCTCCGGTAAGCATGTCTTCCTCTGGATGTATAATTTGTTACTTAAGCGCTGATTGCTAACGTTGGGTTTTATCTCCCCAGACATGGCCATTTGATGCTTTACGATGATGTCAATCAGGTCGAGGTGCGCTACGTCATTTCGCTTGCTCACCACGATGTGACCATATACGGCGGAGAGGGTGATATCCCAGAAGGAGAGCTGTGGCTTAAAAGAAATGCCATCTGCCTCTCACGGCGACTGGCTTCGCTTGGGGATTTAGGAGGACCGACTCCACCGTTTTACCTCTTCTCTGAAAACTTGTCTGAAAAGGAGGATTTCTATATCGCTATGCTGCAGAACCAAAATCGGCTGTGGGACTCGCCCGATCGCCCACCAAAGCACCAGGAATTTGATACAAAGCATATTGTCACATTGGTCCAGCGCCTGCATTCCTCCGAAGAGCAGTTGCAGACACGTTGGATCAATGCTTTCCTTGGAAGGTGGTTCCTAGCGATGTACCGAACACCCGAGTTGGAGGAATCTGTGCGGAGCAAGATTGTCAAGAAAATCTCCCGTGTCAACAAACCAAATTTCATTAGCAAGATTGGCTTGCAGAGAATTGATATGGGCGAAGGGGCTCCATTCATCACTAACCCAAGATTGAAGGACTTGACGGTGGACGGCAATTGCTGTGTGGAGGCTGATCTGCAATATACTGGAAACTTCCGGCTCGAGATTTCGGCGACTGTGCGCATTGACTTGGGTCCTCGCTTCAAGGCCAGAGAGGTCGACATTGTCCTTGCCGTTGTGTTGAAGAAACTCGAAGGCCATTTGTTGGTACGCTTCAAGCCCCCGCCCAGCAATCGTATCTGGATGGCTTTCGAAACCACGCCGAAGATGGAAATGGACATCCAACCCATTGTCAGCTCGAAACAAATTACATATAGCCTCATTCTGCGCACGATCGAGAGTAAGATCCGCGAAGTAGTGGCGGAGAGCATCGTTCTGCCGTTCTGGGACGACGTCCCCTTCCATAATACCTTCGGCCAGGCTTTCCGCGGTGGTATCTGGGAGCAAGACACTCCGGAGCCGAGTGCTCAGGTAGAGATACCGGAGATACCGGATGAATCCGTCGAAGCTCCCCCGACACCAAAGAGCGTTGCTGGTGATCCCGTTGAAGTCCTTAAGCCCAGGGATGATCGCACGATGAGCATGCCTATTCTTTCTGAGTCCGGAACGGCCAAGAAAAAGCTGCGCAAAGGCCTGAAATCTTCCCACTCGGATCTGCAATCGAGCAGTTCCACTGCAACTTCCACCGGCGTTGAGAGATCTGACAGCACACAGCTGCCTCGAGCTATTCGGTCACAGACCTTTTCTCCTGTTGCCGACCCTGTGGTCACAGCGGACAATGCCAAGGTTGACAAGCTTGTTCCAGAGAATAGAGGCGTAGACAAGAGCCATGCAACAAGTGCCATGATAGAGATATCAAGCCGATCCCCACCTACATCCCCGCAACGAACTCCAGGCACCTCGCCACCTACAGGTGGCCTTGCGATGCCAGAAAATGCGGTCTACGGCCGTGAATCATCGACTGCAGATTCTATTGACAGCGCTAGCTTCCCCCATGAAAGTCTTATCCAAAGACCTTCTTCTACTCGCATGGAGGGCGGGTCCTTTTCCAGCTTGAGAAATTCTCGGGGTAGTTCCACCACGTCCGTTGCCAGCGACACGGCTCGACGACGCAGCACAATTGAAACCATCACTAAAACCTTTACACCTTCCGATGACAAGACTTCCGGTCCAATGACTCTCGGACAAGCCACTGCGGCGGCCAAGAAATGGGGTTGGAGCGTATTTGGCAAGGGTGATCCAAATAACGGCCAAGAATCGTCGCGGGCTCCTCCAGGCGCGTCGCTTAATCAACCAATTGGGCGTGGTCATCCTCATCCACCACCTGGAACACCCTTGCCCCGTCCAGACAAATATGCCTTAAAGAGGAATGCAGGAGCATTGCCCAAGCGTAAACCTGTGGCAGCTCATACAATTCCTGAGCGCCCAAAGACGGGAGACCAGCAACCTCCGCCATCACCTTTACCCCGCAGGAAAACAATGATCCCTGAAGTGCGTGTCGATCAAGGCATTGACGAACTACTTGTGGTTGAGGCACTTCAAGACTCTGAGCCGAATAGCCCAGCCCCTGGGGACTTCGAACCAGACTCTAGTCTGATAGCCCCGACTCCTGTCGAGAGTGAGACATCATTAAAGACAGAACGGATTGAGGCTGATTCTAAGAGACAAGAACCGCTGCCTGCTATTGAGTCACCGCACCCTGTTGATCAGGAGCCTTCTCCAATGCCAGGAAATCATGAGGCCTTGCCATCTACTGGAAGTGTGGGAGCACCATCATCGTAATGCTGGTTGCCTCTAGCTTGACATAAAGAGGATAATAACCATAGGACTGAGAATGCCGAACCTTTGATTCAAATAGATACATGCGATTATCAAAATGGATGGCGCGGCCCTTTGGACTTTTCTTTTTGATTCCTTGGTCATATTACTGTGCTGGGCAGAACTTCATGTCAGGCTGGTTATTCCTGAATGTGATAGTTCTCTCTGCACAGAGTATTTCAAGTCCCATATGTAACTCTTTTATGTTGTAGCTAATCCTCTGTCTGATATTCAATATTATCCATCTTGACTTTGAGTTGTTGCAAAGTAAACCAAGTAGACCAAGTGGCATGAAATCTTAGCACCTGGAGCATGCATCATTTATTCCTGCTGGCTTAGCCTGCATTGTGTATGCCAGACGCGTAGACTTGAGATGCTCGTAAAGAAGTCTTTGAATTCCGCCCAACCCGCATCGGCTTAGGCGTCGCCAAGACTCCCCGACAGGCGCCAGCTTTCCCGTTCCCCATCAACGTCATTGCTCGAACTCCCACGTGTGTCTTTTTTGGTGCTTCACCAATTCACCTTTGCCTTGCGATTGGAAGTATCCGCTAAGTCCGGTCAGCGCAACTTATCGCTAGAGTCTGTGCGCTGCCCGGGTTCGAGACCTGTTCACGCGATAAACCTTTCCGACATTCATCCACTTCCCCCTGAGCACATACTCCAACGGCCACAATGAGTCGGTAAGCAAGACCACAACAGTGATTTGAGAGTACTTGTCTGATGATTGATTGCGCAGGACCGAGGCCGATTTGGCCATCAATATCCGCAAGGCCACCAGTATCGGTAAGTCGTTGATCGAGGATGAGACCAATGCGGGACAATGGCCATGATAAGCTGACAATTTAACAATCAACAGAGGAAACTGCTCCTAAACGTACGTCCTGATCCTATTTCATTGCCACTCTATCGAACCGATCGATGCTGCTTCGGTTTTGCTCCGTCCGAATCGAACTGACCACCCCCGCGCCTGTAGGGAAACATGTGCGGAGCTGCATCGTCTATACGTGGGACCACAAGTCATCGGCAGCCTTCTGGGCTGGCATGAAAGTGTAAGTTTTTGGGATACCGCACAGAGATGGAAAGGGGCTGTTATCGATAGGGCTGACACGGTTTTGTTCTTCACAGGCAGCCCGTCCTCGCCGACGAGGTCCAGACATTCAAGGCCCTGATCACGATACACAAGGTTCTCCAGGAGGGCCACCCCATGGTTGTCCGCGAGGCGCAGCAGCATACCAACTGGATTGATAGCCTGATGCGAGGAGTTGGAGGCGATGGCGTTCGAGGTATGAATTCCACGCAGGATAACTGCGAAATTGCTTTCTGCCCGAGGAGTGGCCACACGTGCAATGGACGGTATAATGACAGTTTTGGATAGGATATGCGCCGCTCATCCGCGAGTACGTCTTCTTCCTTGAGGCGAAACTGAACTTCCACCGCAACCACCCTGAATTCAACGGTATGTCGTCCACGGCCGATCAGTGCTGTGATGGGCGTGTGTCTAACCATCGCAGGTCTGTTCGAGTATGAGGAGTACATTAGTTTGAAGTCGATCAACGATCCGAACGAAGGGTGCGTACATAACTGGTCTTTGCGACAATGGATAGAGGTGTTAACAGCCAGACAGCTACGAGACCATCACCGATCTGATGACTCTGCAAGATCAAATCGACTCCTTCCAGAAGCTCATCTTCTCGAACTTCCAGTCTGGCACGAACAATGAATGTAGGATCTCGGCACTAGTGCCACTTGTGCAGGAGAGTTACGGCATCTACAAGTTTATCACCAGCATGCTGCGAGCCATGCACACAAGTATGTCATTCTTGATTCTGGGGCTGCTACAATAGCCGCTGACTGATCTTTTCTGTAGCGACTGGAGAGGACGAAGCTCTAGAGCCACTCCGAGGCCGATATGATGCCCAACACCACCGTCTTGTTCGATTCTACTATGAGTGCTCCAACCTGCGGTACCTGACAGGTCTCATTACCATCCCGAAGCTGCCACAAGATCCGCCAAGCTTGCTTGCCGAAGATGACGATCGCCCAGCCCTTCCCAGACGGCCGGCGAAAGAAGTGGAACACCAGCCCTCGCCGCCACCGAAAGTCGCTGCTGAACCCGAGCCGATAAATGATTTCTGGACAAACGAAGCTAAACGTCAGCAAGAAGAGTATGAGGCAGAGCAACAACGCCTGCAGCAGCAATGGGAGGACCAGCAACGACAGCAAATCCTTGCCCAACAGCAAGCCCAGAATGATTTCGAGGAGCAGCAGCGTCTGCAGGCGGAACAACAGCGATTGGCCCAGGAGCAGCTTCTTCGCGACCAGTACCAGACACAGACTCAAGGTCGGCTCGCAGAGCTGGAGCAAGAGAATCTAAATGCTCGTGCACAATATGAGCGCGACCAGCTGATGCTGCAGCAATATGACCGCCGTGTCAAAGAGGTTGAAGAACAGATGAACCACCTGAACTCGAACATGAACTTGCAGAATGCCTCGAAGGACGACCAGATTCGGTCATTGCAGGAGCAGGTGAACACCTGGCGATCCAAGTACGAAGCATTGGCCAAGCTGTACTCACAACTTCGACAAGAGCACCTTGATCTTCTGCAGACCACAAAGAGCCTCAAGCTCAAGGCAGCTTCCGCACAAGAAGCAATCGACCGACGAGAGAAGCTGGAGCGCGAGTTAAAGACCAAGAACTTGGAGTTGGCTGACATGATTCGAGAACGTGATCGTGCTCTGCATGACCGGGACCGTCTGACGGGAACGAACAAAGATGACTTGGAGAAGGTCAAGCGTGAGCTTCGCATGGCTCTAGAGCGTGCCGAGAACGCAGAACGTTCAAAGGGCACCGAGATCTCGTCCTTGCTGTCTAAGTATAACCGCGAGATGGCTGATCTGGAAGAGTCCCTTCGAGTGAGTAGCTGTCCGTTTGCTTGAGTGTGACCCATGCTGACCTTATAGATTAAAACCCGCGCATTGGACGAGTATTCCAGTCGTAATAACGACCGCCAGGAAGACCTCGACCTGTCTCTTCGCGAGAAGGACGAGGAGATTGAGGTGTACAAGTCTGGTATGGAACAGGCTCTTATGGAACTGGAAGAGTTGAGACTTGTGAGTGGTGATCTTGACAGCATTCGATGCCTGCGTACTGACCATGTTCCCCTGTAGAGCCAAGGCGATGTCGACCATGCGCTGGATAGCCAGATTGACACCGTGCTTCATGGCGCAGTCGCGAAGATCAACGATATTATCGACTCCGTGCTACAAACCGGTGTGCAGCGTGTCGATGACGCACTGTATGAACTGGACTCGTCCATGCAGGCTGGTAACCAAAATGCCTCTCCTCCATACGTGCTTTCGCAGATTGAAAAAGCGTCAGCTTCTGCGACCGAGTTCTCGACGGCTTTCAACAACTTCATCGCCGATGGCCCCAACAGTCCCCATGCTGAGATTATCCGAACAGTCTCCATATTCTCTGGATCTGTCTCTGATGTGTTGAGTAACACTAAGGGTCTCATCCGCTTCGCCAATGATGACAAGAGCTCCGATCATCTGATTAACGCCGCTCGGAAGTCTGCACAGGCGACGGTGCGGTTCTTCCGTGGCTTGCAGTCGTTCCGTCTTGAAGGGCTGGAACCGCTACAGAAGACTGATGTGGTCATCAACAATAACCTTGAAGTCCAGCGTGATCTACAGTCGCTGTCGAAGCTGGTTGAGTCGTTCGCTCCTAAGAATACCAAGATTAGCACCAGTGGTGATCTGGGTGACCTCGTCGACCAGGAACTCCTCAAGGCCGCGGATGCCATTGACGCAGCTGCCCAGCGCCTAGCTAAGCTTAAGAATAAGCCTCGTGACGGGTACTCGACCTACGAACTACGCATCAACGATGTTATCCTTGCCGCCGCCATTGCCGTCACTAACGCAATCTCGGAGCTTATCAAGGCCGCCACAGAGACCCAGCAGGAAATCGTCCGCGAAGGCCGTGGTAGCTCATCTCGTACTGCCTTCTACAAAAAGAACAACCGCTGGACAGAGGGATTGATCTCTGCTGCCAAAGCAGTCGCCTCTTCGACTAACACACTGATTGAGACTGCCGACGGTGTAATCTCGGGCCGCAACTCACCAGAGCAACTCATCGTCGCCTCCAACGATGTTGCAGCCAGCACTGCTCAGCTTGTCGCAGCTAGCCGTGTCAAGGCAACATTTATGAGCAAGACTCAAGACCGCCTGGAGACCGCTAGCAAGGCTGTTGGTGCCGCTTGCCGTGCCCTCGTGCGGCAGGTGCAGGACATCATCAAGGAGAAGAACCGCGACGGCGATGACGGAGAGGATTATGGAAAGTTGAGCTCACATGAGTTTAAGGTTCGCGAGATGGAGCAGCAGGTATGTGGCGTCCCCTCCCCCTTGAATCCTACCCACCTCATACTGATGTGTCTCCTTCAATAGGTCGAAATTCTTCAACTCGAGAACGGTCTCGCTCGCGCACGCCAGCGCCTGGGAGAAATGCGCAAGATCTCCTACCAGGAGGATTAAGGAAGTCACCACTTATGTCTTTCGTCCTTCGCTGTCTGTGTATATTCCGCATACCAGCCTCGGTATTTTTGTTTCGTCCATTCCGCACCTTGCGTTCTCCGGCTCTTCTCCCAAACCCCCGTAGTTAGTGCCATATTTTATTTCCCATAGCGAATGAAAGAAGGTTCCATTTCTCTAAATCATCTACTACATAGATCCACTCCGCTGTATCCTGTGTCCATGCTTCCAGTAGGCAACGGTGTAAAGCGTGTAAAGCGCAAGGTCGCACGGTCGGCTATGCACGTCTTGCCCCCTGCATGTGCCCTTGATGGTGCATGCCAAGGCTTCTAAGGTTGTCTGAGGTATTCCCGAGTTGTGGAACCATGGATGCAGTGCATGCCGATCCGCGGGTGGAGCCGACTAGCCGCTGTCAGCAAAGACTATCGAGACGTCACCTCATGCACAGAAACAAAGAGCCGAGTGTCTGGACATCGCTATGTGGTCGGGCCTTCGAGTTCAAACATGGAGACTCAGATAGACTCCAAATCATGATTTTTCGATTGGAAAGCATGTTATCTAGAGGAATGGTCGACTGTCGAAGTATTGTACTGAACGCTCTTAGTGCAAAAAGATGCGACCCTGTCCTTGAGAGACGTCTCTATTTCCATTTACGGGTCTTGGTGATACGTTATTGAAAGCAATTTGTGCAAATTCGAATGAATTGCAAAGTTAAAGTACATAAATGGCTCAAATGGTAGGAAAAGAGGCGTCTGGTAAACCCCGTGGGAAAGAAAGCCAGCGACCTCAGTTCCTAAGAACTTGCCATGAGCGAAAACAGAAAAATTGAAAATTGAAAACGATTCAACGAGTAAAAACCAGCTAATAGTACAGGGATATTGTGTGCAACAGAAAAAGCAAAGGGAACGAATCTTTTTTTTTGGAAAGTTTTGTTTTCAAGTTTTTTGTTGTTGTTGTTGTTGTTGTTGTTGTTGTTGTTGTTGTTGTTGTTGTTGTTGTTGTTGTAGACAAGAACTGGCATGTGCATTTGATGCAGGTGATCCTCATATCTTCATGGGTGACCATGATCGGTCAGTGGAAATGTTGATAGGTATGTCATGTGTCGCTGAACCGAATCAAGATTGAGAATGTGAGCCTCATTAGAAGATGGTGGGTGTGAGGATGTCTGATTTGTCGGATTCGAATGGCATAGGGATGTATTCCATAGCAGTAAGATTGCTGCCTGAAGCCAATTCGTTGCTGATTTCCATACGATCACCATAACTGTAAGGGGCAGGAAGTGGCTCGACACCGTTCGGGCCAAAGAGAATACCATTGTTGCTTAGTTCGGACAAATAGTCGTCATCGATTGCGATCAGATGTTCATCAAAGTCTTCGTCGAAATCAACACCACCAATGCACTGGGAATCATCGTTGCGGAAAGGCTGGTAGTTGGTCCGAATGCGGGGAGCACGGCGTCTGCGCTCCGAAGGACGACGAGGGGCATACTGATAGTCGGGATGCTTGATAGCATGCTCTTTCTTCAGGTCATCAGCGAGGCGGGTGAACTGCTGGCGAACCTCAGGGGTCTCGTTGTTCCAACGCGCGCCAAGAATACGAGCTGATTCATGTATTAGCTTGAAACAAGATAGAGACAATTGGATATAGCTCACAAATTTCGTTGTTGGAAACACCAGGGTTGGCATCCTTGACCAAATGGTGGTTTGCCTGGCGATACAAGATAAAGCAGTTGGGGGGACGAGGGACTTTGGTAGGGCGAGCAGGGATCTTCACAGAGTCTCCAGCGTGATGGATTGACTTGCTGAGCAAAAGGTGTTCATCAAGCTCGATGTTATGTTGATCAGGCAACAAATCTTCGTCATGCTCCGTTCCCAGTTCCTTGGGGAACATGCGATAGGCATCCATAGATTCATCCAGGACAATCTGAACCTTCTTGTTGAGAATAGCTCTATTGTAGCTTGTTAGTAACGTAGCCCAGGTATGTCCAGATTCAAAACTTACGCCAGACGAATTCCCATGTCCTTGAGGTGATCGATGTCAAGCATATCATCGAAAAGGTTGCGAGGCAGAAGGATTTCACCATCGGTCTGAGGGAGATGGGAGACGGCGTCTGCCCAAAGAAGCTCCATGGACCGACGAGGAGACATGTCGTCGCCGTCATCGACGAAATCCAGGAGGCAGGTCCGCATCATGAGAGGTGGTGAGTGCACTGGGAAGCAAGAGAGGAGTTTTGGTATGGGGCGAAAGAAGAAGAAAGTGGGGTGGAGAGAGGAGGAAAAGAAAGAGAAGAAGAACAAACGAGGTGGGAAGTAAATAAAGGAAAGGAACAGAGACTTCGAAATAAGGTGGGTGACGAGTTGGATGATTTCTTTGTTTCCTAGCAACACCAATCATAGAGGCAGGCGAGAAACATGTATTTCTTTGTTTGCGCAGCCACGCCAATCACATGGTCTCATCCCAGGAAAGATTTCTTTGTTGGGAATAGTACCAGTTGAACAAAGAAAGTCAATTATGGAGGGATAAACAATAATGAATATGGCTACAGGGAAAACCTACAGTGGCTTCAAGTACCATTTTGACAATCAAGTCTACAATACTGTATACATGGATGTATAAACTGGTTTCCTAGACATGTAGACTTCGGCCATTCGGGTCATGAACATATATTGCTCAACAAATAGTTTCTTTAGCTAACAATCCATGATATGATTAAAATATAGTGATAGGTCGCCAAAACACGATTTCGATTCGTGCTTGATCTATCCCATAGGTACATATATATACACATAAGGTGTAGGTCTGATGAGTGGATCTTCCGGAATTCCGCACGTGGCACTGCGGATCTGGGGCTAGCGTCCGCCGCCACGGATAAACTTAAAATATATCCAAGATTAAACAATAGGTAGAGCCTTCAACTAGTAAGCGTGTATTTAATTGCATAGAGAATCTCAGATTTGTGAGCTGATGATCAAGGCTATGATCGAAATTGGAGGAGGCTTAAGATACATTTTCACCCACCAGAGTGTCGACAGGGTACTTACCCAAGATGTATCTCGAAGCCCCATAGCAACGAAGTGGTGAACAGAGAAGTCAAACAAAGAATTCAAACAAAGAATTCAAACAAAGAATTCAAACAAAGAATTCAAACAAAGAATTCAAACAAAGAATTCAAACAAAGAAATCAAACAAAGAAATTCATCCAGAAGCGGGCATTCAACCAAAACATGGATCAGGAGATTTAAAGAGACAAATACAAAGAAGCAACAATAAGGACAATAAGGACGATAAGGACAATAAGGACAATAAGGACAAGGGTGGAATGACAAACGGCCGACTTCAAGTGCTTCAGACCCAAAGCAGCTACAGTATCGGGACCTAGAAGTCTTTGGTAAGACTTCAGGCTATTTCCCAGATTATTGCCCCCTGCGTGCTCCTATTTGGGTACATAATACTCTTTCAAATACTGATCAAATGACATTACCAAGTGTCTTGCTTGTTAACAGACGTATATTGTTGGAACAAGAGGAGACCCCAAGAAGCACTGTCTATAGTAATGTAATACATATACAGTAGTCTAATCTTGGGGAGTAGCATATGGTCGCCAGGAGTCTCGGTATCTAAACAACCCCGCTGGCTCTATAATAAACATATGAATATGAGCCATAATAATTGAAAATTGATACCCAGCTGTGGAATATTCAACAGCTTTGTTGAGTAACGAGGGATATCTCCTTTGCGGGTCATTTTTTTATTGCCCCTGTGTTGCAGTCGGTGAATTCCAGTCACTTGCCCATATGAATGTGGGACACCGCCATTGGGTGCCCTTTTCTTTTTCTCCACTGGGTCCCAATGGCCGGGGACAAATCCAAAAGGATCGACCGCGATTCATTCCGGGTTTCTTCGTGGTCAAGCTGATACACGGCTCTTGATGCCCATCGCAGGGTGGAACGGGTTTCTTGGTGAAAAGCTTTGACCAATCCTCCTTGCTGACAATCGGGTCAATTATTTCGTCATCAATGAACTTGCTGGCTATCGGCCATTCGGTGGAAGTGTCAGCAGCCTTTCTTATGGTGTCTTCCTGGGGCCATGGAGGCTGCGGACTGGCCGCTGGAGCTTTCCCCTTCTCCTGTGGAAATTCTGATGGCCTATGGCTGAGTGGTGGTGTCGAAGGGCCCGGTAAAGCGATGGGTGACCGGGTAGCCTCATGTAAATTCACAGCATGTGGCTTGAAGAAGCCCATCAATGTCTTTTGACCTGTCACAGAGCCCTCGGAAGACGCCGATACGGCGGGCTTGGGACGTTTCGCGAATGTGGTTTGTAAAGGTTGGAGGCGTTTGCGAGAAGCAGTCTGAGGGTGTTGATTTCTCTCATTGGAGGGCGAAGAACTCTTTTTGGCTGAATCTGTAGCTCTGAAGGCCTTTGGCATGACTGTAGATCTCGTGACTTGAGTCGTGGGGATGTTGGCCAGGGTAGCGGCTAGTTCTCCCGAATTTGACGGAATGCTGGTTGGTTTGCGAGCAAACATGTCCTTGATACTTCTGCGCTTATCAACGTCGAACTCGGGGAACAAACGTCCCGAGACTGGCAATACACACTCGTTTGAGTACTCCTGTTGGCGCTTGCCACTGTTAAACATCCCCGGTGGGTTGAGAATATCCCGGATGTTTACCTCGCCTCCGGGCTGATTTACAGTCTCTTTGATGACAGCATACACAGGACAGTGGTCTGATCCCTATAAAGCAGTCAATCAATGTTTCACAACACAAAGGAGTAAGTCCATACCATCAATCCCTCTTGAATATTTGAGTCAGAGAACCAGTCCTGCATATCCAAGCTGCACAACACATAGTCAATCCTCGAGCCGTAATTCCCGGGCCGAGCATTGAGTTTCTGATCCCAGCACGTATACATGCCTGTACGATCTGGATGGAATGACCTGCAGATATCGAAAAGGACAGGATTTTCCCTGCCTTCGTCGCGTTCACCAACAACCACACCATCCAATACCAATTGGTTGAATAAACGTCGAGAAGGCGCAGATACAAATTCCTCCTCTGTCATTGTACCTTTCCGTATGGCCTCGATTCCATGAGCAGCATCAATACTCTGCTTCGAAATATTTATATCCCCAGTCAGGACCACCTTCTTCCCCATCGCAGTCAGATTGCGGATTCGACAATCTAGGGCATTGAGGAAGTCTGTGCGGAAATCGTCCCGACTCTCATTTCGATAGGCAGGGCAATAGACACCAATAAGGACAAATGCAGGAAACTCTAGAATGACGCAGCGCCCTTCGGAGTCGAGCGCTTGTGCATCTATTCTGGTATCGAATACCGAGCTCACACTCTGCTTCTCTTCCGGGTCAGACCCTTCATGGTCCATAGCAGGCCTGAAAAGTTGATCCGATGTTGGATATCCGCCAATCTGTTGCTCTTCTGGAAGACTGCAGAAAGGTGTTGAGGATTTCGGTGGACAGAGAACTCCAGTAATGCCCTCTTCTGCCCTTATTGGAGAACATGTGGCATTGCGTGTGTAAATCACAACACCCGAGTATCCTAAAGGCTGTCAGCGTCCTGTATAAATATTTATCGAATATTAGCTTGCCTTTTTGACTCGGGGAAGACTAAAATAGCAATCCCATCCTGGAACCAAGACCATGTCATCACGGAGGTCTTTGCGCTGGATTTTAGTTTCTTGGAAAACTACAATATCCGCCTCCAGTGTATCAAACATGGACTTTGGAATGAATAAGCTCGGCATAATCGGGAAATGGAAGGAAACACACTTACCTCGAATGTGCGCGTTCCTCTCCATGGCTCATAGGAGAACGGATTTCTGTTTGCTATATTAATGTTGAACGAGTCCAAGCGGCAGGTTTTTCTCATACCGTATACCATTTACTAGAAAGCAATGCGTTGTTGGTATTTATCTACCAGTTCAATTGCCAACAACAAGCCAGATAGAACTTACCATTCCATGTGGTGATACGAACCCCCATGTTGGATGCTATCACAGGGGGTAATGCAGCATTGTTTATGGTACAAATGTTCAAGAGAGGTTTGAGTACAAATATGAAAGGCTGATTCAACCAAGGACCAGAACTCCCCGGTCTTGAATTTAGGTAACCGTGCAGGATCTGGAGAGCATGCATCCTGACGTCCCTACATATCCCAAAACAAGCACGTGACTCTTATTGCCTGATATTCCAGGCATAATGACATCAGGTTACATAAGCCGGGAGATCACGGGGATGCGCTAAAGACGGCTTTTGGACCTCATCGCACCACTTTTGACCTCCACCACCAAAAGAACTCCTTTAGCACCACCCACCATGTTCCCTCAGCGCAATATTGGTCGCCTGTCCCAGCGTGCTTCGCAGCAGATGCGTTCCGCTCCGGTCCGCTCTACAATCCAACGCCGTTTCAACAGCACTGAGGCCAAGCCTTCTTGGATCGTCGACAACGAATTCAATCGGGAGAGAGCTGCTGTCAAGCACCATGCTGCCTCTACCAGTGGTACGTACCATCACAAATGAACTCAATTGATTCTGTTGCATGGTCATTACTCGTCGAAAATATCTGTCACTGACCCTACGATTGTACAGACCTCTGGCGCAAGCTGTCCATCTTGTACGTTTTCAATCTAGATTAATTCTGATATGACGCACTCACCAATAGATAAAACTAACTTATTTATAGTGCTGTTATCCCCTGCCTGATTGGTGGCGGTATTAACGCTTACAACCTCTGGTCCGAGCACTGGGAGCACTGGGAGCACATGCCCCCGCTCGAGGAGCGCACCGAGTACCCTTACCAGAACATCCGCACGAAGAACTTCCCTTGGGGAGACGGTGACAAGGTATGTGGACCCAATAATGCTATATTCTGAAGACTCAAGCTAACCTAGGCATGGAATAGACCATTTTGTGAGCTCCCACTTCCCTGCCCCCACCACATCCTACGCATTGTTTTGCAGAACAGTTAGCTTCGGCAATCTTCAAAATCTGCCCTTAGTGGATCGCATGGTCTTCTCTCACTACTATATCCCCCCTGAACATCAGAACTAACCTCATTATTCATAGCTGGAACTCCGAGGTCAACTACCACAACAAGGACAAGGCCACCTAAATCAGGTCCCTTGCAATCTTCCCGCATACTCGAGAATCCCCTTCGAATCCCTCCAGGAAATCATTGAGTGCGTGTCAGGGCTGGCTTTTCCATGTACATATACCACACTGTTGTTCTAGGGTTGAAACACAGTCAAATGCTTGGGGAGCTGAAGGTCCAGTTGACAGATTGAGGCGAAGCTTACTATGTACTACTCGAAGATCACTTTTGCTGCTATTTCTTCCGCCTCTTTTGGGATCATATATCTACTTGTCTCAAAACCTACCAGGCTTGGGCCGGCTGTCGATCGTAATCGCCCACCCTACTACGTAAATACTATGGCCAGCCCTTTGAAGACCACACTGCCGACTGGGACTTTGAATGGCCTAGAGTCTTGTGTCATAAATGTTATAAAAAATTTCCATGCGCTTTACTCTAGACTGAGATACTTCCCAACGCTCCCCGGGGCGCATGAAAGATCAAATTCCTGACACTACAGCTCGATTTGTTAGAAGCCACCAAGGCATGTTTATATATCATATATATCTCTCTCCCCCTCTCTCCCCCTCTCTCCCCCTCTCTCCCCCTCTCTCTCTCTTCGCCCACGAGGTTGAAGTAAATAGCACAACGAGGTAGAACCTAGGCTGTGTAGTTACTGTGACATTTAAAGATAGCAAAATCGTCTCCGTGTGTTTTTTAATGATGCAAGCCCATGAACCACGCAAAAAGGACCATGACAATAAGAAATGATCTGAGTATCGAATGAACTTGTATTGTCTTCTTATGACATAGACTCAACTAGTCGAGTTGGTCCACAGTCACTGATAGGCAAGTCACACTTGTATCGATACTGCTCAAGGTCGATTAAGTGGATATGTGATTGAGTAGCAAGATCGGACTGCCATGCTGAACGTAGTTTATATATGTTTGAAAGTAACCTCAAGTCCACAAGCGCAAAGACCATGTAGATATAAGAGTAGATAATAACACTATACAAACAAAGAACTATTTGGAGCGAGGAGATCCAGGCCAGACTCACCTTCGAGGAGAGGGAAGAGACGACGAATCCGATCCTCAAGAATAGCATTTTCAGCCTCCCAACGCCGACGATCAAGACACTTCGCCTCTGCGCGGCGCTCACCACCAAACCAAGCACCCTTGGCCTGATCCCTGCTCTCTTGCTCCTCTTGTCGAGCACGGGTTACAAATGAGGAGACCATGGTTTTCCAATTCTCCAGCCCAACTTTCAGGCACTGTGCGCAGCGAGCTCTAGCAGTGCGATCAGCTGAATTTCCGAGGTCAAGCATCGTGGACTCGGCCATGTCGACTGCGTCGCGCGTCCAGGCAAGGCCAGATTCCTTTGACGAGGAGGCATACAAGATCTCGCCAATGTAGGTCATCAATCCTGCTTCTTCGCAGGCGGATGCTGTGGTGCGGCGTGGAGGTTCGTCGCCCGATGGGAGAGGAGCTGGGTATTCCACGGGGATGAGGACATTCCTGAGCGAGTTGAAGAGGGAAGCGAACGGGTCATTGTTAGATCTAGGCATAGTTGGAACAGAGAGGGGTATATCGGAGTCTGACGACAAAGGGAGGCTGCGCCGGGCTTTGAGAATCGATGTGAAGAGGGACAAAGCTGTTGGAAGGTTGCCTTGACGAGCGTTGTGGACGGCGAGGGCTGTGGAGACCCGGAGGATGTTCTCTGAAGGTAGCTTTCCGCTATTATCTTTTAAAAACCCGTTTTTCAAATCCACAAACTTTCCAGCATCTCCTTCCAGCCCACTTGCAGCAATGTCTAAGGCCCATGTATACATATCACCCGCCGTGTGCCCCAAGCCTTTAAAATCAAGCCAATCAGCATAGGCCAAGGCAGCATCAAGTTTCTGCCTTGTGTCAAATCCCTTGGTTGTCAAAACCTTCATATAGAAACGCTCCGGAGACGGAGACGCCTGCTCGCAATCTTCTTCCCGCGGTACCTTCTTCTGGCCGGCGGGCATGGGCTTTGGTCGAGGGTTTGAGGGTCCAACAACATACTCCGCAGGCGCAGATATCTTCTGCTTTCGATCTGTCAGCCAGCCGTCCAGGTTCTCAGCAGCCTTAGCAGCACCCATCAAGGCTTGGAAGTATCCGCGGCGCCAAGGCTCACTCTTTGCGGAGACATCGAACCCAGTACGGCCGACGCCTTCAACCAGGAACCCACCCTCATCTTGTTCGACAAGGCCTTTGCCTTCACCCTCTAGGTTCTCCAGACGCTCCAGCAGCTCACGAAGATACCCAGCGACCATGGGCCAATTCGTCATCAGCTTGCCGATTTGCTCCGGATTTTGCAGTGCCTGCGCGGATCGCAGACACCAGCGGCTTTTCCAAGACCATTCCGGTGGGGTGGGCCAAATATGTTCGATGTCTTCTTGGTAAACACCGAGCTGTATTGCGGAGAATAAGACGAGGATGACGGACACCGATAGGCCAATCTTGACGCCTCGGGATACCCTTCGCTTGTAATGCTCCCGGCTCTCCGTAGATATTAAGCGACCGAAATGCTGGCGGAGATGGATTGATAGCGGCGGGAGTGGACGGGTCGGCGCAAGTGGTGATAGGAAGGGCAATTGGGGACGACCCAGCGCCGGAGAAAGAAGTAGTAGGCGCGTGCGATGGGTGAATGGTCGAAGATGAACGTTGGTACAGGATATCCGAGGTAGATGAGTCGCTCGCATGTGACTCGATATTCGACCGACGGCACTTCGAGGAGGTAACATGATTGAATAACCAAAGAGGTTAGAGATTGATGAAGCCCTGCTATGTGTACTTCGAGATTGATACTTGTTTGCACTGTTTGTCTTGCGTGTGCATGTCACGTGGGCTTTATAGACGCTTGCTTGAACAACCTTCACCTGAACATCCACATCAGTGACATCACCCATTGCTCGGATATTTGAACTTTGAATCACGTATCCAATTCATGATAGAATCTCTCAGAATAATATATGTCTGGAAATGTCGAGATCCCCCTGGGCATAGGCAGTGCTTTGAGAACTTAATTTCAAAACAATTCGAAATATGTAGGCATACATATCGACTGACGAAGTGTTGTGATTCCATTGCAGATATGTCAGCTTAGCATGTCTACAATTGAATATCAAGCCTATAGCTTTGCAGTGTCTTTCCCGGGACGAATGTCAGGTTCCACACCTGTTAAGTTGCCCAAGCACCAGTCAAGGATCTAAGCTTATATTCGGTGGTATTTCAAGGCCACAAGATAATGTGCTAGCACACCTTTTCCCCATAGCTTACTAAATTTATAAGGGCAGTACCTAGGCTCTTCCATCTAAACTTACTAGAATCATCTTAAAATGGCGCACACCCTGCATTTAGCTGCACGTTGCTGGTCCCATGTATCATAATTTTTTACGGAAACGATTTGCGAGGACCCCATTCTCGAATGTGACCTTTGCTTTGGTCCTTCGTAATCAGCAAGCAAGATGCAGCTGTCTAGCTGATATGTATGCTTCACATACAGCCAAACTAGAAACATTCTGATCCTAGATATCAGCATAACAGTTCATCAACAAGACGTCTGTCTACCTTCCCATACATCACACCTAGTGTCGACCTATTTGTGATAAGAGGCTTCAATAACGTATATCGCTTCTTAAAGTAACTTTATCCTAATATGTGTAGTTCGATACATAGGATACTATGTTTGTTCAATTGGCCTAGAATAATGGAGTTAACTTAGTATTATGAGACTTGGATCAGAGCCAGGTAAAATCTACGTGAGATAAGTCTATATATATGAAGGTTAGGCCTCCCCACCTACTTTATGATATCTAATAGTCGAGGCATATAACTACTCAATGTACACGGAGTACAACAGACGAACATCATGGAAGTGGATCCGACGCCCAGATTGATCGACACGATTAGATAGTGGGGCTCATCCACATTCGGGGCCTGAGGCCTAGCTTCTAGGTTGGCTTCCAGGTTGGCTTCCAGGTTGGCTTCCAGGGTGTTTCCTTTTTATTTTTCTTCTTCTTTTCTATTCTACTGTTCTATACTCTTCATTCGTTTTCTTCTCTTGTTGTTCCTTGCCCTGTTTCCTTCGTTGATACCCTTCTCGCTTCATGAGTTCACTGCTTCACACTGAGTTTCACGTCTCCTTGTTTCTGTTCATACACATTCTTTTCAAGCTTTCAACAGACTGAGACTTCATTATGCCACGCAGAGACTTTTTGCGAGATCTCGCAGATGCGGCAGTTCCTGGTCGATTCTCCTGTCTCTCTGATATCAAAACAGGGGACTACGATGGATCGATTTCCTTCATATTTGCAGCACCTGGGGCAAGCCTCACCATTGAACTCCAGGCCATAGTATCGGGTAAGAGACATTCTAACCCATAGTGTCTTCCAAAGCTCTGGTATTTGCTGACACACAAACAGACTCTCACGATTATCCCAAAGACCATAGATTTTTAGCTTTCTCATCGTCCGAGAACTGTCCTAAGAGAGTCACTTCCTCCCTAGAAAATGCAGTGTCCCTTTTCACAGGCTTAACTATCCATGATTTGTTGAGCAAGATTGAGAACATCCTCACACACTTGATGATTGACCCCGATTCCGCATTCAGTGACCTAGGGGGCCCAGACACTCGTGACTTCGACGACGATGAGTCGGCTGCCAATGACACCAATCCTGACTGGGAATCTGATGATGAAAACAGAATATTTACATCTACTCAAAACAAAGCCGAGCTACGAGGGAAGATTCGCCGCGACCTTCGTGCGGTCAAAAACGCGGGATTCAAAGTGGGATACCTGGGGTCAACACATGGTACCCTCATTGTCTCGGTCTCTTGCCGTATTTCTAAGCTTGGAATTTCCGAGGAAGCTATGAACGCCTGGAGTGTTGAGCCCTCAGAGTATTTGGTCTTGTTGATCCGTTATCGACCGACTTACTTTGATCTCCAAACAATTATCGAGGCAGCGGGTGACCCGAAGATCACACGGGTTCAGATGCATGTTGGCCTCTGTAATTCGTACAAGCCGTCGTTTGAGCACGCCATGGAAGCCATCAATGAGCCACACGATCAAGAGATGAAAGATAAGAGCCCAACTTCAGACAGAACCATGTGTGGTCATCTTCTCAGGCCGCTATTCATCGGCAGATCGCTCAATTTACTTCTGGGGGAGCGACTGCTTGGGATCATCAATCTTCGACTAAAACATGGGTTTTCATGGGCAGGAGCAGAGCTGTTTTTCCAGACCAACCAAGGCAGGGTTTACACCAGCTCCGAGATCTCTCTCGAGAAATACCATCAGCCGGACAGCTGGGCCACTTCGACGCCAGAAACTCTTGCTGCTGATCATATGACTGAAGAGGATCGCAATATCTCCAATTTGTCTTTTCCTCTTCTTGCTGTGCAGTTTACCCTGAGACACTTTATCAAATGCACGGAGTTCTGCCTGGTTTGTCACTGCAAGACTGGTGATACCTTTGAGGCACTGAAGCCCTATGTCTGCTCCAACGCGTTGTGTCTGTATCAATACATGGCGCTGGGCCTAGGTCCAAGCCTTGAACATGAGATCCGCTACCAACCATTTGTCGTTGATTTGCTCACTAGCCTGGCATACGCGAGGGCTTCAGCCTGGCTTCTTGAAGACTTCCCGACTGGTCTTCGGCTGCGCGTACCTGCGAAATTGTTCCCTCAAGTAGATGCAGATCGTACTGCATACCATGTTGGGCGATTGAACGCAACTAATCTTGAGATTCGGTTGGAAAAGCCAAGTCCGGTCAAAGTCGGTGATTGGATTGTCATCATGGTTACGGTCGCAGTGACAGAGGAATGGCATTGTCGTGTTAAACACGTCGGTGAGACCTCGAATCATATTTTCATCTCGCCTCCAATTAGGCAAGGCCATCAGCTGCAGCCACAGGACCTGCGGGCTCCACCCCAGGAAGTGCATTTTTTTGTTTACGACACCAATCTGGACGATTTGACACCCATCCAAAAACAGCAGATGATTTCTTGTATATTGGGAATGCTACCTAGTATTGACGAAATGAAGAACTTCATCGGAAGTCACGAAAGGGGCAAGCTTCTCTCATCGTGGAAAGAGGTTATATCTCCCGCTGGTTTGGACCTCTTACGCTGGGTTGTCGCCTCAAACCGATCTTTCATCAAGCAAGATGACGACGAGCCTCGGCATCAGGTAGTTGGAATGAGTGATTACGTCCAATTCAGACTTGTGCAAGGTGCTGCCGATAAAGAGCAGCGTTTTATCAACGCCGTTAATTCCAATTCCTTGGCTGAGAATCCCCATCACCCTACCATATTCGCTTGGCATGGCAGCTCTGTGAATAATTGGCACAGCATTCTACGTGAGGGGTTTCACTTCAAACAAATTGCGCATGGCCGTGCGAATGGTGATGGCGTTTACATGTCGAACAACTTCTATACCTCATTGGGGTACACTATGACACAACTTCCCCTCACATGGTCCGGGAGTCGACTCAAGCTCTTGACAGTGATTTCTTTGAACGAGGTCGTCAATGCTCCCGAGAAGTTTGTGAACCGTGACCCACACTATGTCGTGCAGCACTTGGATTGGATCCAGCCAAGGTATCTTTTCGTCAAGCTTCAAGATCTCAATGCACCTGGTAGAAGAACAGGTGCACCTGTGTACGGGAATATTTCCATGAGCTCAAAATCGCAGTCATCAACTTATGAGCATGATGAAAGTCTCATGTACAAACAAGATAAGCGCTATCTAGCTGTTGGCCCCAATGGACAGCCGATCAAAATTCCCATCTCGATATTTAGCGGTCAACAAGGGAAAGTTCCTCGTACTGCTAGGGAAACCGGGTTTGCAGGCCTTGTGTCGTCACCTAAGAGATGCACCAAGAGACGCAAGCATTCAGTCGAGAATATCGAACAACAAGACAATGAGGACAGCGCTAGCATTGATACGACCGTCGATGATCTCAAAATTCTTCTCTCTGATGATGAGATTTTTGAAAGTGCTCCATCTCTATCTGAAAGCCATCAAGGCGCTAGCATGCAAGCAAGAGCTGTCCCAGAAATTGGCCCCGAGACTGATTTCCAACCCGGAACCCTACAGGAGAGTTACTTGCCTACACTTTCTCCGCCCCAGTTTGCAACAACTTCGGCCACAAAGATTCTACAACAACATCTCCAGGCTACTATCAAAATTCAGGAGCAAGTTCCACTGCACGAGCTTGGGTGGTACGTCAATCATAGCTTGATCACAACAGTCTATCAGTGGATTGTGGAGCTACATACGTTTGATCCAGCCCTCCCACTAGCAGAAGACCTCAGAACTATCAATCAAAAAAGCATTGTCTTGGAGCTCCGCTTTCCTGCACAATTTCCCATGGACCCACCCCTTGTACGAGTCATTCGCCCTCGTTTTCTCGAGTTCGCTGCCGGAGGCGGCGGGCACGTTACCGCCGGTGGCTCTATGTGTATGGAACTGCTTACACACTCGGGCTGGCTACCAACAGCTTCGATTGAGAGTGTGTTGCTGCAGGTTCGCATGGCCATTACCAATACTGATCCCAGACCTGCACGTCTGAATCTAAGCCTCGCAAACACCGACTACTCAGTGGGCGAGGCAGTGGCAGCCTACAGAAGAGTTGCAATGGCGCATGGATGGCAGATCTCGAAGGATATCGAGCAGCTTGCCTGGTGATCTCTTTTCTCGAAGAAACCTTTGTAGAGAGCTAGCTTTGCTTTGATCTGATCGGTTCCCTTTATTTACTGTTTGATTACCTTTGTCATGTCAAGAAACAATAAATTGCTACTTCTTCTCGTATCTGTAGGAATGCCGTAGGTTTTGGCTCCGTGCCCAGAATCCCTATGATAAATTTCCGTTAGACAAAAATAATAGAGAGGAGGATGAGTATAAGCCAATGAAGTAAATTCGAGAAAAAAGTTCCAATTGAAGTATGAAACTATGTAATCCTACAATATGATGCATGATAATCCCTCAACCTAAAGAGCTATACGCCTGTCCATAAACACAAAAGAACAAACACACCAAAGAGGGTAATAGACAAGACCAATGCCATTTATTGTACATTAGTTTGCCGGTGGAAAAATGAAACCTCGCATTTATTTCACATAGACTCAGACGAACCAGCCTGTGGGATCGGACCCAGGCGCTACTCGAGTTCCTCATTGACATCTTTAGCCTCCCTAGAGCGAGACTCTTCGTGCAGCTCTGTTTCGGTGGTGGGACTTTGATTAGGGACACTTGTTTCGGATACTGCTTGTGTCCTTCCATCTGCGATGGGAGCTGTAGTGGACTCCACTGGAGTGAACTTGAGCTGTGGATCCTCTGGCAATTGTGATGCTTCCTGCAAATTTGGGTTTGCAGGAGGCTGGTCATCTAGCGCTTGGCTTTGTTCCGGTGCCGGGGCATCTTCCATGTCGAGAACTTTTGCTTTTTCCGCGTGTAGACCGGGGCCAGAAGGATTAAAGGGGCTTAATTGTTCGCTTCCAATGGCTGTCACGGGCTTGTCTTGCATGTCGGGGCGGGAAATGGACTCGTTTGGAATGTGTTGAGGTTCCCGGGTCTCTGCCAAGGCATCGGCCGATACTGTGGTCTGTTCGGGTGCTGGATTCCCAAGTGTTTGCGATTGGGTAGGGGGTTGTGCTACTGAGGTTTCTGACAATTTTTCCGGGCTGGCAGATGGCAGGACAGTCGGATTTTCCTGCTGGCTTGCGAGAGCACGTTCTTCCGTTGATGCAAGGTCTTCCTTTTTCCCTTGCACCTTGGCATCTGAGCTTTGAGCTTCGTCAGCTGCAACTGAAAGCTTGGTGGGTTCACTTGTCGTTGCGGCAGTTCCAACAGAAGTGGGAGTCTTGTCATACTCCGAGATTACAGGCTTCTCATTTAAATCAGTAATATCAGCCTTCTCCGATGAAGGAACATTGGAAGCCAAAGCATCGAAATCAACCTCTAAGGTCTTTTCAGGGTGGGGTGCCGCTGACTCGGCCGGCTGGTTTTGCTTCTCCTTTTCGCTTGATGAAGCAACCTCGGGGGCAGAGTGCTGGTTTTCAGGAATGGCATCTGACATCTCGACATCAACTGATTGCGAGGCAGGAGTTTCGAATGAAGACTGATCAACAAACTCTGTGCCAGACAGAGGCTGGGGGGTATCAGGAGTCTTTGCATCCATCATGGAATCGTCGCCGTCGTCGCTCTCATCGCCCTCATCGCCATCTTCATCGTCTTCATCTGGACCAGCTTGATCAATGGACATCTGTGAATCATCTTGTTGGCCTTCTCTCTTGACAGCATCCTCCCCATTCCCAGTAACAGCACCAACTCCATGCACTGTCGCGGCATCAGCTCCTTCGCCAGGTGCAAACATGACCTTCTTCTTCCGGCCCTTTCCAATGCCTTTACCCTTTCGTTTAGGTGGAGGTGGACGCCGCTTTGGGGGTGTCATTACAGCTGCTGATCCAGCCTCTGCAACAACAACACCTTCAGCATTGACAATGCCAACTCCCTCGACAACTGTTCCAGGTGCAGGCGCCTCAGGCTTCACAGGCACTTGGCTCTGCTCAGCAATCGTCTGTAAGTCACCAGTAATCTCGCCTTCGATTCGATGACCCTCAGGCACCCACGCCTCGTAGATAGAGATGTTGCCTGTTTCGGGATCGACTTTCTTAAACTTCGTCCTCCTCATGGGCCCAGAAGAGCTTCCATCTGTACCAGCAGTGGCGCCATAAAGGGATGAAAGACCAGGTCGCCTCTTTGCCAGAAACTCCACTTCCGCAGGCTCGAGGTGCTTGGGAAGCGTCATCCATTTGCGAGTTGTGAAGCTCCGATCGGCCATATGAGATGCCGATGCTGAGTCTTCCGCATCTGCCACGCTTTTCTCCTCATCGTCAGCTGGTCGACTGCCTTGCCGGATATGAATACATCCAGCTCGGGCTGCTCGAAGTAGTGCGCGACTGATTGGCGGCAAGAGCTGGCTGTCTCTTGGCATGGGAAGCTCTGGTAGTGTTGGTCCTCCACCTGAGCCTTGAACCCCGAATTCCGAGTCATCAGGTTTGGGCGCTTGGGAGAAGGTGTGTTGCTGTCGGGACCAGCGACGCACTGGCAATCCCTCAAAGACATCGTGATCGATTTGGCCGGTGCGGGTACGGTTTGGGGCACCGTCGAGATGTCGCCCTGAGCGCGAGGCTCTGAACTGTGATTGATTTTAGCCAGCTAGTTCACGCATTCAATGATCTAGACTATCTGGAATGACCATGTGCCCTGGGCAACTGGGTCGGGGCCAGATAAGATAGACGACGGGGGAAATTGAAACGCACCGTGGAAGGCATGGTGGGCAGCTACCCCTGTACCGATTTAAGAACAAGTGTGGCCGATCGGGAAGCTTGTGATGATCTTGCGGGGACCTCCCGGGGAGGGTTCTGTAGCGGATCGTGGTGGAGTGGGTGGTAGCGGAGTGCGACTCCGTCGCGTTATGATGCTCCAAGACTGTAAAGAGACATCACGTGATATGCGTACTATTGAACATGCGACATCTTGGTACAGTAGCCATTCTAGATTGTATTCCTCGATTACTGGAAAGGGATTTAGTTCAGCTCATTGCAATAGCCATCATAATTCAAGAGTGGAATGGGGTGTTTCTGGTGCTTGGTAAAAATAGCTACAGTTGCAGCGGCGCTGTGTACAATATATAGATACAGAAAATGAGGTGTTTAATTAGTCCACCATGGGCAAGTTATCAAAACAAACACAATGGAAATAGTGACAAGTTTCCATTCAACCCTCAAGAATCAATCCCAACTACTACAGGTTAGTACATGCAAAACAGGTGGGCATAGAGCTTCAAATGACTTACCCAGTGTCCTTCTGGCGAACAATACCTCCATGGTTCCCACTTTCCTTTCCCTTCAAAAATAATAGTGTAAGTATGAATGCTAGAGGCCAAATGAAAGAAGATAGGACTTACTGTCTTCTGGCCTTCCACCACCAACTTATCCAACTGGTAGAACTGGCTGATGACAGTTTGTCTCTGTGGGGACGTCAGTATAAAAAACCCTCAGAGTTGGTTTCAATAAAGTGTGGGTATATTTGCAAGGCGAGACTCGTCGACTTTCAATACGCGAGGTTGAGAACAAATCCCTTATATCTGCCACCGATCGAGTCTCACCCCGGAATCTACGTGATACCACTGACCTTCAGCATGCGCAGGCTTTGAAGTCCCTCTTGGATCAGTTCCTGTACCCGGCGTTCCTCTGTGGTGTTTTGGTGCTCGCGGAACGAATCCCTTGTCTTCCGGCGAGCGTATTCACGGAAGTTGTAGTTCGAAAACTGCCCGGAATAGCGCAGAAGGGAGCGGAACTAATAATAAAAGAAGAATGCCAGTTATTTTGATGTACAAAAGACAAACCACACGAGATTGAAGCGCATGTAGAGCCAAGGGGACATACCAAAGATCGTGCCTGGAAGGCAGTCTCACGATGCAGTGGGGCGACAGACATGATAGCTGAGAGTATAAATGATAGCACGGAAGGATTGAGACGATAATCAGAGTAAAAAAGCCGAAGATGCGTGATGCGAGGCTTTGGCTTGGTCGAACCCGGGTTATCACTGAAGCCTTGGTTGCGCGATCGATACGGCGTTGCTGCGGCAAAGAATCGATCTAGGACCCGATCGATTAGATCGAAGATTCCGTGTTGCAATGTGCGGGATATATTGAGGGTATTTCGCGTACGTTGGGCGCAATGACTCGTATCAAAGACGCAATCAAAGGTGGCGGTTTAATCTTGCAAGAACCAAAGATCCGGGGAAATTGAATCACACTATGATCAATGATGGTTATCTTCCGTAAGTCTGTCCTCTAGAATAAAGAAGACAACAACGGGTTGCAGTATGCAAAAGAGAGAAGAAGCGCAGAAGTGGGAAATTCTTTTGCGTTCGGAGACGAATGACGGAGTTACCGGGGCCGAGCTCCTTTGCTCCACGTTTCTTCTGATATCAAGCTTGTACACTTGAATTGACTCAACTCGACTTCGGAGATATTTGCATATTCTCATATTTCCTTGACATTATTTTTCTCCATGACTCAAATACCCACGCCACCAGCATCGCGGCCGACCTCGGAGGCACCTGAAGTGAAGGTGAATCCGGTAGCTTTGGAAGAGTCGGTCCAATGCTTGGATACCCTTCTTGAGAAATACTTGCACCTGCTTGATCGGCAGCAGAAACTACATTCAAGTCTAGCAGAACAGTTGTCTTCGGTATGTCCTTAGACAATCATGGTATATGAAATATGCTGAGACAAAGTAGGGATTTTTTGCTCTCGCCCAGGCCAATTTCTCCAGTCCTGGCCGTCGCTATGGTCCCGATTATTATGATGATCGCATGAAAGCGACGAGAAAGATGTAAAACTCACCCGCTGCAATTTATTACTGGCGCTTGTTAACTGGTGGAAATTGACAGAGCAATCCAAACCGAACGAAACACGGAGAACCCCACGAACGAGCCGCAAGAGAAAGAGCATATGACTACACCTTATTCTGAATACATATTCTCTGTCGAAACCACGCCCAATCATCCACCGGAGGATGCCGATGGGGACAACAACACCAAAGCCTCTTCTCCAATTCTAGATAGACACCCTGAAGCCTCGAAGGAAACCAGTCCGGCTGAGACAGCTAGCTCAGAACTCTCCAACACTGCGGCAACGACACCCATACTTGTCGAAAATCCAAAACCCGCCCCCAAGAAGTGTCGATCTGCCGATCCTATCCATTGGTACGGAATATTGGTCCCCCAGTCGCTGCGCAGGGCGCAAGACTTTTTTGTCAATGCGATAGACAATCAGGTGCCGGATTTGGCTAGTACAACAGTTGAAATGCGAGCCTTGGAACAGCAGATAAGCCAATTACGGGCTCGGCTGGAAACTGAGTCCTCTGGTGCAAGCATGACTATGCTGTAGTCATCCGTGACCTTGTCCATCTGGGCAACATTACCTTGGATCAGCCGTCGCAGGTCAAGTTGACATTGACAAGTTGCACAGAGCATTTCTGAGATTCCAAGGAGACTTGTGTGACCAGATGTGTTTGAAATTGGGAGTTGCAAATGCCTCAGATCAACCCAAAAGACAAAAACGATTGCCCATGTTGTCCATATACTCCGTATTGTGCTCCGTATATCGTCCACATGATGAACCGTATATGGGGCTGGCCAAAGCCCGGACCAATTTCATTTTTGGATGTATAGACATTCGAGAGCGGAGGAACAGGGCCATAATTGTATAATACTCCGGACACGAAGCTCTAAAAGGGGGTACAAAATATGGCTAGACCGATTCTGACCAAATAGGTTTAAAGAGATGTTTCAGGGTAACTCCTCTGGTTTATACCATTGTCATCCCTTTCCTTTTCCCATTGGATATCTCGATACTCTGTACATTTTTCAATAATTTACGAAGTACTTCGTATGTACAATGTTGTATGTGCATGTACTTCATATTATCATATTAATTGAACCTCAACTAAATTGCTAAAAAAGGGAAGCCTTTATGTGAGACGTTAGCGTCCGGGGCTAATTCCACTCTGACTTAGTCGAGATGTGATTCGCCTAATCTAGCCGGTCTCATGTTGAGACCTTTCATTCCCTTTATTTTTCTGTTTATTCAAGATGGGATATTGAAAAGCCATCAATATATGTCAATATACTATGTATACTACCATGGGTAGGTCTATGCTTGTCGGAAAGGGACCTGATATATAGTCTGATATCTATAAACTGCCAAGTACGGAGTCCGGACTACGGGGTATTCGGATATCAAGTCTCCGTACTCTTAGATTACAGGACTAATAGTCCACGGTTGAAGTTTTTAGTATTAATCTACTTCCCGTTTGAGATGTGGGCTATCCATGTCAGAGACCCTGTTAGTCCTAAAGGGCGCGTCGGATCTCTACAACATATGTCTTTTTCTTCTCTCCTTTTCCCAACTTCCGAAGGGCTTGAGGCTCTCCCCTTTTGAATTTGTGAGTCGACCCAGGCGTGTCAAAGGCTGGGGCTAATTCATCTAGCCTTGAACGCCAGTTTGATACTAGCGCTTCGTTCCTCTCGTTTCCTCCCCTTTTTGAGTGGTACGTCTTTCTAGATGCAATTCCTTGATTACTTAGAAATAGTCCTGACTATTATATACACAGTGGCATTGAATGCCCTTCCATTCTTTTACAATTTAGATCCTGTGGATCTTGTCTTTCTTGATCGTTTTCATTGCGTTATCCACTTTCTACGGCCTTGTAGACACTTTCGCAGTGGCCAGACGCCGTTTCGCTCGTTTCAACCCTTCAATAACTTTTCATTCTTTTCTAAATCGATCAAGCTATCGAGAGCAAGCACTCATCTCTATCACTCAATACTCAAGAGATCAATCTCTCTTTTGGACCGCAGTGACACCACGCCATCTTTGATACCCGGCAAGCCCTAACTTCTCGCAAACTGCAAAAGAGCATCCACCCCCCGGCATTCTGTTTAGCATTCTTCCGACCAGACCTTTCAATGAGCGCAGATTTACCAAATCCAGGGCCCTCTGGGGAGCCTGTCAGGAAAGGATCCGTCAAGCGGGCCAGACAGTTGCTGGATGCCGGCGTGCGTCCAGAACGAGCCTCGCCATCCCAGCAGATGAGACATCCGCCTATCCCCGGGGATATCTCCAATCAATCACAATGGCCTCTACCTGATTCGGGTCTCCCAACGCGCCCGATCAATCCACGTCCTGGGTACTTTCCTCCTCAAGGTCCTCCCCGTGGGCCTCCCCGTGGGCCTCCACCTCAGAGACCACCTCATCCAAGTGATTTCCAGTCCATTTACTCAGAACGGCATGGCCAGGCCCCGGAAAAGAACTTGGGTCCAAACCCAAGACCTCCCCGTTCCTTCTCACAAGTGCAGCCGCCTCCGCCAGTGCAATCGCGCCGGCCGATAAATGATGCTCCTGTCAGTCCTACCAGCACAATCGACATGACTCCTCGAATATCGATTGAAACAGACGATTTATTCCGGCAATCTGTGGCTTCTTCAACGCCATCTGTTCCCGATGTGCCCCGATTCCCACCTACTCTTCCACCGTCCGAGTCCGGTCTTTCTCCGGATGACCCCAGAAGCCGGACTGCAGGTCTTGTGGCACCGTCTAACGTGCGACGGCTTCCCGTGCCTCGTCAATCATCTGTTTCACCCATCCCAGAAGAATTCGCCGACTCTCGCTTAACAAAATGTTCTGTTGCATCGAGCCGAGCCATCCCCTCGAGCTGGGGATCCGGTCCTGCTGAATCTGAGATTCTGGGAGCATATCTCGACATGGATTCAGACGATGGCCAACGCTCACCAGGCTTCCAAGAGGATGACACGAGGCTTGTTCGAAATGCCAGTATTGGAAAACGAGGAAAGCCAACAATGCGTACCATCCTCAAGTCTAACCCTGTTTCTGTTGTAGACATGCCAGCACCCACCCAAGAGGAATCCGTCAAAGGCACAGCAGTAAAATCCTTGGGGATGGGGGCTACTGCAACCCAGATGCCCCATCGACCAAGCCAATTACGGAAGTCGTCTACTTCTACAGCATCGAATGAATCCCTGGAAGATGCGGACCCCGAAAAGCCACCTTTTATCCAGCAGCATGACTCGCCCTCCGATGCACGGCTCGAAAAAGAGCTCGAGGTCTTGGCAGACCTGCCTCAAGCTGCACCAACATTAAGTCACAAAAGGCCTGGCGGTCACAAGCCTCCTGCTCTGAACATGCATGCGTTGCGGGATGCAGAGGCTCGTGGGAGCCTTTCTAGCCTCACTGATTTGATTCGAAGGGCAACAAAACTTGCATCGAACCTGGATCATGGGAGAACCGCCAGCCGAGCTGATCTAGCTGGTGGTGGTGAGGCAGAGTTTAGAGCTGGAATGGGTGAGTTCTTTCAAGCCCCGATCACCATGTGAAATCCGGACATAGTGCTAACTAGTGCGTGCTTAGGAAACCGAAAACGCAACTCCGGCTCTCTATCAGACATGCTCGCCTCCTTTCCCCCGCCGGGTTTGGCGACCCCCGAAGGCCGCGCTTCATGGCCCGTTTTCTTTGGGCGCTCTAACTTGCGTAACGTTGAGCAACTCAACTCCGATGATGATGACCCGAATGCTCCCCGACGCAGGAAGATGTGCTGTGGGATACCTCGAAAGATCTTCATACTCATCTGCATCGTAATCTTCATCGTCGTCATTCTCGCAGTTCTTCTCCCTGTGTTCCTTGTCGCTGTGCCCCGCGAGAAAGCGAACACACCCTGCGCTGAAAAGAACCCTTGTGAAAATGGAGGCGTGAGCGTCTCAGGGGGTGCCGAATGCTCATGTGTTTGCTCGAACGGCTATACCGGCTCACAATGCAATATCGTGGGTGATGCTAGCTGCACCACCACCCTGATCGATAACGGATCGAACGCGACCATGGGCAGTGCGCTCCCTGCTCTGTTCGAGGAATCCAAGAAGAAATTCGACATAACCCTTGACCCCGTCACAATCCTGGCTCTTTTCAGCATGAATGATGTGTCGTGCAAGACCGAAAATGCGCTCGTGGCTTTCAGCGATGTTACAAGTGGCGACACAAGAAAGACCCGCCGATCTGTCCAGCCCCTAGCCGACTCGATCCCATCCGTCTCAAAAACCGACCCAACACCGGTCCTAAAGGTCCGTTCCGAGGCTACTATGAACGGTATCCTATACGATGACTCGGTACCAAGCAAATCAAGTACGACCACGTCGGAACCTACTCAAACCGAGTCAGCAACCAGCGCCTCCACTACCAAGATCAGCTTTCAATCCAGTTCCGAGACAAAGGTTCCCACCACCACTATTCCCAAGAACGTTGTTGGGTTCTCTCGGGTTGCGGTGTTGTATATTCTGCAGAAAACCGGCTCTCTTGACTCGGCTCTGTCCTCAGAAGAACATATCCAAGGATACTTGGTCGATTCTTATGCAAACGCAACTCATCCTTCCATGACGGTGGGGGCATTTGATTTGGATTTTGAGAAATTGACCATCACACTTCCCAATAGCACGGTGAAGGCTCAGTGAAGATATGTAGGAAAGGATGTATGGAGTACAACTGTTGTATATAGGGTGTTCCAATTGAATTATACATTAGACCTTGGCATTATCTATAATCCGGATTTAGGTTTTTAGAGCTGATCCTTTCCTGATTGAGAAAGACAATGTCGTGATTCGGCGTGGAGGTGACGTGCTAGATCACATGACATCAGCCTCTGCAGGTGTGGCGTTCAAGCTAAGACGGTTTGGGATGTCTTTGTATAGCGTTTAGATAGTATAGAGCATACAACGTACAGAGATGATCAAGGATCCCTGTGATTCTTTTATTGTGTAGCAAATATATATCTCTAAGGATGATCTCAATCAAAAGGATCGTCTCTTTGCCCCTGAAAATCTGAAACTCTGAAAATCCCTACAAGGTACCAGACCATGATATTCCAGAGAATCGGACCAGAATTATACACATACATAGTAAATTGCAGCTAATTATAACTAATAGGTATACATTCAGACTAGAATGTCCCAAATCACCTTGAAATAATAGCCCTAAGACTCCATAATCTCCATAATCTCCATAATAACAACGTAATGTCAAAAAAAAAAAACCTGGCCTGTACGTTGAAATCGAGCCAAGACTACGCTCCCCACTTGTTGACGACTTCTGTTGGATGTGGATGTCGCAATTCCACACCCCTCCAAATGGAAATTTCTTGATAAGCAAGCTTTCTCCCTCATTCTTTTCTCTTTTCTTCATTTATTCTCAACTTTTTAATATATTCACAAAATGGCCAACGCCCCTCACGGTGGTGTCCTTAAGGACCTTCTCGCTCGCGATGCTCCCCGCCAAGTCGAGCTCGCCGCTGAGGCCGAGACTCTTCCCGCCATAGTGCTCACTGAGCGCCAGCTGTGTGATCTTGAGTTGATTATGAATGGAGGTTTCTCTCCTCTCGAGGGTAAGTGCAATTGGTACTTTTGAGAATTGCATTTTTCTTTTTGAATGCGCATAGAGGGGCAATACACTAATACCTCATGCAGGTTTCATGAACCAGGCAGACTACGACCGGTATGTGTGAGACGCATGATTCCATTGGAGGAATTCCCTCATTCGGATCGAAACACCTATGGCAGCAGCAGCTGACAACGTGCATAGTGTCTGTGAGGACAACCGCCTTGCCGATGGCAATGTGTTCTCCATGCCCATTACTCTCGATGCCAGCCAACAGGTGATCGATGAGAAGAAGCTCCAAGCTGGCTCTCGCATCACTCTGCGTGATTTCCGTGATGATCGTAACTTGGCAATTCTTACCATTGACGACATTTACCGCCCCGACAAGTGAGTCTTCGTCTTTTCCCTCAATTTGAACGTTCGGAACGGGTCGCATTGTCGATCATTATTTTGTACCCCTGGATACCTGGTTCTGTATTTATTTCGAGTGTTTGATGTCACAAACCTCGAATCGTTACCCAATGAGTCGACATAGTTCTATAGTGGGGCTCGCTGACGTGGTGTCTCCCCCTAATTTAGGACTAGAGAGGCTAAGCTCGTCTTTGGCGGTGACCCAGAACACCCGGCCATCGTCTACTTGAACAATTCCGTTGAGGACTTCTACATTGGTGGAAAGATCGAGGCTGTTAACAAGCTGAACCACTACGACTATGTCGCCCTCCGCTGTATGTTCAATCCCCTATCCGCTCTTGAATTTGACTAATAAATCATTCGTAGACACCCCCGCAGAGTTGCGCGTCCACTTCGACAAACTGGGCTGGTCCCGTGTCGTCGCTTTCCAGACCCGTAACCCCATGCACCGTGCTCACCGTGAGCTGACTGTCCGCGCGGCTCGTTCCCGCCAGGCTAATGTCCTGATTCACCCCGTCGTCGGTCTCACCAAGCCCGGTGACATTGACCACTTCACCCGTGTCCGCGCCTATCAGGCCCTCCTTCCCCGCTACCCTAACGGCATGGCCGTCCTGGGTCTTCTCGGTCTGGCCATGCGTATGGGTGGTCCCCGCGAGGCCATCTGGCACGCCATCATCCGCAAGAATCATGGTGCCACCCACTTCATCGTTGGTCGTGATCACGCCGGCCCTGGTTCCAACTCCAAGGGCGAGGATTTCTACGGTCCCTATGATGCCCAGCACGCTGTCGAGAAGTACAAGGACGAGCTCGGAATCGAGGTCGTCGAGTTCCAGATGGTTACTTACCTCCCCGACACCGATGAGTACCGCCCCGTTGACCAGGTCCCCGCTGGCGTCAAGACCCTCAACATCTCCGGTACCGAACTTCGCCGTCGTCTGCGCTCTGGCGCGCACATCCCCGAATGGTTCTCTTACCCGGAAGTTGTCAAGATTCTGCGCGAGTCCAACCCCCCTCGCGCCACCCAGGGTTTCACCATCTTCCTGACTGGCTACATGAACTCCGGCAAGGATGCCATCGCGCGTGCTTTGCAGGTTACTTTGAACCAGCAAGGTGGTCGCTCCGTCTCCCTGTTGCTGGGTGACACCGTTCGCCACGAGCTCTCGTCCGAGCTGGGCTTCACCCGCGAGGACCGTCACACCAACATCCAGCGCATTGCTTTCGTGGCTACCGAGCTCACCCGCGCCGGTGCCGCCGTCATCGCTGCCCCCATTGCTCCCTACGAGGAGTCCCGCAAGTTCGCTCGCGACGCCGTCTCCCAGGCTGGCTCATTCTTCTTGGTCCACGTCGCCACTCCCCTCGAGCACTGCGAGGCATCCGACAAGCGCGGCATCTACGCTGCTGCTCGTCGTGGCGAGATCAAGGGCTTCACTGGTGTCGATGACCCCTATGAGACTCCCGAGAAGGCTGATCTCGTTGTCGACTTCTCCAAGCAGAGTGTCCGCAGCATTGTGCACGAGATCATTCTCGTTTTGGAGAGCCAGGGCTTCCTGGACCGGAATTAGTAAATTTTCTTATAAGGTTGCGTGAGGCTTGTTTCGATTATATGGTTTTGCCGTACATGAAAAAATGTACTGGCTTTTATTCGTGGACTTTTTTTTTAGGATTCCCCTGGCTTAGATAGTTTCAATTTGCCAATAGAGTTGGTTTGATCGTCAAGATTTGTGTGAATCTTGTACACTTTATTAATATTTAGGCCCAGGATAGACGAGTAGGGGCCTAGCGTAAGATGATTTGTTCGACTATATTGAATCAAGTCTTGCGCTTCTACGGTTCTTAGGCATGAGGAATCCACTAGTAACTGCAAGGAAACCCGTATTGAATTGAGAGGCATTTACCATGGCTATATCACCAAGCACTCAGCTCAGAGCAATCTCTCACTTTCATAACCATGACGCATAAATCAAAGGAATCATGAAGCCACAGTAAAAAAACTGAAATGCAACGGAAATAGAAAAAGAAAAGAAGGGGGTAAAGAAAAACGCCATGTCAAGCGAAACGGGGGATGTCATACGGGGAGAAATTTGCCCAACACAATTTTTGAGCCAAAGGAGAAGAATAAAAAAGATTACTGAGGGGAAAATTATCAAGTAGAATAAGAAGAATGGACCAAGAGGTCACAAGCGTCGGAGTCAAGAGAAAAGAGAATTCAAGCCGAATGAGTTCGAAAGTCAGTTCCCAGCTGTTGACGAAGCTGATATTGTCACAAAAGAATGGCTGTGTTGTGGAGGTAGATCGATTCTTTCAAGAAGTCCAGAAAGCTCGCAAGGAAAAGATGACGAATATATCAGACGTGAATCATTTCTTTGCTCCCTGAACGGATTTTATAACACGCCGAGCTGCACTTTTGACACCCTTGGCAAAGGCTCCTTTGGTGCTTTTGGCCTTGGGAACGGGCTTCTTCGCCTTGACGGGGCTCTTGGAGGGGACCTTTCTCGCAGGCTTGCGGGGAGAAGCTCCGGAGCCTTTGGAAGCAGCAGCAAGAATTTGTTTCTTAGTCTCAGCAGAAGGGCGCTTGAGCTGGGATGTTGTCTTCTTGGGAGAAGTTGGGGTACCCCTGGCTGCTTTGTTTGACCGGGGAGCACGAACATTGGCCTTGATCCGGCCTGTGGCTTTGATGGTGGGTAGTTTGACGTTGGTCTTCGACTTGACAGCAGTTGTAGACTTGCTCTTTGCTGTTGTCTTCTTTGTCTTCTTCCCACGAACAGTAGTCATGGCCCTTTTCATGGTGGCCTTAATGGCCTTTGACTTGGTCATCTTGCGCTTTTTGCCTTGACGAGAATCGTCGCTATCAGGTTCTTCTGAGACCTTTCGCTTTTTGCCAATGACCTTTTTTGGAGTCGCCTTCTTTGGGCTTCCCTCAGACTTTCGTTTCTCGAGTTCTTTGGCACGCTGCTGCTTTTCCTTCAACCGTGGACCAAGGAAGCCTCGGCAGTTGGCTGATCCACAGCGGCATTGCTGAACATTCTTGTTAGAGTAAGGACTGATAGAGTGTTAGCACATAGTCAAGTGGCCTGATATGCACAAATCTCACTCGAAATTGTAGTCATAGCTCAACTCCTCTCCTGTGGAGACTCCTCGATCGCCAGCGAAGAGTGCCATGCGTGGCTTGCCAGCAACTGTCCATTTCTCCATACGGCAATTTGGCTCGCAGGCATGGTTGACAAAGCGAGCAATAGACCCGCGAGTAGCATCAATGATCATGTTTTGATCAAAATACATAAGATAGTAACACTGGTTGAGGAAGTCAATAAGTAGTAACACATCAAGAGAAAAGGCACATACGTCGTTGTTTTTGTATACTGTTCTCATCCTCCTCTCGCACTCAAGCTGAGTGAGAATCTCACCCGTGTACTCCACAATTATCTGGTTGGGCTCGAAGGAACGATTGCTGCGGACGCCATACCCGCGATCTGCTGTCTTGATGACTTCGACTCCAATGTTATACTTGCCCCCGGCCTTGGTTCGGTGCTTAAGGCCCTCGAAATTTCGGTTACCACACTCGGGACCCAGCCTGCAGTTACCGTTGTCACACTCGTAGAACATATAACGGTTCTGGCAGTTATCATCACAGCCAGTGTCTTCAGTACACATGCAAGTAGACAGCTCGAGCTTTTTGTTCGCTTTCCAAAAACTTCCTGCATCACCAACAAAAACATCTGGACTGTCTGTTAGCCCTCATTACATGACGAGATATTTGATATGCTACTCACTTTTGTTAGTCTTGCGCCACTCGTTGGGCTTAGGCTGGCCAGGTGGAAGTGGCGAGAATATATCAAATGGCAGCTGGTAATCCCGTCCAGTCTTTAAAAGGCGAGCACCCTTGAACATTGGCATGGGAAGGATGGTGCGGTGCATGGGACCGGTTCCAGTTTTCTTCGAATTTTTACTCCGACGCTGCTTAGGAGGTGAGTCCGAAGGTTCCTGTCCTGTATAAAGGCCATGTGACAACCATATTTTGCGCTTAGGTCGCGGGGAAGCGGGTACGTCCAATTCCTCTGGCTCAGAAGTGTCCTCATGTTGGAGCTTGGACAAGTCGCTCTCGGATACTCGACGCTTCTTTAATGTAGGCTCATTAGCTGTCGAGAGAGCCGTCTTGTCATTCGAAGTGGCAATGTTGCGAGGTCGAAGACTAGCACGCCGGCCAAGATCCTTGTCTCCCAGGCCTCTTGTGCGCTTTCCCAATATACTGCTTGCCCGGTCGACTAAACCTGAAGCCTTCTCCATCAGACTGAAGCGACCTGAGCGTCGTGCAGATTTGCGAGGAGAGGTTCGGGATGGGACCAGCTCAGCCGTGGCTGTTTCTTCGTCTTCGGCCAATGCCTTAGCCACACGCTTGCGCAACGTCCGCTGCTGAAGATTTGTATTCATATCCTCGGGCTGTGAATCCTGAGAAGACTTTGAGACCGGTGTATCCGGGGCCACAGTGTTGTCGGCTACAGTATCATCGTCGACTGGAGTACCGCTCCACAAGGAAGATTCCATCACAGCAATACTGTGGCGTAGCGATGAGTGCGATCGTTTTGCTTTCGCAAGGCTATCGACGTAGGCCTCGCTTGATGAGGCCGCGGCTTTCTCGTTCTCAGGTTTGTCGACTAGTGGCTCACCTGGCCGCAACGATGCGCGTGCAACCCGCGTTGATCTTCGCCGCCCTGCGGGTTTTTCGTCGGCCAGCGCGTTCTCGTTGTTGCTGGAGGTCTCTGAGCGGCTGTTCTCCGGCGTCAAGAGTTGTTCTGGCACGTCAAGGCTCATATTATCATCGGTGGGCTCGTGAGCCTGGGCGTCGGGAGCCGCGGACGCGATTGATCGGGACGTTCGTGGCGCCATTTTCGAGAGAATGAGATAACAAGGACAATTCCACGTGGAACCGCCCTTTCTCTATCGATGTAGAACAACTGGCGCGTGTGGTCAGGCTGGGATGGGGAAATATCAGGGGAAGGTGCCGGATCGAAGAGGATCAGCTTCCCGCGCGCTTCTTATCAATTTAGGGCGAGGGTCTGACGCGTGCAACAACACTTTCCAACACTCCAATCGTATGGTGTAGAATTTCCCGACCTACAATAGTACTGATGCAATAAAAGAATGAAACAGCAAGGGAGAAGGAGAAAGTAAGCATCTGCCGGGGCTTACAAGGTGAGATCTCGTAACCTGGTGGAATGCCAAAATCCCTCACTCTCGCCCCCACATGAACATGAGAGATTCTACATTGTGGACGTGGATATATGAATTATTCTAGCTATGGCAAACACAGGATGATATCAAATGCTCAAGCAAAGGTGAATGTATAATCCCCAATAAGATAGGAAAAGAAAAGGCTGATTCTGGGTTGGGTTGCCCATTCCCAGGTATGTAGTCACAACAGGATATAACAGGATAAGAAATAGATCATGACAGATCAGTAGCAAAACAAAAGTATGTCTGCGTTAGGTGACAAACCAAACGAAGAGAGATGGCGACAAGAAGGGTATGTGTAATGTAATGATTAGAAAATGATAGGTGTGTCCACGGGTGTGAAGGACCCCGGTAAGAACAGGAATAGGTGGGAGGAAGAAAAAAACAGGAAATCATAAGTATCATCTTCACAGGTCGTAGCCGCCGAACCAAGGCCGACAGGCAAAAAATGACTTTTTGTTTTAATCCTGTTGGGGACCAACTTGTTGCATCTCAATGCCTTGAGACTCGACGTCTGGGACTCGATACTTACGCTTTTGTGAGTGTAAACGTTGATCGCCGTCTTCATACCGCTGCTTGAACTGCATGTAGCTAGGAGGCCGAGGACGTCCAAGAACCGCAATCCAATTCTTAAGGATATTTCCTTGGGTAAACGGTCGATGTCGGTCAGTCTTCGCAAATTTGTGCGAGTTGAGATATTCTCTGGTAGTTTCGCCACGGCCAGCTAGAAAGAGATGATATGCCCACAGCGAGGTAGGGTATGGCAATGCGACCAGGCCATATATCACCATGGCCCATGGCACTCTCCATTTGGAGATCGCAGCTCCAAAGGATATGCTTTCCCGAGACATATAGACCAAGATATGTGCCAAGCTAGCACCGATCAAAAAGAGAGACAAGAGAGTGCAAGAGCTGACGAAAGTAAAGAAATAGCGATAGTTTCGGCGGCCAACACAATTGTTGAGCCACACGCAGTGATGGTCGAGGGTTTCGACGCAGTTGTTGCAGACACGGCAGTGATAACAGCGAGGAGGCCGCCAAATATTACATGTCTTGCAGTATTTCACAGGCACGTCCATGGCAGCTACATCTGAAGTAGCAAGCTTGACCATAACCCAGTCATTTGTGGGTGGACCGAGCGCCAGAGGGTCGTCCGAAGACTCTGGTTGAGGCATAGGATGTACATTCCGAGGCATGACCTGGGAAAATCATGTTAGCAGCCACGAAATTCTATCAAGATCGAGTCACTTACTCCTGGATCGACAACTGACGCATGCACAAACGACGAGAAACACACGTAGAAAATGTAAGCAAACACTATGGGAATGGCAGGAGAGATATTATGCCACAGCCAGGGAGCCCTAATTTCAGAATTTAGTTATTGGCCCGATGGTTATATCAACTGGTTTCACGTACGAGAAGGCAAAGAACAATGCCGAGGGTACAACGAGTAAAAGCCCTGTTGCAATGTTGACTGGTTTGTCTCTCGAATTTTGGAACCGTCCTCCGCCGCAGAAGATTGTATTACCGAGAAAGTACTCGTAATTCTTACCCAAGTTCGTTTTTGGTAGAGGGGGCTTTTTAACGTCGAGGGGACCTGGAGAGGAGCCGGCGGATGAGAGATGTTGGTGGCCTTGATTGGTACGAGAATCATGGCCGTGTCCCGCACCCCTATTTTGCAATGATAGGAATGACAGGGGCGATTTTGGCGGTGCATCCTGCACGGCATGTCCTGTATAGTTGGCGCCCAGGTTGAGACGCGGGGGCTTCTCCTTTTGATCGCGGTCCCGCAGGAGTCTGACGCTTTCACCCAGACTCCGGATGGTTGTGTTACCAGTGGGACTGGCATTGGAGGTGTTGCGATCTGGAAGGATAGGATCTGTGAACTCTGTTCCTCGAGACGGAGGAACTTCCATATCAGCCGGAGGCATAGATCCTTGTGGGACTGTGCTATTAGAGATCAAGCTCGTCCGATTCTGGCTCCCATGCTCTGTCCAGTCATCGGTAGATGAAACCGTTCCTTTAGTCACAGGGCGTGTTCCTCGGTGTGCCTGCAATCGTTGCGAGCTCATAGGCCGAAAAAACGCCTGTGCCGTCAGGGACGGGATATGTGTTCTACTCAGGCGACTTCCCGAGCTACCAGGTCTGCTGGTCACCTGGCTAGGTGCATTGATCGAGTTCCGCGTCGGAGGTGGACCACGCCTGGAAACAGAGTGCCGCGACTGGGGAGGAGGGTGTGGTGATGTGTAAGACGATGCTCGCTCTCCATCATCATCTGTCACTCGGGACGAGATTCCGCCTACAGACGGAGGGCGAGGGATCCCTAATACATGCTGCGGTGTCGAGCCCTGGTTTGTGTCGCCAGTGTCTGGAAGATCTGTGGAATTTTCCATGGCCATGGAAGAATGTAGGTATTAAAGATTGGCTAGACAGAAATGCGCGCTATCATATTGCGATTCTAATTGAAAATGGCGAAGGGATGAAAATGAATCGCGGTGTTAACGTAGGGAGCTGATATCGAGGGATACGGTCAGCAGCGAGCGGAGCAGAAAAAGGAGTGACGATGGAGCTGAGACAAGGTCTAATGAGCGAAAGTGATTCAAAGGATCAATCAAGGTCCTATAGTCCATTAGTCTCAAATTCCAATGCTGAAGTTCCTCTGACAAACGCGCCGCAAAGCCCGGGCCAAGATGCAAAGCCCCTGATGGAGAAAACCGGAACAACATACCTCTGGCATGAACAGTGATTGAAAGCCAAATAAGTCCTAAGAGACCGATTACATCACATAAATTAACACCGAGATGGTCGTATATGCGTCAGCAAATCCAATCATTCTAACCAACAAGAAGCTCGAAAGTTAGGTAGGACCCAGATTGCTTGAACCGGTGATGAGTCAGCGTCACCTGATATGCCGGCAACATCATTCGATGTTCATGATTCTCTCCCACTACCCCGTCTACAGTTCTCCACCCACGAATTCTCATTCCAACACACAACCGAATTGCTGCAACAATGTCCTCAATCGCTGCTCTGGCTACCCGCCGGGCTCTGACCCGCCAGTCCCTCCTCCGCGCTCCCCCGCGCCGCTTTGGCTCCTTCAAGGCCGAGGAAGCCAACCTCGAGAAGGCCCCCAAGCGTGATCCCGAGCTCTATGTATGGATCCTACAAAGCCATTGAACAATTCCAGAGCTTTCTTCTAATCCGCTGTGCTTCTAGGTCCTTCTCGGTGTCATGTCCGGTGCTTTCCTGATTGCCGGATGGTGAGCATCCCTCCCGAAATTGCCCTACAAGGCCTCATGTCCAAATTTCGCCCCATTTACGCCATTGTGACGTACCAGCGCTTCTTCGGGACTTTACTCGATTGACCTAGCACTCTCAATGGCGCATGCACATAAAGTAGAAAGCACGGTCGCTAATCAATTTGGTGTTCATGAGAATATAGGTACTTTGGCCGCAAGCCCACCTCCGTGAACTCTGAGAGCAACGTTCGCATTGGCGAGAGCGCCATGCCCTGGCAGGGCGAGTCTGAGGATGGCAAGGTCTACAAGTACCAGTACCACCCTCACGGCGACAAGAATCAGCCCCTCCGCGCTGCTCCCAGCGCCATGAACACCGTCATTGTTCCCAATGTCACTCTTCCCGAGGTATGAATTCCCTGGACCTTTTGATTTATGTCACACATGGGTCCGCTCCAGCACTTAGTCTAGAGTGCCATGTTATGTCGCATTTTTGTTTTAAAGGGCAATGCTGACATGAGCTTCTTTCTAACAGGATCTCCACGAGAGATTCAACAAGTACGGCAAGGAAGAGTGGGACTACTAAATGGCTAGCGATTAGCCATAAGAATTGCCTTGAGAAGTTGAATGAAGCGAACCGCCGTTTTTGCGGCCGGCTGCTGTACACTAAGACCGGGGAGAGGAGAGGCCTGCGTGAAATTGCCCTTTGGATAGCAAGAGATTTGTGCATAGTATCCGTATTCAGATAAAGAGTCAGTTGGGAATAAATAGTTCTCTTGCGTTACATCTGTATCCTGCCGGCTTGGTACAAGGTTGAATTAACAATTCGTCCGAGACCATACCTGACAAACCAGTTGCAGAAGAGGTTTTTAAAAGTAGCCAATTACGTGTATTGTCATGATAGTACTCCGAATATAGCCCAAGATCTGCGGATATCAGGGTCGATTATGGCAACACTAAAAAGCTAATAAAGAAATGGACAAGTACTCTACAGAGTCTCGTTATACATGACAGAATCCGCTCTCCTCTTACACTTTTATCTTCCACGCAACCACTATTTAGTAGCCTCATTGCCCTCACTGGCAGGTTTAGCCTCCATGGAGCTTGACTGTTCAACAGAGGGCTCGTTGCCACCAGCCACAGACGCGGGGCTTTCAGGGGCCACGGAGTCCTCGGGCGCGCTGCCAGTCTCAGGGTTCTGGCCCTGCACATCCGGGTGCGGGGGGGCGAGCTGGCCATCGACGATGGGAACATTGTGGGCATTTTCCATAGGCTGACCCGGCTCATAACGAGTCTCGAACTTCACTTTACCTTCTGCTCGGAGCGAGGCTACCAGCTTCTCGTCAAGAACTTTGCCGTTCTGGTCGCGGTACTCAACACGCGCCATGGAGCCTTTGATCTTGGGCTCGGTGACGGCCGCTGGGTCTGAGGCTTCGACGGCTTCGTTTGCAGGTGCAGATTCAGGCTCTTGGGCCTGGACTGGTGGCGGTGGGGGTGGTGCTTGAGCTGCGGTTGTAGGGGCAGCTACGGGCGGCACATTCGGGACGTATTGAGTGATGTACTGGCTCAACTAATGGCGTTTAAGATTGCATGTTAGTCGTGGTCTCGTCGATTCGTTCAATAGCCTCGTCGGGGAGGTCTCCATTCCGGAACACTTACGTCGTTGTGGAAGGTGCTGCAGTCGAAGTCCCAGGATCCGAGCAGCTTGACCTGATTGCAGGCATCCCTAGTCCAGGGGTTGCCATACACGAGTGGGGCGTAGAGGGTGAACACAACAACGCTGAGGCCCAGGAAGATTGCCATCAGGGCCTTGCCGATCAAGGGCTTCGACGCAAGCCCGAGGCTCTGAATGCGGTTTGTGAGGAAATCAAGTTCTTGGCAGAGGACCATAATGGCGAAGTAAAGAGCTGGGAGATAGTGGTGCAAGAACAGCTGGCGCGCCATGAGGTAGAATGGGAAATAGTGGAAAAACCAGCCCAAAACGCTGGTGCCAACCTCATAGTCAAAGCGCTTGAACGACGCGTGCTTGTAGTCACCACAGCTTCGCTGCCACCGGACAATCGAGAGAGCCTTGAAAATGAAATAGATCCCAATGGCCAGAGTGCTGGACCACCAAATGAGCGGGTTTCCGAGGAGGTAGATTTGGCGGTTATCTTTGCCCCAGAAGTTGATGCCACGAAGGAGAGTAGGCCAGGAGGGCGGACGAGAATCCCAGGCATGCGACTCAACCAAGCCTGCGTTAGTGGTCCACATAACCTTCTGCAATTCCCAGAACTTGCCCAGGAAGCCAGGATTCCGGTAGTTGACTCGCTCGGCATCTGGGGCCATAGCAGGGTGCTGGTTGGACTCAATGTACCAAACGCTATTGGGAAGAGTACCACCCTTTGCACATGTCACTTCCTGCTGCTCATACCCCCAGTCCGGAAGCTTGACCTTATGAGAAAACAGGACACAGCCAGTCATGACGTGCACCAGCTTGAACTTGGACTGGATGGTCCGCAGACGCTTCTTAGATTCCGGAGTCTCAGACATGGACTTGACAATCTCAACCCTCCATAAATCGTTGGCATCACCGGGGAAGCCTTCATATCCGTAGGCAGAGACTTCATACTGCCAGTCAGCCTCGGTCACCGGAGGGCGCTCGTCGTGCGAGTGGATTCTTCGATGAGTTATTACGTGGTATAGTCTGATAGTCGCACCGTCCTCAATGAAACCAGGAGCAGTCAAGTTATCCCAGGCGAACGGGCCCTCAACCTCTCCATACGGTCCTAGAGGCTGGCTCGAGTTCTCCAGGAGGAACAGATTGTTTTCGTCCTTGTGGGGGTAGAGCGTGATTTGCTGTTGCTTGCTGCCCGTTGGGTACATGTGAGGATGGGAGTGCAGATAGCCGCCCTGCGTGTTCAGATGGCGGAGGCTGACTCGGGATCCGAAAGAGACATCTGCGGGAACATCTTGCATAGACTTTGAGTTCAAAGTTGCCTGGAATTCCGACGACATGAAGCCGTCACCGTCTCCGGGGTTGACCAAGCACGTGAAGTGAATGGCAAACATGGCAAGGTAGAAGCCAATAGGAATGACAATGAGACAGAAGACCCGAGCAAAGAAATGCTTGAGCCATAGACGCTGCAACAATCCTCTTGTTAGCACAAAATACGGCTTGCCCTGAGCTTTGAGATACATACCGGTGTGACATTTTTAGCATCACCCAACAGTACCCACAACTGGAGAGCCGTGAGAGATCCAACCCAAGCCATAGTGAAGAGACCAACCCACTTCACGCTCAGGGTTGCGCCAAGAGAAAGACCGGTACACACCAGCCAGAACCACCAGGGGCCACGGAATGCATGGGCCGGTCCCAGCTCTTGTTGGTTGGTGAAGCAGCTAAAGGCCAAAGCTGTCAGGGCGGTAAAGAAAATCAATGGAGAATCAAGCAGAATCAGACGGGACTGAGTGACCAATGCGTTGTCAAAGATAACAAGACCAGCACCTAGGAGTGAAGTCGAAGTTCGGCACCCGGTAACTTTGAGGGTGAGGAACATCAATGGAACAGTCAAAACACCCAGGATGGCTGGAAGCATGCGCATTGCCACATAGGGCACGCCGGGCTCCAAATAGTCCTTGCCAATATCCTTGAAGTCGAAGTTTCCGTCGAAGCCAGCCAGCCAGCCAGCCAGCGTAAGCAGCAGTTTAGCCAGCGGGGGGTGCACATCCATGAAGAATTTTCCCTTGATGTATTTGGAAGCAAATCCACCAAAGCTATTCAAACGTAAATCATTAGTTTCTATTTGTTTTCATTTCCAATTTATAACACAAGTTAGGTCGGGGACGTACTGGACTTCATCGAACACAACACTAGTGGGTTGATAGATTCTGAATAGGCGAACGGCCGCGGCGATCAGAGTCACCAGTACAATAAGCTTGTAGTCCGAGCCGGGGAGTTTGAAGATATCATTGTTCTCCACTCCCTCCGAGGCATACGTGCGAGGCACCGCCAAAGGCTTGCGGCTCTTCGGTTTGGGCGACCGACTAGGCGAGCGCCTGCCCCGGCTCTGTGGCCGCACGGTAAGTGTGTCTTTCGCTTTCTGGCCCATATTGTTTTGATATAGGTGTGGAACGACGTCAGCGTTCAGGCGAACGGCGCGGGGGTCGGAATTTCGAGATAAAATGATAGGAGAGGTGCGTGTAGTTTAGTTATAGCTTCTATCGTTGATGATAGGATTCTTGGGGTTCAATGGACGAGTGGACGTTATCGAAAGCTGCTTTGGACCTCGAGCTGTCAACCGGTCAATGGCTTCAGGCACCACACCAATTAATGATAGTGTAACAATGAGGGAAAAGGCCCCATGACAGGGAAATAAGAAATCAAAGAGAGAGAGGGGAAAAAAGGGCTTCTGAAGAGAGAGTAAGAAAGGAAAAAAGGACGTTGAAAAAACAAGAATAGAAGTGAACACGAATGGACGAAAGCGTGCAGTTCCGCCTTGAGGCCAGATCAACGGCGGATGTGGACAACATGTGAGCGGCCCCTTAGTTTTATGATTCGCCCCAGTATTGTGACGGTCTTTACCATTGGGATCTAAAGTTGAAATGCTGTATTTTTTTATATGTGTAGCTATATTTGAATAATCGTTCTATTTGATAACGCACTAAAAGAGAAAAGAAAAGAAAATAAACATTCCCTATTCTGGCCTGCATTTCAGTGGAGAAGGACAAAATCCGAAGAACAACATGGCCGGGCACGGGATGCACCGCCACTGTAATGCGCCACTGTAATGCCACGGTGGCGGTGAACCCAATAGTGGCTAGTGAAGCTAGTCAGCAAGTCTTAGATCGTCTGCGATACCAACATCCCCATCTCTCCATATCCTCACCATTCACAATGGAGTCAAATGGAACTACACCTCGCCCAGAGGGGCCTGAGGGGACTTTGAAGCCTCCGGAGGGAATGGTTCTTCCCCCAAAGGATATCCGAAAAGCCGTCGAGACCACCGCAAGCTACGTCGTTCGCCATAAAGGCACTTTCGAAGACCGTATCCGCCAGAAGGAAAAGAACAACTACAAATTCTCTTTCCTAACACCTGGAGATGCTTATGAGCCCTACTATCAATGGTATACAGCCGAGTACAAAGCAGGTCGAGTGGGAGGATTAGCAGGGCGAGCTGGCGAGGCCGTCTCCGCCGCGGAACCCGAAAAGCCCAAGGGGCCACCTGAGCCGTCCTCGTTCCACTTCTCGGCACGCATGCCTATTATCAACGCACAGGATTTGGATGTAGTCAAGCTCACCGCATTGTTTGTTGCAAAGCGGGGGAAGTCATTCATGACTGCGCTATCGCAGCGCGAGGCCAGAAATTTCCAATTCGATTTCTTGCGACCACAACATAGTCTGTACCAATTCTTCACTCGATTGGTCGACCAATACACTATCTTGCTTCGCGCCGAGGGAATTGACGAAGCGACTACAGCCACCAAAAGAATCGCAGAACTGGAACAAAATGCAAAGAATAAATTCAACGTGATGGAGCGCGCTAAGCAGCGCGCAGAATGGGTGAAATATCAACGGCAACAAAAGCAAGAGAAGGAAGAGCAAAGTGAACAGGAACGGATTGAGTATGCCCAGATCGACTGGCATGACTTCGTCGTGGTCGAGACCGTCGAGTTCACCGAGCACGACGACCACGCGGACTTGCCACCGCCAACCTCCGCCAATGACTTGCAGTCCGCCTCCCTTGAACAAAGAGCAGCACTCTCGCTCAACACACGGCGCATTGAGGAAGCAATGCCTAACGGCCTCGATGAACCTGTCTACTACAACGCTTACCCAGTCCAACCCACACCCATGCACGCACCCCAACCCTCGGTCTCGCCCTACCCAGCAAGCCCCTACCCTCCAGCAGGCCAGTACCCCAACGCAGAAGAGGAGCAGCGCATTCGCGAGCGGACCCAAGCGCGCGACCAAGCCGCCGCCGCCCAGGCAGCAGCCATCCCAGGCCAACAGCCAATCCGCATCCGCTCAGACTACGTACCGCGAGCCCAGGCCCGCCGTCAACAAGCCCAGATGGCGATCTGCCCTTACTGCAACCAGAAAGTGCCCTTCCCCGAGCTGGACGAGCACATCCGTATCGAGTTGCTCGATCCGCGCTGGAAAGAGCAGCGTGCGAAGGCCGAAGCCCGCAGTGCCACCACCAACCTGTCCACCGTCGACGTGGTCAACAACCTCAAGCGCCTTGCAAGCCAGCGCAGCGATGTCTTCGACCCTGCCCCCATCGACCCAGAGGAGGAAGCCCGCCGCAAGCGAATGGCTATGGGTGCCGATGGCTCAGCTGGCCCACAAAACCCCAACGCTGGCCCGGCTGGCGCGCAAAGTCCCCAGAGTATGAATATCGAAGACCAGCTCCGACATATCCATCAGCTTGCCAAGAAATGATATCCCCCCAGCATCATAAAGTTCAGACGGGATGTTGTCGTTCCAAAGAGGTTTTGTGGAGGTTTTCTATTTCGAAAATACTATGTTTGTGCCATTTGTGGAGTTCGGGATGACGGAAATCTGGATGAGCCTCTTTTTTTGTTTCTGTTTGTGTACAATAGCCCTCTTTTACTCTAACCTCACGAAACATCTTGTCTGGTCTATGCTTCTTTCCGTGCTAAACATACCTTGATTTCATCTAGATAACGTACAAACTAATGCTGAGTCTTTGGGCATGCTTTGGACATGGGTGACTGGCATGTATTGCTCGTATCTTCTACATTATATCCATCCAATGGCATATATCGTTTATGTATGTAATTTGATTGAAATTGATTCAAATTCATCTATCATTGATCACGATAACTCCACCACCAATCGGCCCGAGACCGGCATCGCCGCGAGTCATGAGTGGGAACGAACAAAAAGAGGCGAAGAAGAAACAGTCCAGATCCACGATGCCACCATCTGGTCCAAATGTCTGCGAAGGAAAAAAAAAAAAAAAACAGGGACAAGGGAAAAACGAAAGGGCAGGGTCAAAAGCGAAAAGTTTGATAATAATACATGAGGCCATGTGGCTGAATGTGAAAAGAGGAATACCCAAGAAGCCAGAACCGATGGAGGGCATCATCACGGTATAATTTAATTGGTGATTAAAGGTAAAGGTAGAAGCGGAAGCAGAAGCAAAATTTCCAAAGGGCGGGTCTGTATCAACGCTGGAAGAAGTAGAAGATAATTATGTGACTGAAGAATGCAATGCCAAAGGATGGAGGAAGACATTAAGCGGATCATAAAATGCTGGGTAAACCGTGTAGTCATTTCGCTCGTGTTGATCGCTGATCAACCGAGTTCAAGGGTTGCTCAAACCATTGGGCTTGGCGATGGCTGTGTCTGCGTCTCGACTAGGAGCGATTGAGGGCTCATTGTCGACAGGTGGCGTGAGATTGGCATCCACGTCAGCACTAGCTTCTTCATACACGCTTGCTGCTGAGTCGATAGAAAAGCGCTTGCGTTCTGAGCCACTCAGGGAAGCAGCATCGTCCCTTTCATAGATAGAACTTTGAGGTCGAGGAAGATCAGGGTGGGTTATGTGCTCGGTAGCAGATTCTGTGACCGGTGTTTGCGGTGCAATTTCATCCGCTGGATATACTTTCTCCGTCCTGGGCTCGAGGTGAGTAACATCCACAGGATGGAGATAGCGGTCATCATCGTCCCCGACGGCGCCACTATTGAACTCTGTACTGGCCAGCACCACCTCTGGTTCGCTAGAGCGATTGCACAAGGGGATGATGCCTCCTCCGATACGCGACCAGAACATCCTCTCTCTGAGGCGGACGGTCTCATCCCAGATTTCCTTTTCTTCTTCGGTATCGCCAGCCCGAAGATGTCCGTCAAGGATGAGACGCAAGTAACCAGTGAACTCGCAAGACGAGCGCACTCGTTCTAAGCAAAGAAGACAAAGTGAGTACCTTTGAGCGGTCTCGCTATCTGATGTTCGGAAACGATGGGTTCTCTCGTTAGGCGTGCCGGGTCTGCGCTCACCACAGACAGAGCAGGGGAATTCAAATTTCTTCGATGACGGGGGCATTGGCTCGACGACAAGACTGCCTTCGCAGATGCTGCTGAGGACGGTACGTCGGGTCAACCATGAGATCCCCGGCGCTAGATCTAGTCTCAATGTAGGTTCAATGTCCTCCACGAGCACCCGCTTGTAGAAACGAGTTTCCTTCAATGCAAAATGAGATCCCGTTGTGGAGGATGTGCTGCCATTGGGGGAGTGGGCAAACCCTTTGGTAGGTGATGAGGTCGACGACGGAGATCCTCCACTAGCAAAGCTTGCTAGTCCCATCACGTTCAGGCCTCCATATGATCCACTAGCAGCACGGCTAGGAGGTTTGGAGCTCCGAGAAAGTACCAGTAAATCGCGGAAATCATCGTAAGCCTGCAGATCAGTGCGGCATACCATGCGGAGGAACTGCGGGAAGCTGGTGGAAGGGCCCGGAGTGAGCTCCTCGGGATTGTCAATCAATACTGGAACGGGATCAATCTCTGGCTCTTGATTACTAGAACCTGGCGCCTGTGATTGTCCATCCGGGGTTGATGGAGCGGGGAGTGGGACGACCTTCCACGTCGTCTTTTTGAATGTTCATGGCTTGCATGACAGACTTGAGCTCGGCAAGCTGGTCCTGGTGCGATGCCAGGAGCAACTCCGTGTCTTTAACTTGTGAACGCAACTGCTCATTCTTCTTCTCCACCGCCTCGCGTTCGATCTTAGCTGCAGCCACCATCTAAACTTATGTTAAATTTGGATCTGAAATAAATATGTTGGTGGAGATTACCGACCTTATTGGCTTCTTCAAAAAGAGCCGCAGTAAGAGTTTCCACCTCTTGCTCAATGGTCTTCTTGCCCTTTTCAGCGGCGAGACGCTGTGTCGTTTCTTCCGCTAAGGTATCCCGTAGTTGCGATATTTCGCGATCAGAGTCCGCCTTTTTAATATAGACTTTGTTGTCAATGTCCCGCCGATACTTCTCATTCTGGAACTCCAGGGCTTGAATCTTGCCCTGGGCTAACTCTAACTCTTGACGGGTAGCCACCAGGTTATCATCGAGGTTTGTTTGGTTGTTGATGGCTTGGATCAGTTTCACAGACAATGCTGCTACTTCGTTGCTCAAATCGGGGTGCTGAGACGATGACGTCGAATGTGAGACCTCCGACCCGACCATCAATCGTGGGTCCTGCAAGGTGCTAAAACTGCTTTCGTCAAACCCAGAGTTGTGTGTCCCATTAGAAGTATTCGAAGAGGCGATCTCCGAGAGATTGGTGGTGGACTTCGCTTTAATGACGGTTCGGTCAGAGGGTAACGACGGGTGCTCGGAGGAGAGCGACCTCTTATGGCGCGGAATCATGTTGGATGGGGAAAAGAAACTATGATGAGAGGTTTGAAAGGCAATTAGACTGCCCCACCTAGAATGTCAATAATTAATTAGATTCCCAATGAGGACTCTTGATGGAGAACTTACTCGGCCATGGTGAGTGACGTAGAAGGCGTCCGGAATGTTAAGGCAAAAGATGGGTCGCCAGGTCAATATCACATTCAGAGAAGCTCCGGTAGACAAGTGGCTATAGTAGGCAAGTTGCTATGTACGCCATTCACGAGAGACAAATGTTGGAATAGAAAAAGCGCGTGCGGTCGAGTAGGTCCACGGGTACGCAATAGGCTGAAAGATGGCCGAAACCGGATTTTGTGGATTGAGGAGAAACGGAGGGCCAAAAGACACAACAGAAATGAATGCGCTGAAGGTCAAGAGAAGGATTGAATTGCCACAAACAGATCTGATCGGAAATATCAGCCTATTGAGGTTGTCAAGGAAGTGCAGCGCGAGGGCGAGTCAAAGCTTAGTCACCCGGAGATGAAGTGAACCCGACGAGGGATCGGCTGCGCTATGAACTTGTTACAAGATGCAATATAAGAAAGAAATACGGAGGGGAAACGGGAGAAATCCAGCATTGCCACCCGGACACGGACCGGAGACCCCGGCGCTTCTGATAACCGGAGATATTAACGAGCTAATGAAGCTATCGGTAATTTATGCAAATTGAGATTTGCCCCTCAAGGCACAGTCAGATGGCCTTTGAGTGGCTATGCAGGCGCCAAAGTACTCCGTACATGCTACCGTCTTATCACACCTATGTGTCCATGTGAATAGACTCAGCTAACCTAGAGGTATTAGGCTGTGTGGAAGTCAATTCACCCCCCTAAATCAGCAAATACCCCCTTTTATCTACGTTGTAGGTATGCATACAATATATACTTTGAAACAGATGGAGTAAAATCCCTACAGGCTGTGAGATTCAAGTCCGAACTAGGGAATAACAATAGCATTTGGCATGGAACACTACCTATGTATGGGATTAAACTGTTCGATTATTCATTTTCTAATTCCAACTATTTCAATCCAAAATATTATTAATATGTTAGGGGCCTTATGGTGTTTAGATATATTTTTGATTGTCTCAGTAAAAAGCAGGTCGATACGAAATATATAGATCGTGAATATACTGAACAATTAAAAGATTATTGCTGCTTCAATTCTCCTTTAATCCTCCTACTAGTTCTATCTACTAATATCCCCTTCACATAATTATATAGATGGTCCAAAACTACCCCGGAATGGAAGGTCGTTGCACCCCTCCGTACTCAGGCGAGCCCAAGTGGGGTTCACCAAATTAATCCTCAACTCTTCAACTTATCAATCCCCTCCTAATCGACAGATCCAACCATGGCAGACGCAGAGCTAGAAGAGGTCGGTCTCTCACTATCATGAGATATCTTCAACTCTGGTACTAAGAGAAACAGATCCGACGAGCTCGTCTCGCGCAACTCCAGCAACAAGGACCTCGTGGAGGTGGTCCGGCCGGCCAGGATGGTGGCGAGCAGGCACAGCAGAGGAAGTAAGTATTAAAATAAATCGCAAGAATAGGATGTATGCTAATGAACCCAGACAAGCAGAGGGTAGGTCCTAGGTCCAACCGTTTTAGTCCATTCGCACTCGATGAACTACAAGCAACGTTATAGTGCCACATTTCTAATCCTCCATTTTTGGTTTATTACAGCAGAACAGCGCGCTTCGATCCTGACGCAAATCCTCCATCCCGACGCTGCCGATCGCCTGGGCCGTATCCGCCTCGTTAAAGAATCGCGCGCAACGGATATCGAGAACCGCCTGATCATGCTCGCCCAGTCTGGACAGTTGCGGTCAAAGGTAACCGAGGAACAGCTCAAAGAGTTGCTGGGAGCTATTGCAGAGAACCAGCGCAAAGAGGAAGAGGAGCACAAGATCGTTTTTACTCGCCGCAAAGGTGGGTGGGATGACGAGGATGATCTCTTGGACCTGTAAGGGTCGCATACAATGTGACCTAGAATCACTTATGCCTATGGGCCTTTTGTTTCTTGCATTTGGATACCTCTGTTGCTATCCGGTCGTGGGCCACTGGGAAAATCTACTCCAGGCGTTATGGTCCAACTTTTTTTTTTTTTAACACTATTCGCACTTGGGTTGAGTTAGGGCAATCGGTCTTGCATATGCACATCTGTGCACAGGTGATATGGTTTACAACGATTCAATAATCATACATCTCTCCCTATCTTCGAGTTCCCTCACTTCAGCAGGACGCAACCAGCTCAGTTTGAAGCCTGCTGCTGTCTCTCTTTTTCCCGCTTCTGCTGCTGCCGAATCATCTTCCGAATCTCTCTTAGATCCGGCGGACGCTCAATATTCAGCTCAGCTCTAAGCTCGTCCACATCCTTCTCTAGCACCTCCTCCCAGTAAACATTGATAAGCTCCTTACTTCCAAGGCCACTACGAATAGCCCACGGGAGATGTAATGAGAGGAACCGCTCTTTCTCGGCGGGCTTCATCCGCACAAAAGCGAATAGACTTAACCCTGTCATAGGAAGAAGTGTGTTCAAGAACTCCAGCGCCTTGAGAGCCAGCTCGCCCTCTACAAAGATTGGTAGTCCCGTCACTGCGTGGTAGAAGTCATGGCACTCGCGGTATCGCTGCATGACATATGCACATTCCTCATTGTCGATGTATTGGACGTTGTCCCGAGTGTCAGGGGATACGCCCTCGCGATCTAGCCATTTGGCATATGTCCGGCCGACGGAATTCTCGGGGAGGGTGCGGAGATGGGTCATTTTGAGGGTTTCGGAGGTAATGCGGGGGCGATCGCGGAGAATACGGCGCCCTGTTGGATCTGAGAGCATGGCATCGCGTAGTCGGTATATGAAAAATGGCGTTGCGGTGGCTTCGCCCAAGGCCGCGATGAGATCTACATAGTACCATGTTAGATCGTGATCCGGGATTTTTGTCGGAAATTATATCCACACACCCGCTCTTCTAGGGTTGATAAGGGATCCAATTGCCGAGCCTACAGCAAGAGCCCCGCGTTCAATAGTAGTCAATGGGACATGACCAGGGTAGTTTGGTGATGGGCGGTTCAAAACGGAGAAGGGCCGTAAAGTGCTTGCAGCTGATAGTTTTGGGCTGGTAGCCAAGGCCCGAAGCTCAATTACTCCACGCCTCCCAAGTACCGACATTATGAATCCCAAAGCCAGAGGAACTTGTGCATGGTCTGGGACGAAAGCTGAAGCTGAAGTAGAAGTGGTATGATTATCAGATCGGCAGGGACAGCATAAGTGGCCGTTATGATCTGCCGTAATTTACGATAACGCCGTTCATCGCCGATAACCATTTGCTCCACATTGTAGTGTGAATTTCAGACAAATTCCGACGCCCATTGAGACTGCTTAACGATTTTTTTTTTGTGCTTTTTGCCTTGAGAGAACAGAATATAACAGGAAAGACCAATAGAGGTGTGTTCTAGAAAACAAAATATCTCTTTAACTCATATCCCTACCTCGTAGTATATGCTGACTGGAGCAAGAATCCCAAATCCTGCCAAGAAGCACAGATCAATACATTATGAGGCCAGAATGGTGGCCCGGGCAAGAGCATGAGGCCTTCACTGAATGGGCAATCTCCAATGGCATAGATACCAAGTCGGTGACTCCAGCCCGGTTTCAAGGGCGTGGGCTGGGAATGATGGCCACCCGGAATATTCAAGTATGACCCCCGAAGATATACATATTTACTTCTCATTTATATATTTACTTACTGTGTAAACGTCTAGAAAGGAGAAACTGTCCTCAAAGTGCCGACAAGGTTGATGCTGAGAGTCGAAGATATCCCTTCCACTTTTATCGACAGACTCCCAGAAGGCATTGCTGTACATGCACTCCTGGCAGCATATCTCACGCATGGTGCACCAGATGAACTATCAAGATACGATTTATGGCGCAAGTCATGGCCCAGTCGAAAAGACTTTGAAGACAGCATGCCGATCCTCTGGCCAACCGCCCTGGGAGGGCCGCAGTTGCCCAGCAGTGAAGATGACGCTCCGATTGACTCGGAGCAACCAAACCTTCTTCCCCCGTCACTTTCAGGGCTCTGGAATAGCATACAGCCAGGCACAAAGACGAAGAAGTACAGTGCAGACTACCAGAACATTATCTGGCAGCAGGTTCAACGCCTGCGCAAAGCATGGACAGACGTCATTTCTGCGTTCCCGGATACCGACTGGGCGGCATTCTCATACAATTGGCTGATTGTAAATACGAGGAGCTTCTACTGGGTTGGCGAAGGACAGGAAACGCCAGAAGACCCTAATGATGCGATGGGGCTAGTGCCTTTCGCTGATTACTTCAATCATGCAGATGTTGCCGTACGTGCCCCGTCTAAGTTCCTTGTTGTATTAACCAAGCTAAACATAGTGGACGGAAACAGCGGGACGTCAAATTCGATAGAGATACATATGAATTTCGTGCCACGAAAGATTACGAGGAGGGCGAGGAAGTGTTCATGAACTATGGCAGTCATCCGAATGACACATTACTAGCAGAATGTGAGAAACTGTTACTCTCTGCTTGTCTTCAACGTGCTGACTCCATTCCCTTTCCATAGATGGCTTCTTCCTCGATGTGAATGAAGCAGATTCAATCTATCTTGACGATATCGTTTTTCGAGACATCCATTCCGCCGACCAGCAAGAGGAGTTGTGGCTAAATCAATATTATGGGTATGTGGTTTGATCTGATATTTTACATGACAATGCGTATTTTCCACGCAATATATACAATTCTCCACTGACACAGCGCTAGCAACTACCAAGTTACTCTCCACGGACCCTGTTACCGCACAGAAGTCGCTGCATGTCTGAGTTATATGAAGGAGGAGGATTGGCGGAACCATGTTCTTGAAGGCCAATCACAGGGCTTAGATGAGAGTCGATCTGAGGCCACCATCAAAAGGTGGATTCTGACATATGCCGCAGAGGCAGATGCAACTATCACGGCGCTGCAGAAAGCCATGGAACTCGACACCACAGTTCAAGCACATCGTTCAAAAGCAGATATGCTGCTGAGGCGGTGGAGGCAGATCAAGGATATCTGTGAACACGCGGCCAAAAATGTCTCTGTATAGAGACTTCTCCACAAAGGATTTATATTTTTGTTGAATCTTTTGACCTGCTCACACACGTAGCGGCATGACAAGGACCCAAGGTAGAGTAAGAAACCGACAGGGTAGAATATACTCCAAATCTCTTAAATGGGAGGTTCATTGGTAGAGATGACATTGTCGAGATCAAGAGGAATCGCGCCAGCTTCTCGGCTCCGATGGGTGGCCGCTTTGGCAGCGACCAAATGCTTGATCATGTAGTTAAGCGCGCATTTGATACCAAGTTCTTCGCCGCGACGCACAACCCATCCGTTGAAGTATTCAATCTCTGTTAATCTCCTCTGGTTGATATCTTGCTGCATCGAACTGTGATTCTTGGCCGTGTTGCTCGCGATATTCACAACCAGACGACGCAGGCGTTCTGGGGAGAAGCGATCTTCGATGCCCGGGATACCTTGGAGCTCAGGAAGAGCACAGATGACGGCAGAGATCTCAAAGAGTAGCAAGCGCATGACACGGGTAAAACTGAACGAGTAGAGGATTTCGCCATTCGTACAGTCGCTCAACGCAGTCAGGGGATTGATGACGCAGTTCACTGCCAATTTCTCAAGTTGATATTGTAATAGACCCGCCGGTGTATCAGCCACAGCAACCAAGGGCGGAGTGAGAGTCAAGAGGCGCAGGAGATATTTTGTGGACGGCGCCCACGTATGGTCAGCTTCTGGCGTTGTAGGAGGGATACTGGAATCTCCAACCGGGCTAAGGATTGTGGTCCCAACTCCCAAATGAGAAATTTTGAACGAGTCGTTCCTACCCAGACCATGGCTGAAGACTGTTTGGATGTAATGTGGTCGATTGTTGGGATCGGGGAAGACATTTTGATTGATGGAGTCGAGTACGCCCATACCATTATGGACAAGACAAATGGTTGAGTCTTTGGTCAGGCGGTGACTAATGTCTTTAATGGCAAGCTCCGTGTGATGTGCCTTGGTGCAGATAATCAGACACTCGATGGGACCGTTATCTGGAAGAGACTGGTACTCGGAATCGAACGACGAGGGCCGCTTGTCAACAGGAGGCATTGTATACCATCTTCCTTCTTCATCCACTGTTTCAACATCGAATCCCGTTCTGACATCGTCAAGGCCATGGGTGCTGACAGAAATTTGTCCCCTTTTCCGAACAAAGGCTTGGTAGAGATAGTCATTGTGCAAGCATATTGTGATTGGCGGTGGTGACCGTCTTGTGGCTAAAGAATGAGCAAAGAAGCAGCCCAGATTGCCCATTCCGAGGATATGCACTCGCCCTGACAGGGGTGTTTTGGCAGCATAGTTGACCTCTTCCAACTCTTCTTTCCATGTCGAGATAAATCGTGTGGTTGGCACACCATGGACCTGGAACCGCGACCGGAAAGATGTTTTAAGGATACCGGTCCGCCACAAAGAACGTGGCCGAACTGTCAAATGCATTCTTTAGAGCACTGAGGAAAAGTTCCCCGGAATATCCGATTAGTTGCAAGTATGTGTTTGGCGACGGGAGGAGGTCAGAACGATGGGTTTGGTGGGATGTCGGATTTTATATTGTGGATATAGTCAGACAGATAAGAGCCAGGTCACTTGTGTGTCCACCAAGGCCTATTCTTAAACCATCAAGCAGTTCTTGGATATGAACGAGTTCTCAACGGCCTCAGTTGCGCAGATGATGATCGGTCCAGAATCCACACCGCCCTCCTCCACCGCCCTTTTGGACCGGTCCTACTTTTTCTTAGATCAAGCAATTTCTCATTTACATCCCACCGCACCGCTATGGATCCAACAGACCTACTACCACTGCTTGAGCAGCTGGATGACAATGTCGATGATTTGGAGGAAGTGCTCCAGCCTATTTTGGCCAGCACTCTCCTCAAAAGCTCAAACAAACTGCCTGTTATGGACAAAGCAAAACTTCACGTGTTGATCACCTACACACTAGAATCACTAATCTTCTGTACGTCGCATTACGGCTCACAAATTTGACCCAAGCTAATAAGGTTGGTAGCTTATTTGCGGCTTCATGGAGTGGATGCGAAGCAGCACCCGGTATTCCGGGAACTGACCCGTGTGAAGCAGTACTTTGAAAAGATCAAGGTACTGGAAACCGAGCCCGAGGAACGCCCTATGACCCTTGATAAGGCAGCTGCAGGAAGATTTATCAAACATGGTCTTGTAAGTTTTCACTTCTTCTATTGTATTACAATGGCTATTGACCAAGTCTACATAGTCTGGCAATGATAAGTATGACTTGGAGCGGGCAGAAAAGCAAGCCAAAGAGCGAGCCCAGGCTCAGTTCAAAGCAGCCATGCTCGCTCGCAAGAGCATCGAGGCCTCGAAAGCACAACCCGATAAGGACTCTGAAGATGGCGATTCTGAAGGTGGTGTGGAAGTTGCAACAGTAGCAGAGCCCCATATTGACACAAATCTCGCTGGAAAGGTCGAGGGAAAGGAGAGCAAGAAGAAATCCAAGGGAGAACGCAAATCAGAAAACAGCAAGGCAAAGAAGGAGAGGAAAATCAACAAGGCGACACTGAATGAAGAGAAGAAGGAGCGACGGGCGAGGAAGGAGGAGATTCGAAAGGCTCGAAAAACCTAATTAATGCATTGTGCCCTGATCAGTGGGAACTAAGTAGGGACTGCCTTTGCGCCTCGAATGCTAAGGACGGACTGCCGGGCGGTCTCAAAAGCATAGCATTGGCTATGCGTCATCATTATCAGAACCTTTGTCGGCACGACGTGCATTGTCGAATCTAGTTTTCGCTTTGCCGAGCCTGTCCGGCCATGATATTCCATTGAGATGGATATCACGGCCGTCTTGAGACCACAAGGAGTGGCTCTATGTACTATGTACGAGACTTTGATGTCTCCATGAATCAAGATACCCTTCCACAATGGGAGCTACAACAAGCTCCGCAATACACATTATCTACAAGATAAAAGATAAAATTGACTGTTTATTTCCGTAACACATTTTTTTTGCGCACATCCATTCTATCGCTCTTAATAGCACATGCTAGTACGGAGTAGTTCCCCGAGTCATTCCCGTTCCTGTCTCCGCACCGGCCAACCGGCACCATAATGTCCGATCCACGTGACACTGATTGACCAATCAGAATACACTAAGCTCCAAGGTTTGCATCGGAGTTTGCCTCACTGGCCGAACTTACTCATCTTCTAGCTTCTTCTTTCTGCACTAGCCCTTATACTTATTACTTGCGTATCCTCACCTCACTCTTATATTTGTCCGAACAAATTCACACATAACCATCAAAATGCCTCGTCAACAACGCCGTGCCGCTCCCACCCCTGCGCGCAGCGCTCCCAGCCGCCCTACCGCTGCTCCTGCTCGGCCCGCGGCTGCTCCCTCACAGCAGCAGTCGCAGCCTCATTCGACCGCCGCTCACCCCCCACAGGCCCAGCAGGCCCCTCCTGTGCAGCAGAGCGCTGGCCCTGGACTGTTCGGCCAGATGGCCTCGACCGCAGCGTAAGTTCCAGACCCGGCATTAGACCTGGTTCCCAACAGAATCCGGGGGCCAGGATCGACTTTTCCGCCATATGTGCTAACGGTTAATATGATATAGTGGTGTTGCTGTCGGCTCCTCCATTGGCCATGCTATCGGTGGCTTCTTTGGCGGTGGCTCCAGCGCCCCCGCTGAGGCCCAGCAGGCCCCCCCCTGCTCAGTCCCAGGCTATGGACAACGGCCTCTACCAGAGCAACGCTGCCCAGACCTCGTACGAGAACCCCGCCTGTGAGGTTGACGTCCGCAACTTCCGCACTTGTATGGATGAGAACCAGGGTAACCTGAGCATCTGCGGTTGGTACCTTGACCAGCTGGTATGTTTACACTTGTTCTGTTTTCTCCTCTTTGATACATACTAATATCTTGCAGAAAGCTTGCCAGGCTGCCGCCAAGCCTTACTAAGGGCTTGATGCCAATCTGACTCTTGGTGATCAGAAAGACGGATACCATTTTTAATAATAACTGATGGGGTTTATGGGTCTGATCGCTCATAGCCAATCTTTCTTTGCATAGCCATTTCCATATCCCCTATTTGTACTTTATACCATCTCTCCTCGATAAAGGAATCAGTGCTTGAATACCAGATCAAGAATCAAATGCATGAATTCAACGAACGTCCTACATTTGTACATATCTAGTGCTGACCATTGTTTGGATCAATACCTGAATTAGACCCCAGTATGATGAGAAAGAGCAGTCACAACGTTTATATGTAGACAAAGTCACTTATCTTGACTGGCAACTTTACAGTAACCAAAAAGTGGACAAAAAACAAAGTGTCATAGTACAGAGCGTGGGCTAATCCGATCCATCGATGCCATAGATAAAGAATGCAATAACAACAAAGCAATACAAATAGGATTTATTTATGCTTGTCATCCTGGTTCTTCCGTGGCTCGAAGTTTAACTAAGAGATATGTTAGCCACTTGTGAACATAATTATCCTAACTTAGCATCACATACCTGGTTCCCATTGTAGAACTGATTATTCCCACGTCCATCTTGCTGGTCCCGCAGCGTGCGGATATTGGGTGCTATGGTTCTAGGTCGTTGGGAATTGCCAGTAGCCGGAGAAGCCGAGGAGGCGGTTGCATCGGTTGCTGGTGCGGTTGAGCCATATCCAAGAAACGAACCCACAAGACCTATTGCAGTGCTGGCAGCAGAAGAGGCCAGGTTGTAGACGGCATAGATACCACGAACGGGCAAACTACCTGATGCAGAATAAGCCTCCGTGTATGTTGATACAGGAACCATGACCAGGTTCGCGGTGGAACCAAGGCCTAAGTCTCGGAGAGTTTGGGACTCTTGGGTGACAGAAAGGGTTTCGCTGGGGAGGGGCGTTAATATATGCTTGAGGTTGTAGGGTCGGTTATCGCCTTCCATTTTCTGATCAAGCCAAGCCCGTACATCATATCGTATGTTCTGACTGGGCGTAAAGCTAGATCGCACGGAGCTTCCATCGAACAGGCGCACTTGTAGCCGATACTCGGTTGGGGGTCCTCGAGGGACTACAGGTTTTGGCTCTTGGCGTTCGCTTTTTACGGCGCCTTTGTCAGTGGGTTTCTTAGACCCCATCGGTGCTTTGCCTTTGATATCTTTATTGCTGGTTTCTTTGGATGATAGGTGCTTTTGAGACGCAGAAGCTGCTGATTTGACAGGCTCTGCAGCTTTCTTGGGTATTTGCTCAAGGGACGATTGTTGTTTGATTGCAGTTTCGCTTGTTTGCTTTGCGGAGTTGCTGGTATTGGATGGCGCTTCAGGCAAGGGTTGGGAGGCAATCGACACCGGCGGAATATTATTTGAGGTGGTGGGAGTGTCATTGCCCTGTGGTTGATGTGTAGTACTGGGTATATTTCCATTTTCCAACGCTGCAATCAATCGACTGCGGAAGTCATCTTTCGAGATATCTGGCCCGATGTATTCCTTCAGCGTGCCATTCCTGGAACGAGGTCAGCAAACCAAGAGCGAAATTTCAACAGGAATTGCACGGTCAAACGCACTTGATAAGTACAACAGTCGGAAACTTCGAGATCGGACAGAAAGAGGCCAGGAATCCAGCTTCCTGCGACCCCGCTGTCAAGCGCAATACAACTGCTTTGGCATTGAGTGCCTGCGCAACCTGTAGGGATTCAGATACAGCCAGACATTGAAAATTTAGCAAGTGGACGTACCTCATCAACACCAAAATAAGCATTCTCCCATTGAGAGCTCAATTCCTCGTCATCTGTATGTTCAAGTACTAAGATCAGCAACATGTCAATCGGCGCGGGAAGAAACTCAGTGACCTCTGACAAAGCAAACAACCGCTTTGGCGTCTCTCACTGCTGCAGCAATGCCATCCTGGAGGGATCCGTTGTAGAAAAGTGTCATGATCGCATTCCGGTAAAGACTTTGTGGCAGGACATGGGAAGGCCAGTGCGGAGAGACAAGTATAGATTGGAGAAGCCTGGGCGGTCACGGTCAACCCCCGATCCCGAAATCCCAACTGCCTTCGCATTTGCAAGAAACTTCAATTCTTAACTCCGTCCAAAGCTCAACCCACCCTTCACATTTTCCGAATCATTGACATGCGGCCGATATTTTCTGCTTTGCAGAAGGCATCCGCGAGGGTCTGGACACCGCCGTCTCGGGCTGTCCGGAGCCCTCCTGTATCCTCCAAGATCAATTCCATTTGCACCAAATACCGCCTACAACAATTCCGCCAGATCTCACAATCGCGTCAGCTAGCCGACAGTTTGAATATTGTGGACCACCCAGCGAGGCTTGTTCGTGTCAATAAGAAACATGGACCTGGTTTAATCATTTTGGGTATGTCAATGTCCAATGCTACCGATTCTTGACATTACTATATTGTTATGGCTAAAGTAATTGAGTAATCACTAACATTTTGTTCTACAAGCTCTGATTCCTATCATCTCATTTATCCTGGGCACATGGCAAGTACAGCGCCTGGGCTGGAAAACCAAACTGATGGCCAAATTCGAGGACCGTCTTGTGAAGCCTCCTCTGCCACTGCCGCCGCGAATCGACCCGGATGCCATTTCAGAATTCGACTACCGCCGCGTGTATGCTACTGGCCGTTTCCGCCATGACAAAGAAATGCTGGTTGGACCCCGCATGAACGAGGGAGAGGACGGGTATATCGTGGTGACTCCCCTCGAGCGAGAGGGACAGAGTACCGTACTTGTCAATCGGGGTTGGATCTCAAGAAAATTGAAGGACCAAAAAGACCGGCCTTTGGGTGTATTAGACGGAGAGGTAACCGTGGAGGGTTTATTACGAGAGCCATGGAAGAAGAATATGTTCACACCGGATAATAAGCCGGAGGAGGGAAAGTTCTACTTTCCCGATATCAATCAAATGGCGGAGATGAGCGGCAGCCAGCCAGTTTGGATTGAGCAGACAATGGGTAAGTGATATTGGATTGAATTACTTTGCTAATCATGGCTAACAATCATTTGTGTTTCCAGTGCCTGACCTCCTCGAATCTTATGATCGCGAGGCCAAGGGTATCCCGATTGGCCGCGCCGCAGAGGTGAATTTGAGAAACAATCATTCTCAATACATCTTCACTTGGTAAGTTGGATCCGTTGCATGTTTTTTCTTTCCACTCGAGGTTGTCGCTCATACTCTACAGGTATGGCTTATCTTTGGCCACGACCATCATGATGTGGATGGTCATGCGGAAGAACCCCAACGAGGCGCTGCGTCGGGTCCGCCAGAACCGAAACTGGTAATTTGTAGCGGAATTGCAGATTTACCTTAGCATAATTCACTGGCGTTGAAAGCATTACTTTTCATGGAGAATTTCGTTCTGGGCATTCACGGAGGCATGGCCAATCTCATGTCTTGCTGAAGTTCTTTGGGTAAATGCTTCTGGGCGAGAGAAAACACTGTCGTCGAATTGTTGATATGGCGTTGTCTGGAACAAGTCAGCAATTACTCCCAGGGGATGATTGACGCCCAAGGATTTCAAGGAAACAGACCTTCTCAGCAATGTGGTGACGTCGCTCTCATCAATTGTCTTCCGTCCCGCATGCTTTGAATACGCAGCCAAATCTTGGCTTGCTTGCTCAAAATACCATGAGGATGCCTGCTCAATTGCATCCAGCGCGGCCTTGTTTATTTTCGCCTTTGATCCAGCCCCCGAACGCGCAAAGCGAGTCGCTAGCTTTTTTACCACACCTGAAGGCAAGTTTGGAACAGGGATACCATGTCGAGAAATCTTCTTTTGCTTGCTCTGAGCAGGAATGGCTTCATCTCGCAATCCACCTCCAACAATGCCTGGGCTCTCACTAGGGGATGCTGCGGGTGGGAAGTCGAGTCCGAACCCGAAATCACCTCCCACATCGTCATCATCATCTGATGGAGCTGGGGGGTGGCTCCGCGGTAGACAGTTCGAAATCCTCGATATCGTTCATACCAGTGGGGTCTTCAAGTGGAGCAGCCGCAGGAGATGGAAAGTTGAGATCAAAATGGAAGCGGCCCAGGTCTTCGGTCTCACCACTATTCGTGATATTAGCCAATATTTTGTAACATAGTCAATCCAAACCGTGTATACCCACCCTCTATCAAAGTCGCCCCCACTGATCATTGTGTCCTCTGCCTCGTCATCCTCACCCATAATACCAGTCTCATCTGCATCATCGCTTTCTAATCGTGTCTCGTCAAAATCACCACTCATTCTGCCGGTAGCTCGGCTCATCATTGATAGCCGATCCCGGTCTCTGATGCTAGCGTCGCGAGGGTATTCAACAGACTGATAGGTAAGATCCATATCCTCTTCGGCGAAGGCGAGAGACATTCTCGGGGGTGGTATTTCAGGGCTCGCTTCTTCGCCTTCTTCCTCGGACTCCTGAATAGGTAGAGATAACCGTGGTCGCTCGATTTCTGGCTCATTATCAAGCTGTTCAAATTCATCAATTGGCTCTTCGATAGGCTCTGGCTTGTCCTGCGGTGAGGAGCGGATAGGCTGAGATACAGGAGCGAGTGCTAAGACCGGGCCGAATATTTCAGTCCAATTCCTCGTTGTTAGATGGTACGTGGTGAAGCTCTTACCTCTGCCCAGATTTCGAAGAATATCGAATGTAGTCTCCCGCTGCATTCTGCCGCTTCGTCGCCGATCCCGACCAGGGGTATTCGCCGCTCGTTGTTGCCGGGCACGAAGTCCGTATGGTGTTGCTGGCGCACCCACTCCTCGAGTGCGTGGTGTGTATCGAGATGCGGACCGTTGGGTGCCTGGGGTGGCTGCGGTAACAAGTCGACTTGGTGTAAGAGGGTAGCGTGTATGGATAGGAAGGCGTTGGAGCTGTGGGACGGCGATATAGTCAGAAATTGCCCACCTTCCCAGAAGGTAATGGTAGCACTCACTCCTGTCAATGTTGTATCCCCAGATGGGGTAGTAGTCCCAAATGGTGACCGACGGCCGCGTGCGTTTGGGGTAGAATTAGACATGGTTTGATTTTTGAGCAGCTATATCATGCGCAATATACAATCACATATGTCATGGACAGCACGATAAAATCTCAGATAAACTGGGGGAATAATGAATTACCAGATTGACCTTGATGTTTGTCTGTCGCGTCTAGAAACAACAATTGCGGGCCAGTACGTGATTGGTCCCGTCTTATCGATAAGATTGGCTGAATCAGCCGGCTTTTTTCTTGCGCAATGAAGTCTCGATACGATTTAAATTTACCAATTGAAGTTCAATACTTGGAAGATTATTTTGTCAAGCTCATACTGGCTGTCATCGCAATGGCCGACACAAATGCCCCCAAAGGACTTGCTAACAAGCTTCAAAACAAGCGCAAGAGACAATCCGACGATGCTGCCACCCAGCAAGAAAAGCCCGAGGCAGGCAAATCCGCAGAGGGATCAAGCAAGAAAAAGCAGAAGAAGACCATAAACAAAAAGAAGCAGGCTGAACACGAAGAGAGTCAGTCAACGCGCAAAGACGGTATTGATGAGTCGATTGGCAAGATGGACGGCCGGTTGTTGGGCGATCACTTTGCAAAGAAGGCCAAAAGACACGAGAAGGAACTCTCTGCTGTTGAACTGAGTGATCTTTCAGTTCCAGGTATGTATACTTCCTACTTTTCTGTCGGTCAAGCCCAAGAGGTGTCCTAGACATTAACAAATCTTAGATTCCGCATTCCTCGATACCTCTTCCTTCACCTCCACCCGAAAGTTGGAGCAACTCCCCGAATTCCTCAAGTCGTTCAGCCCCAAGGGTACCGATCTGTCAAAGTCATCTGAGAAGAACGGTACCCCTCACACACTAGTCATTTCGGGCGCTGCTCTGCGATCCGCTGATGTTGTACGGTAAGCGGGCAACTTTTAATCCTTTCTCTGGTATGAATCAAAGCCGTGACTAACAATTGACATTACTAGGGCACTACGCTCTTTCCAAACCAAGGAGAGCATTGTAGGCAAGCTGTTCGCTAAGCACATCAAGCTGGAGGAATCGAAGCAGTTCCTTCAGCGTGCTCGGTCTGGAATCGGGGCTGGAACCCCAACCAGAATATCTGATTTGATCGAGTCTGGTGCGTTCGCCCCGCTGCCATACATACATACTTCCTCATGTATAAAGTTGCTGATAATTGATATCTAGGAACTCTCAATCTGGACGAGCTGGAGCGCATTGTCATTGATGGATCACACGTTGATCAGAAACAAAGAGGTATCTTCGATATGAAGGACACGCATATGCCGCTGCTGAAGCTGCTTACTCGGCCCGAACTGCGTGAGCGCTACGGGGCGAAAAAGGGTGTGAAGATCTTGGTGTTCTAATATAACAGAGCTGATCATGATTTTTAATACTGCTCTATGGTTTGAGTATATGCAGACTTGAATCTGTTCATACAATTGTTTAGCGCGTATAAAAATCTCGAACTATAAAAATTAGAGCCTTATCAAGTAGCCTGTCTTCACCGCCTCCTTAGGCACGGCAAATTTTAATTTCACTTTTCTCTCCGCCTAACTTTTTTTGGAGCTTGAGTCTCGTTGCGCTGCAAACTTCTCCACCTCTTTTCTATCCCAAACTTCCCAAGACTTCAATTTTGTCTTGTTTTCTTACCATCTCACCATTGTCCAATTTCACAACAACATTCACCCTACACATACTACCACAATGGGCGACAAGCGCAAACTCGTGCAGGACGAGGTCGTCGCGCCCGAGGGCAAGAAGATGAAGAAGGAGAAGAAGGACAAGAAAGACAAGAAGGAGAAGAAGGAAAAGCGCAAGGAGGGCGAGATTGTTCTGCCCGCCGAAACTGCTGCCCCAGCACAGGAAGAGGCGAAGGAGAAGAAAGAGAAGAAGGAAAAGAAAGAAAAGAAGGACAAGAAGGAGAAGCGTAAGGCCGAGAAGGCCGACGCTAAGCCTGCTGCTCCCACCGAGGACGCTATGGATGTTGATGTGACCCCTACCGAGAAGGTGGACGCCGATAAGAAGGAAAAGAAGGACAAGAAGGAAAAGAAGGAGAAGCGCAAGGCTGAAGAGGTCGACGCTAAGCCTGCTACTTCCTCCAAGGACGCTATGGATGTTGATGAGACTCCTGCCGAGAAGGTGGATGCTGATACGGAGAAGAAGGACAAGAAGAAGGAGAAGAAGCAGAAGCAGAAGGAGAAGAAGAAGCAGCAGAAGGAGAACACCGAGGCCGGGGCCGAGTCCAAAGAAGAGCCTACCGGTGAATCCGCGGCGGCCGAGCCGGCCCAGAAGAGCTCCCGCTTCATCTGCTTTGTCGGTAAGTGATTTTAATCCAGATGGATCACCTCCAACCAAACACAGGATTAATCAAAGGATATTCGCATGCGCAGGAAACCTTCCTTACTCCGCCAACCATGAGTCCTTGAGCAAGCACTTTGAGAAGAACCCCCCAGCCACAATCCGTGTCGCAACCAAGAAGGAAGACCCCACCAAATGCCGCGGCTTTGCATTCATTGAGTTTGACAACTACGACCGCATGAAGACCTGCCTCAAGCTGTATCATCATTCCAACTTCGACGACGGAAAGTACCCACCCCGACGCATGAACGTCGAGCTGACGTGAGTTATCTCTCCCCCTCTTGAATTGGAGAATATGATTATCGATTCCAAGTCTTCTCCAAGCAAGGAAGCCCCAACATAATCGACCGTGTACTAATTACCAATTTCAGTGCTGGCGGCGGCGGCGCTAAGTCCGAACATCGCAACGCCAAGATCCAGGCCAAGAACGAGAAGCTCAACGAGGAGCGCCAGCGCCAGGCCAAGGATATCCAGAAGGACAAGAGAAAGCACGAGAAGAACGCTGCCCCGGCTGGCGGCTCTGGTGCCAATGCTGCTAGCATGGACGGCGCAGCCGACAACGCTGCCACAGATGACAATGACCAGTGGGCTGGTCTGCACCCTAGCCGCAGAGGCCGTGTTTAAAATAACCAAAACCTGATTCACTACTCTGTTTTCGAACAGTTTCAACTCATTGGATCGGAACAATGTACAGCAAGGTGTCCGGAGCATCTGCAGGCAGCTGGACATTTTGATAGCCATGCATTCTCGGGAGCATCAGACTTGGCCCACTTTTGTTTTTCTTACTGTGCTCCAAAAAGTGCTTACTTCATGTCTCTATTGCTTGATTTTGAAGATACCAATTCATATGCTTTCTTCTCTGCTTTCCGGCAAACGTTGCAGTGTGGATCTATCATAACATGAAGTACAGATGACTTAGAATGACCAGGGTATCATCTTGGAATCAAGAACACCGCGAATGAATTGGGACAGACTATAAACAAGGGCCATGAGGGCAATGACAGGAAATATCCCCAAGAAAAACGGTCAATGGATTTCATCACAAAACAGGACTGAGAGGCCGGCGAAATTAGAAAAAAAAGCCTCTAGCTACCCAGACGCCGTATTAACTATATATTATTCGTTATAGCATACGAGAACATGGGAGGCGAGTCAAGCCAAACAAAGATGCTCTACAAGATATTGCATTTGACTGCCTTCCTCCCGGATTTCGTAGCGGGGCGGGGATTGAGAACGGCCCTGTGGGGTACGGTTAGAAAGAAGCCGATATACGCAAGTAGTCCAGAAAGAGTGAAAACGCACCGGATGGCTTCGTCGAAGACGCTCTTCAGGTTGCGTTGTGTCAGCGCGGAACATTCAAGGTACTTATGTGCGCGAATCTCCTTGGCCACGGCCAGGGCTTGTTCGTAGGAGACGGTCTCCATCTTGCGTGCGCGAAGGGCTTCTGTAGTCGCGCGGTCGTCTCTCAGATCCAGCTTGGTACCGACGAGGATGATGGGGACATTGGGGGCGTGGTGTTCGATCTCCGGGAACCACTAGAAGCGGGGAACAGTATTAGTCGCATAGAAATAGAAAGGGGATATGTCTCGTGGGGATGTTCGGTCCCTTCGTACCTTCGCTTTGACGTTATCGAATGATGGTGGGCTGACAATGGAGAAGCAAATCAAAAACACATCGGTTTGCGGGTAAGATAACGGTCTCAGGCGATCGTAATCCTCTTGTCCAGCAGTATCCCACAATCCCAGGCTGATCGGCCGGCCGTCAACCATCACACTCGCCGTGTAGTTGTCAAAGCTAGAATGGAATCAATGTCCGTTCGGAACGGTTTCGCGTTGAGGGGTACGAACACAGTAGGGATATATTCTCCTGGGAAAGCATTCGTTGTGTAGGAGATCAGAAGACATGTCTAGGAAAATGTCAGTATGACAGGGGGATCAGGTTATCGGTATACTCACTTTGCCAACTGCACCATCACCGGTCACCACACACTGCAATCAATTAGCGGCGCATCCCTATGGATCGAATCACCCTGCCCACCTTCAGTGACTGAGTAGCCGGACCCGTCGCCATGTCGCCGTATAATTCACAACCAAATTCCAGGGGTCGGGCGATAAGGAAACGATAACGTGGACACAAAAATCTCTCAGACTCTTAGCTTGAGCTTCAGGGGGGGGAGCACTTTGAGCAAGAAGCTAAGGAGGCTGGAGCTAAGGGAAAAAGAGGGGGGTGGGAAAAAAGATGTGGAGACCAAAAGGATGAAAAAGATCAACAATTATGAGAGAAAGAGAAAGGGAAAGGGAAAGGGAAAAATAGGAAATTGAACTAGTTCATTAGCAAAAGGTCAGAGAGCTTATAGAAAAGAGATCCAAACCCTTTGTCTCCACTTCTTTCTATTAAAATCTGCCATATCTAACTTGTATATAGAGATCACTATTATTCGATAGATTTTTTTTATCTTTCTCATCTCACAGACCTTCCGGGTGGTCAGCGCTCACTAATGCACCAATCGCATGACAATCGAATCACGAGTGACGCCGGCACATACGGCGTCTAATCAATCATCGTTATAGGAAACTCTAGGGTGCTTATGCATGGCCCGTCAACTATCCTATTTATATCTACCCAACCCCGGACACTCCAGACATCAGCTATATATGGTACCTGATTCGGTCCTCAAAACAACAAAACAAATAGAACTACAGTCGCGATACGCCCCTCGAACCACTCAGGAACCCACCTGCCTTGATATCAGATGGCTTTGCCAACAAAGTGGGTAATTTTCCTGCAAAGGATCGGAAATAGGGAGATTTGACGTGGGTCTGGATCGCTGACTGGTCCTTATACCTAGATTGGAGAATCAGAAACCTTGGAAATTGTGGCAAAGCTGCGAATGAGATCGTGCCGAGGCATGCTCCATGCGGGGAATCAACGAAAGACCTATATGGGTACTCAAGGTACTCATATGGTTGACCTACCTCTCGACGATCACAATCTCATTTTTCTCCTTGATATGAAATGCGTAATAAAGTAGTGTATCGGGTTCGTGTTCTTGCACCTGCTTAACGACTTGGGTTACAAGAGTAGCTACCTGGACAACACGATATGTTAGACATTTGGGACTGTGAAGTGTATTGGAGATCATGGGAAGTAGAGGGCCTGACCTCTTCAAACTTCTCCGGCTTGGGAGATAAAACTGCGGTGACATTGATTTCGGACATGATGACCTGTTTGAGTTGTTAGCCCTGGATTGATGAGATAGCACTAGTAGAACAATGCCAGTGATAGAACAACCCACCTTTCAAAATCAGATTGCTTAGGGCTATTAGATCGGATATTGAGTAGATCACTGTTTGGGGGGTTTGAAGACTTAAATATGTAAAAGATGTTCGGAGTATTGAAGATCATATAATCCACATCGACCTCGGGCCATGAGAAGTGGGGCATAAAGTACAGCCATGGCGGAAGTATGACATTCGTGGCTATATAGATTATATAGATGCCTTTTATATATGTAAATCAACTACTCTAGCTCTGGTATCAATACAATTTCACTGTTGACTCAACCACATGAACCTATATCTATATGTTTTTGTGTTGATGCTCAAGCTCATGGTAAGGCAATATGCAATATGAACGATCCAATGCTGTGTGGCAATCAGCTAAGTAATTACATAGCACCACAAAATATGTTTATGAAAGGATTCGAATTCCCCTATGGAGTACGGCGTACGGGGTACATCTGGATATGATAACAAGCACTTCCAACCCGTGGACCCCGGACCTCGGCGCAGAAAGAGATTACATAATCATTATATGCCTCAGGCACCAGATGAATCAGCAACCGCCGAGATTCGTCCTGGTCTCAAATCTCCCGCAAATCAACGTCCTCAATGAACAAATAGGTTCCCCACTTCCTCCTTCAGCGGCCGATTTCTCCGATTTACGGCACATGGACTCCGCGAGCACTCGTTCACGTTTCGTGGGGTTTTATACCGGCTGAAGACAGGCTGATCTCGATGGATTTGGGGTATCGGAACATACTGGCACCGGATGGGCCGCATTACTCAATCCCGCCGAGCGACTTTCGGTCCCCCACACTACCCCGGCCACCCCCGGTGATCGATTTCATGCAGAGAAGCTCGGAGTCTTGCGATATGGAGAAGACCCCGCCTGTCACAGGCAAGCGCCGGGGTGGCAGCCGAAAAGCCTGTAATGAATGTAAGCAGCAAAAGGTGAGTCACTTGCATGTCTCCAATTACTATGCAATTTTACCCAAACCAACCCCGACCGCACCGGGGCTCCGACAATCGCCGCTGATATCTCAAACTTGATAGCTGAGATGCGATATTGTTCAAACGCCCGCCGCGGCCTGTTCGCGTTGTCGCAGGCTTGGGATTGACTGTAAAGTTGAACAGTCCTTCAAACGTATTTCCAAGAGAAGGTGAAGTCTCTTGTGTTTTTGTTTTTGTTTTCTTCTCGCATCTTATTGACTCCATTTCACAGGCGCAATGCTGAAATGGAAAAGGAGATTGCCGATCTCCGGCGCCGCCTGGGACCCAATTCAGATCATGAGCAAGGTGTAGAGCCTCATGAATCTCACGGAGGCGATGGAATGTCCCATTGCTCAGAGGATGTCTTTGCTCGCCGTGACTCGGCCGCGATTGACCCATCTCGGCATGTTTCGGTACCGCTTGACACTCACTCATCTATAGCAACTCCTTTGACTATGAAAAGGGATGGTTCCATTATATCACAGGACGAGGGCCAGTGGAGACTTGAAGATGTTTGTCTCTCCAGAGCCCGAGTTCTTCGACTATACGAACAGTATGCGCTTTTCATGTCCTTTTGCCATGGTATTGCCATTAACACCTGCATAGATACTTTACTTATTATCACCCCTTTCTTCCCCTTTTGAACCCACCCAAGCCCCCAGAAGTGTATCTCAACCGATGCCCTCTTTTGGCGTGGACTATGATCTGTGTTGCGAGTCGACGGTCTCAATATGAGCCTGGGCTCCTGAGCGCGCTGTCCGGGCCATTTAGCAGGCTGCTTTGGTCCACCATCACCAGTGTTCCACAGGACTACCGTGTGGTCAAGGCCCTTTGCGTTTTGTGTACATGGCCTCTTCCGACTACAAGCCAGCGCACCGATGCAACTTTTATGCTCAGTGGTTTGATGATGCAGATTGCCATGCAACTTGGACTACATCGTCCAGTTCAAGCAGAAGAATTCACCACATTCCGCATGGAAGTTCAGGGTGAAGCCTTAAAGGATCGATTACATACGTGGGTCATTTGCAACATCGTGGCTCAAAAGTGAGTAATTTCTTTTCTATAACTGTTGACCACAGACTAATTGAGTGTTTGGCAGCGTTGCAACTGGTTATGGTCAGCCACCGAGCACAATATATGACTGGGCTCTTGAGCCTGCTTCTTTGAGGGATGCCGACTACCGGCTTCCGGATGATCTGGCCATTCGGTTGCGTATCGAAAAGTTCTGCGACCGGGTGACCAAGGCATTATACAGTAGCAAGCCCGACCCTGCGGACTTTATTGGTGCCGACAAGCTCGTGGTCGTGCAGGTTTTGGAAAGTGAACTTAGAGACATGGATGTCGAGTTTGACGGAAAAATCTCCGGTAAGTCGTTGTCGTATCATTCCAACTTGGCGCCGCTCACAGTCATATCAAGCCATCAACACGATCCATCTCCGTGCTGCAGAATTGCACTTCCGATACTTCATGTTCTTGGGGTCCACTGCACGAAGTGACGATCTGATCAAACTTTTCCTTGCAACAACCTCCTTCCTTGGCCGAGTATTAGATCTCGAAACCTCGCCAGGTGAATTGATCGGCCACTCCACTAACTATATTCTTCAAATGATTGTGTCGGCTGCTTTCGCTCTCATGAAGTTGTTGAAGAGCAGCTTTAGCCGACATCTTGATTTCAATCATGGCAAGCTTCTGTTTAACGGTGCGATCTCAGCGATTCGCCGAATCAGTGTCATGGATCACGACCGTCCCATTCGTCTTGCAGATATCCTCGCTCAGATGTGGAATGCTACGAGCCTAGAGCCCGCCGAAGAAGATGCTCTACAGCTCAAAGTCCGCTGTCGCATGAGCATGAGCCATGTCTACGATACGGTTTGGCGCTGGCGACAGCGGTTCCGACCGGTCAAAAGCCTTGAGGAAATGCAAGGTAAGTTTTTGCATCCCCCTTTTGCTTTCTCTCCGCATTTAACAAATTTCTTTTCTCAGCCGCTGCCATAGCAGCGAACCAAGATATACTAGGCCCGGCAGGACACATGACGCGGCAACAACAGGATAGCTCCCTAGAGGACCAATCCATGATGATGCCCGCTCAGTTTGATGAAGGCGGAGCATTTTTCAGCGAATCTGGGTTCTCCGAGGTCTTTGATTCTCTTAATTGGGTTTTCGATGGCATTCCCGACTCTTTCGTCGCACCTCCGGTTTTATAGAAGCCACTTACTGTGTAAAAAGGTTGATATTAATTAATTTATAGCGACGATACCAGAATAAAAGTGAATTTTTTTACTATTTGACTGTTGAACTGTTTATAGAAAAACATAAATAGAACTATACGTTGAAGCCTTAAGGTCCACTTGTGTGGCTGAACCCGCCATTACGTCTTAACCCCAAGAATCCTGGACAGCCCTGTTCAGGACATTCCTATAGGTTCAACGTTTCGGCCCAAGTGAAACTAAGAAAAGGCAGGCTGCAGCATTATTCCGTTCCTGAAATTCATTTGGATCTCCTAACATCATAATAGGTGGCCCGTGAGGCTTTCCGTCCCCCCCTCCCTCTATTGAACTCCTCTTTCTTGACATTCACTCAAGTCAAGAACGTTCCCATGTCGGATCAAGCCCTACACGACTCCACAGCGCTACCGACGCTCTCCGATGCGCCTCCGTCGAGTGCCGGTCGCTCATCCCCTAGCCATGGGGGCGAGCAGACCCAGGCCCACGAAGCCATCTCAGACGAGCTGAAAGCCCGCCTGGACAAAATTATCTACTCTGATGTGAGCAGATCCACCGCTAGGTACATATACAAAACAAAACGCAATTGTATTAATCATAAGTAGATCGGCATAACCACTCTCCTGACTCGGTTGAAGCAAAGCGTGGCCTCCGCCAAGGTTCGTCACAAAAGAACTCCAACTACGATCGCAAACGCTGATATATCATCTACTAGGATTTCTCAACCTTCTTGAAAAAGCGAGGAGCCCTCGAAGAAGAGCACGCTCAAGGGCTGAGAAAACTGTCCCGCGTGATCAACGATGCGTCGCAACGCTCCGAGAACCGACAAGGGACATACAGTTCCAGCTACAAAGATATCCACCGAATCCAGGAGCGCATGGTGGACCATGGCCTCCAATTCGCCGTTTCCCTCCATCAGATGTCCGATGATTTGCACGAGCTCGCCGCCAACATCGAGCGCGGCCGCAAACAGTGGAAACAGACGGGGTTAGCTGCGGAGAAGAGGGTTGTTGATGCAGAATCGCTGGCGGAGAAGGCAAAGGCCAAGTACGAGTCATTAGCAGAGCAGTATGATCGGGTTCGCACGGGAGACAAGCAGGGTGGAAAGTTCGGTCTCAAGGGCCACAAGTCCGCGGCGCAGCACGAGGAAGAGTTGCTGCGTAAGGTCCAAACCGCGGATAGCGATTATGGGTCTAAGGTTCAGGCTGCTCAGGCGGCGCGCCAGGAGCTAGTATCTACCCATCGACCTCAGGCTGTGCATAATCTTCAGCAGTTGATCGCTGAGTGTGACTCGGGCTTGACCCTGCAACAGCAGAAGTTTGGTATGTGCAATTCTTTTTTTACACAGATTTTAGGATTCATTGCTCATCGGCTGATGATTTGCAGCCACTTTTAATGAGAAACTGCTCCTGGGCCAAGGTCTTTGCGTCAGCCCTTTGAAGACCGATGCGAGCAATGGGCCATTGGCACCTAAGAGCCTCGCCGATGTTGTTCGCCAAGTCGATAACCAAAGAGATCTCCATGAGTTTATTCTAAGCCATGAAGGTAACCCGGGAGCTGTTGCTTCAGAACAGGTCAAATATGAGCGCCATCCTGTATGTCATGCATTGTTCCTCGATTGCTTCACTATACTAACAAATTGATCAGACACTCGGCGGTGCTGGGGCTGTTTCTTCTGCTTCTGCTCTTGCTCCTGCTGCGGCACCTTCGCAACCAAGCACTCAAAATAAGCGCGTATCGATCATGCCGCAGACATTCACCTCGACTAATGCCTCTTCGCCAGCGCTTCAGCCACCGCATAGCGGTGAACGATTGCCGCAGTCACCTTATCCCCCGGAGAAGCCCTTCACTCCGCCTCCAGCCAGCACACCTCCCTACCCAGTCTCAGGGCCGCCTGCTCCGGAACCCGCTCCTAAAGTTCAGGTGCCAGTGGCAGGGCCTCCCCCAATGGACAGGAATTTCCAATCGAATCTCCCTCCGCTGAAGCCGGTGTTTGGTGTCTCGCTGAACGACCTGTACGCCCGTGATGGAACGGCAGTTCCATTCATTGTGTACCAGTGCTTCCAAGCAGTCGAGTTGTTCGGTCTGGATATGGAGGGCATCTATCGACTCTCAGGTAGTGCCAATCACATCAGTCACATGAAGGCTGTGTTCGACAATGGTAAGCTTGATCAGATGCTTCAGAAAAGATGGACACCTCGCTAATCCTATTCTCACATGAAAAGACTCATCGCAAGTCGACTTCACAAATCCGGAGAACTTTTACCATGATGTCAACAGTGTTGCAGGACTTGTAAAGCAATTCTTCAGGGATCTACCCGACCCTCTGTTCACCACTCAATTCTACCAACAATTTGTTGACGCCGCTCGTAAGTAGTGTTCATGCTATGGAAAAAGTAATAAATCCTGCATTGAGAAACTGACATTGGAACTGCAGGCTTCGATGATGACATTCAACGCCGAGACTCAATGCACGCCCTTATTAACAGTCTACCTGATGCCCACTATGCTACTCTTCGGGCGATCATTCTGGTACGATCCCCAACAAGAAACTGGCTTCTGTTTCCATCCAAATACTGATCCAGCCCACTGTAGCATCTCAACAAGATCCAAGAACACTATACCCAGAACCGCATGAACGCGGGCAATCTAGCCATTTGCTTCGGGTACGTCCTTCCAATCCCCAGATTCTTGTATGGAAAAGGATGTTATCAGATACAGTCTTGCTAATCCCCGTTGTAGCCCAACCCTCATGGGCGCCAATACCGGTGGAAACATCGCCGACGCTGGGTGGCAGGTCCGTGTTGTTGAGACGATCCTTAACAACACATTCCAGATCTTCGACGATGATTGATCAATTCGCCCCGGGGTGCCTCTAGTTCCTTTCTCTCTTGTATTCTTGGAATATGAGCGTCGATTCGTGGACCTACGTATAATGGTTTTGATGCATCGCTTCCCGGTGCTCTTTTGAACCTTTTTTTTTTATCCATTCGTACCTCTTGTTTTTGTGTTCCGATGTCCCCTTGGAGTGATACCTGTGCTACACATTAATACTGTGCCTTTTTGCCTTCCAATTGTACATATACACACTGCCTAGTCGTTTTAGTTTTGATCTATGCCGGTCATGAACAACGTATAATCGTGTTACCAATGATGTCAGGTTGAGATGCAGCAAAAACTGGCCTTGGTTCAAGCCAAGGGAATTGTGCCAAAAAAAAGTTGAAATTCAACAGTTTAAGGGAAATGATGGTAGATTGGTGGGACGGATACCCTGAGACATTGATATTCATTTATACAAGTAACGGCTCAAAAGAAAGGTAGGATTTGATCAAAACAGGTGGCTATGGTACATGGGAGGTGTAAATGCTTCTATATCAGGAATTTCCCGTGTGAAGAAAAGGAACCAGGCCAGAAAAGGACCCGACCTGAGCCTTTGTCCAGTGCTAGGCGCAGAACGCGGAATTGGTAGACAAAAAGTAAGACAAGTAGGTAAAATGACCTGGCATATTGTGTCAAGACCATTCGCCTTTGATCCGGTCAAATGGTGGGTTTTTGGCGAGGGAAAGAGTCTCGTCCATTATTTGCGTTCCTGGTGCAGAGCTCATAGAGGCAGAGCATATCATTCTGACAAGAAAGGAACGCAAATCACAGTTCTTGAGATGGGACTCAAATTTATTTGCCCATCGAGTCCTTGATCATCTCCAGACGTTCCATTGCCGACAAGCCAGGCTTGAAGTAGGGGTTATTCCAAGCCTCATCCAATGTGGTGGGATTGATGTGGCCCCACACTCTCCAGCCCTTATCCTGGTTGTTCCAGCGGAGATGCTGAATGACAAGATGCTCGACACAGTCCTGCTCCTTGACGGAAACGCTGGAGGTTTCTGTAGGTGCCTTTCTGCTGGGGTCCTGGATCTGAGTCGTGGTTGTGGATTGTCGGCTCGTGATGCGCACGATAATCTGACGGATACCGGATTTCGGGATATCGGGAATGGATGTGGCACGATCTGAGATGACGCGGAGGCCGGTGAAGTTTGTACTTGGCTTACGCAGGTATTTCAACAGTTTCCAGGTAACAAGCTCAGTCTTCGGGCGGCGTTCGATACCTGTGCTGAGCTGCTTGGCGAGACCGTCGCAGCAGATTTGGCGGATTTTAGGAATGTTGCCTCTAGAACAATTCGTAGTGGTTAGTCCCGTTCATGAGTAAATGGGAAAACGGTGCATGCTTACTCGGCAAATGCTGTATACATATCTTCCTGGAGCTTTGCACCAAAGTGGCGACGCTTGCTTAGGAGAAGAGGAAGTGTGTTTTCGCGCTTGCAATATTGAAGCAGACTGCAACAGAGTTAGAAAATCCAGGTCTTGCATGTATATGCCATGTTTAGCTCTTTCTCAATGCAACTGCCACTAGGGCAGTAGTGTGTACCGAGAAATCCGAGGATTCGGGAAGAACTAACCTGGCATGGTTGCTCAACCAGGCCTTGAGCCATGTCCATTCCATATGCCACCTATCGCGCGGTGCCGTGAAAACCGAAGGCATATCCCTCCACAGCGGTCGGACAAAGGTACCCGGTAATATGCCGATGTCGTTTGGTAGATCAGATAACTTCATACCCTGGGTTCTGGTCTTGAAGGATGGCTGCGCTTGGCTTGGAGGGCGGAAATTCATTTGTCTCCCACGCCATTGTTGGGAAGTCTCGGAGAAGGCGCGACATTGAAGGAACGGACCAGATGGCACAATTCGAGCGGATGTGCCCGCAGGCAATCGTATGGTAGATGCCATTGCGAATCGGGTTGGGAAGAGAAGTGGTTCCTGGCCGAAGAACAGAAATCCGCGGAACTGTCAGTCACGTGAACCACTCCGCAAGTCGACAGTGAGATTCTTGTGAGCGAAGCACCCTCTTATCAAGGCGACAGCTTATATCTTCCTCGCTGTTTCTTATATACCAACTGTCATATGTAAAAAGAGGTTGAATGTATAGAATTAAACTGCCCGAAAAAAAAGACACCGCCCGCCATATACTGGGTCTGATATCTGATATCTGCCAATTAGGGGACTCACAAACAGCTTGACAACAACCCAACTTCGAATATTTTCAGCGAACGACTCGATCGTAACGCCTATCCTATACCCTTTCCATTTCTTGCGTGGCGGCCGCATATGCCGCGATTCAGAATAAAGGCTGGCTCCTCCTCGACGTAATGCCTCTCCTCCACCATACACTCCCCACGACTATCCACACCCACATCCACATCGTGGTCCAGACCTGAATCTCGCGTCATCGGCTCTTCCGCCCAGCTATCTCAGCACTTCCCCTGAACTACTACAAAGCCAACTGGCTAAAGAGGTGGCTTCTCCATCTGCTTCGACTGTCCCGCCCTCCCCGACTTCCTCAACGTCCCATACCCCACTCAGCAGCGATGGCCCTCCATCAGCACTGCACCCGCGGGTCGCTGTTATCCTTGGAGTAGACCGCAGGTGGTATATTCCTCTGCTGGTTTGCCGGGCTCTGAGCACGGTTCCTGCTGCTTGGTGGGGTTTGCGATGCGCCTTTACCTTCCTCGCCGAGTTGCTGCATATACGGCCAGGTATGGGACGAGAGGGATGGGCGGCGGCAATTGTTGGTAGTGTTGGACAGGAATGGGATGTTGAGAGGAGATTCCGTGTGACAGAGGTGGCATTGGCTATTATGTGGGTATGTTGTATTCCTGCCTTGATATGTGGACGTGTATCCGTTTTGATATACTTTTTACTGGTGTCAAGCGCGTAAATTTATACTGACTACTTGACAGTGCTGTGCATCTGCATATCTTTCCTACTTCTTTGCTGATTGCATGATGTCTCGATGGTCGGTTTTCTCTTGCCTTGGACGCCTCACTGTCATCTTCATTCTAATCCGTGATATACTCAGGCTTTTAAACTACACCCCACCGGCTGTTGTGATCCGTCTTCTAACAACAAACGGCTTGATTGCATATATTACTTCTTGGGTCCTCTATCTATCTGGTGCATCCTCTGACCCGCGACTCCTGTTACCAGCATGGATCTCCATAACAACCGTATGTCCTTGACTCTGAAATGTTGATTTACCTTGAAACAGCCACTGACCCTTCACCTAGTCTTTAACCTTTGTCTACCACGCAACACAAAACCATGCTACTATCAAGCGAGAAACAGCAGCGTCGCTACTAGTCGTCTCTGTCGCAAGCTTCTTAAGCATGTCCTCACTCCTCATGCAACTGCATCTGACCCGTGAAAACGAACCAGAAGTGCCTGTCTTCGTCATTACCCGCAAACTTTGGGACTGGGCTGTGGCTATCTTCCTACGCATGCGAGTTGCAGATGACCGTATTGCTGTTGGAGAGCTGTAGCTCGCTTGCCTACTGGTTGCCATACTTATCTTTTTCTGTTTCGGGATATCTTGCAGAGTTGATTTCCACACTCTAGACCAGCCGGCCAAGCGTTTTCGGCCAGATAAGTTGGTTATTTGTACATTTTTGAGATTTGATTTTGCTCTAGGAAAGGTTCTTGAAGACTCCTTTCTTTGTCTTTGAGTCCTCGGGCTTTGTTATGCTTTATACCCCTGGCCTAGGGTTTTCCTTTTTTCCTTTTCGGAACTTGCGATATTTGGTAGAGCTATCAATCTATTTTGTTTATTGATCCATAAATTCCGCCCTTAAACTACCTGATGGATTGAAATCAAGTTTCATACCTTCATTTACTTGATGTTACTGCATCAGCCGAGAGACGACGGTGGACGACAGTTCAATTTCCTTGATCCTAAGCAATGGACTGCATCCCCAAGAGAAGGCGAACAAAAGCGCGAGAACGGCACAAGGATTAAAAGTAGACGGTAAGGACCGAGGTAACGGTTCAGCAAAAACACGCCCTTCAACCTGGATCTCCTCGATCAGCCAGACTGACAAATTGACCATGGGAATGCAATGGCAATAAGCAATACAGGCAAAAACAGCCTCTTCTCCAAAAATAAAATGGAAAACACACGCAAAGTTATGAAAAGAAAAAAAAAGTTGTCTGTCTATGCAGATAATGGGTATCTACCAACTCCTCGTTCCGTCATAATCCCGTCCTTAGAATAGCGGTCGAATCACCCCGCCCTCTCTGCCGACCATGCGCGAAAGATAGGTAGGGGGCACAGAGGTGTAGCGGGTCATTTCGACGAAGGGCCCAGGTCTAACTCGCCAGGCACAGAGTGATGGGGGGAGAAAGCAAGACATTCGATCGATGTGAAGGCCAGTAATGTAAACGGCCGGCGGATGAGGGATGCTTCCTATCCCACCGCTCACAGGGCAACATAAACCGGGAAGAGGGGACTGGAACAAGGCATGATGTTGGTGATGGGATTAGAACCCGTGGACCTAGAGTATGACACATTAGACCATGATAATTGTGATGGAGAACAGAGGCAGCGACATACCTTGATGGTCTTGGCATCAAGCTCGAGTCCCTCCTTGTCAGTCAAGAACTCCTGGACATCCTTTCTCTGATCTCCCTGCAGCTGAATCACCTCGCCCATCTCGGTGTCAGAGACGATGGTGCCATTGCAAGCTAAGGTATAGTTAGCATCTGGCCCAGACACACATATGCACACGTCACAAGATCATACCGAATTTCTTCTTGATGACCTTGAGAATCTTCTTCTGGTCGAACTTCTTGGGCAGACCCTGAACAGTGGTCAGAGTCTTGCGACCATTGCGTTCTGTTGTGAAACAAGTGGTTAGCATGTACCCCCCTTTTAGCGCCGGCGAGTCGCAAGAGTAGCCATGGGTGGGGAAGACAAGAGGTGAACGTACGCTGAATCCGTATGTGGATATAGTTCTGAGACTGTTTAGTCTCGCCGGTATCTTCGTCGGCTTCGGCGAAGGGGTCTGTAAGATCCAAATGTCAGCCTCAGTCCGGTACCAGATTTCTACCCCGCCGCTATGAAATTCGGTGAAACGGAGGTGGGGGGAGCTGAAAGTCACAGCGTTGACACCACATATCATGAAGGACGTATGTCTCATTCACGTAGATAGTCATCACTGTGGATATATGTGCATGTGGGGGGGGTGAGGCCCGACACGCGCGCCCAGGAGGGGAAAGTGGCGAACTTACCGAAGGTCTTGAGGTTTTCGATGGACATAAACTCGGCCTTTTCGTGGTAAACGGCGTTTAAAATAGGTATTTATGAAGTGAGCGAAGGGCGAGATTCAATATCTCTGTGAAAGATCAGGGCGTATGTCGTTAGGAAAGAGTAGTTACTGTGGTAGAAGAATGGGAGAGAAGAGGCGGCAGAGCCTTTTGAGGCAAGAGTCACGTTGTGGGGAAGGCGGTGTGTGACTAAGCGATTATCGCGCATCTGGATGACACCCCAGGGCGATGAGCTATTAGGCAGTGATATACCTTTGAATTAAGACTAGTTGATTGATTGATGAAAATAATGGTAAGCAGAATCGATTATATTCGATCGTAAGGTCAGAACTTGGGTTGAATATTGGTACATCATGACAATAATAGCTAGTGGGTGAGATCTCTCAATCCAGACTCAGAATCTGATGATCTGCGAACCATTAATCCATCGTAATTCAGACGATAAGTCTTTGAAAATTATGATACGTATGTAGGAGGACGGAAGGAAAATAGGTATCAAGGTGTGTTGTTTGTTCAAGTGGCCAGAGGAGTCGGTGCGGCGGAGGCGGTGGTACCCCCCGGAGCCTGCGGAGGCAAGAAGAGAGGGAAGTAGGTCTGCAATAATTTGTTAGACTGAGTGTGTCGCAATTTTGTAGGTTCGGGATACATACGACAACCAATGCCATCACTATATCACGCCATAATGTTAGTCCTGTCAATACGAGGAGGGTCACGGGAAAGAACGAACAGGACATGAGAACCGACATGTAGGCCGGTGTAGAAGCAGTCCTCTTCTGTTCTGGGGATTCACCCAACCAGGACTGGAGTGAGAAGACGAAGGATACCCTGCTTCCGAGTCAGATAAACTAGTCAAACCATTGACTGTCCGCCTTGCTCTTACCATCCAATCATGCTAGTCGCAATGCTTGTCAATAGTGTTCATAACTCATGTAAGATGCGGGACTCACCGGTTCCGAGTGAACATCTAAAGGATTAAGGTCAGGGTCAAGTACTCGCAAGATCTGATGTTGGGGGAGTGACTTACGGCCGCCATGGGCATCGTGCTCGACATTGTGCCTGTATTCATAGCTCAATCAGCTTTCATAGTTCTCGCAGTCAAGTATCGCATTTCTGAATGGAAAGTGTGGCGTACTGGAGATGTCGGCATCGCTGCTGCTCTTGGGCGGATCGACATAGGGGATCGCTTTTCATAATTAGCTTTGATCAAGACGCGAAACAATTGCTACTTCACTCACCGAGATCAGCCCTGCGCATATCTCTCTTTGCCGACATTGTGGTGAGATCCGATATTTCAGTGATATATGTTGTAACCAAAAGGATCGAACTGGCCACCCCCGTGCCAAGGCCAGTCTGGGCTTTCCGAGCACACCCCGGATTATCGAATATCTCCGACCCACGGAGCAAGAGATATGGACACCTCTTTCTCCCTTCTTTTTACGTATATCTTCTTCCCCCTGTGCTATTATTGGTTTGTTTTCTCAAGATAACATTGCAATGTGTCTTATATACTCCGTATATTATACTCCGTATATTATACTCCGTATATACTGGAGAACAGATAGATAAGTTGACATTCGCTATACCGAGTACAATATACGATTTATATGGAAATAGAGTCCAGGTCGTGGCTACAAATATAATAGGACTAACGCACATACAGCTGGAGTAAACCCCGATCATAGGTTTGTGTAAATGTTTGGAGGTGCTGCAAGTGTGATGGCTGTACATCCTACATGACATGGTACGTAGGCTACTTTCCCCCCCTTGCAGTTAGCATATTCCAATCCTTATGTGTTGAAATCTTGAACAGCTAGGCATTGGCTCAGTAGTCAAACATGACAGTCCTCAACTTGGAGCTTCCCGATATACAATGTGGTAGTGATCCCCATTGGAACTCTCCGATAATTTGGAAATCGGGGATTATGCCGAGAGAGAATGGGAACGGCCCGTTGTGCTCTTGGACCTCTTCGCCGTGTAACATATGGGAAATCCTACACTGCATGAGAATTAATTTTCAAGACCTTATATCACTAGATAAGCTGCCTTTTTGACGGGGAAAAGGAAAGATTATGGAGTATACAATATCTAGACATATAAAGTACATAGACCTGGAAAAATTCCCAAAGTGCCCGAGATATTGCGAATCCAAAAATGTCATGTCAGCCCATGTCAAATCATATGATAAAAGTACACCCGACACAACTTGAGCACAACGTGAACACTTGAAAATCTTTCCTTTAACAATTAACATACATTGATATACGGAGTACATATCCCAAAAAGGGTTGTATCTTGTTTGTACAACCTTATCTTTTTCCTTTGTGTTTTCCAACCCCGGATACTCAGATACCCAGATACCCGAGTCCCCGATCAGCTCACCCTGCCACTTCCACTTTCCTTTCCATTCTCAGATATTGACTCGATTTCATCATACGAATGACCCGAATAATTCCTCCTTTGGATACATCATGAACCTAAGATGATCCCCCATTCCTCTGCCGGCGGCCAACCGTGGGGTCACCCTCTGCGGACCTTCAATGGTTCCGGACGAGTTGATAATGCGCAGATGTTGGGACAATACGACCAGCCCGATAGGCCATCCTCACTACCCCAACCGCCAATTCGACAACCTACCCTCGTGGACCTGACCGCAGGCGGCCCGGAGTCGCAAGATAGAGAACCGCCCCCCAAACGACCGAGATTGGATGTTCCAAGTGGATCGAATACGTCGGATACCGGTGCGGCTGTGGGCGAAACGAGGAGTACTCCTGGAAGTGCAATTTCACGACCTGCAGTCTCGTGGCGTGGTCGTCCGGCCTGGTCCTTCCAGGCTGTCGTGTCGGAGATCCCAAGCAATGAGAGTCGAGGCGATGGCGCTGCCGGATCTAAGCCCCCGTCTCCGCCCCCGTTGCCGGCTCAGCCTTGGAAGAACGTCTTTGTTGCTGAACCCGAGGGAACCGGGGTCGTGAAGTCGAGGGAAAGCTCCCCAGTCGGGGCTGTACAGACGACCCCATATCACATTGAGATCCCTTCCGTGGCTCCGGTCTACAAAGGTCAAAGTAAGTGAACACCCTGGTACCTAGACTGGATGTCTCGAGACTGATCGCCCGTTGCAGAACCCGCCGATTTCGCCCCATGGACCGGAAACCACCAGGAGGACGTCCTGAGCGAGCAAACCGCGAAACAAGGCTATTATGACCGTACACAGGTTTCCCAGAAT